GTGCTACAGGTGGAGCGGATTCTAGCGAGGTCGGGTACACGGTAGGGGTGGACGCAGTCGCGGGGCCAGGCTCCGATGGGGGTTGCGATGTCGCGGGGCCAGGCTCCACTGGGTGCCGCAATGTCGCACGGCCAGGCTCCACTGGGGGCTGCAACGTAGCGGGGCCAGACTCAACTGGGGGCTGCAATGTAGCGGGGCCAGACTCCACTGGGGGCTGCAATGTAGAGGGGCCAGGCTCCACTGGGGGCTGCAATGAAGCGGGGCCAGACTCCACTGGGGGCTGCAATGTAGTGGGGCCATGCTCCACTGGGGGCTGCAATGAAGCGGGGCCAGACTCCACTGGGGGCTGCAATGTAGCGGGGCCAGACTCCACTGGGTGCTGCAATGTAGCGGGGCCAGACTCCACTGGGTGCTGCAATGTCGCAGGACCAGGCTCCACTGGGGGCTGCAATGTCCCACCACCGCCAGGTTGCGTGCCCGGTGCTGCGCTGGACAAGTTGGCAAGCGCTGCTGCTGGTTCTGTAGCAACATTGGGAATGTTGTTCCAGCCTGCGCAATCGTGAGCACCTCTCGCAAGCCCACACCGGGTGCATGCTCCAGAGCTGGTCCCGCTACATACATTTACAGCGGCTACCGGGCCATTGGCTGTGCTGTGAGCAATAGCAGTAGCACCACCACCAGCAGCGATATTCGACATGTTGTCTCTATTCAGTTCCGAGGTACTATCAGCCGCCACCCTGTGCGGTGGACCTGCGGAGTCTTCCTTGCGCCCCTTTCCTGTCATTGCACTCATATTTGCTGGCTGCTTTGCACGCTTGTCACGGAAATCACTTGGCATATATGGCTCCGGTGTAGCTACATCTTGCTCAGGGGCACTCTTAATATCTTCATCCTTCTTGACATCAACACTCTGATCAGACAGACCGTCATTATTGGTCGCCGAGTCTAATAATCTGTCTGGGCGAGTGGGTGTATCGAGCGAGATTGCAGCCGGCAGGTTGCTGTGAGGTTGCAAGACGGGTTTCTGGGATTCGCTGCTTCCATCATGCTGCATTTCTACATCCGGTGGCACTTGTAAATCGCTGCTACTGTTTGTGCACGCTACCGGACGTGTTGTGGGACCGTCACTGCCGTTCTCAGCGTCACTGCATTCTCCACTGCTGAAGTCATTAGTACAATCACCCGCACTAACTTCGCTAAGCCTGTGAAGTAGCAAGGCCTCCTGTATTTCCAGCAGCTCATCGTACAGCTTTTGAATCATCTGCGATCCAGTTACACATGGCACTTGTAACATTGGTGGCTTCACTGCTCTTAGCAATGCAGTCAGTGACGTGACCAGCTTTATACTGAACTCTTTTTCTGGGCTAGGAAGCACATCATCAACTGTGCTGTGGAATGTCATCGGTGGACAGAATGACTCGTAGAAGTTTATGTGGGTCTCGCTGGCAAGGTAGTCCACGGAGGTGCAGATTTTTTGCAACTTCCACAGCGCCCTTTCCCAGTCCTCGACCCTGGCCGGCTCCAGTGCTGCAAGTCTGGCTGCCTGCTTGACAGTGCTAATGGCATTGCACAGCTGATCGTTGGACACCGGTCTCTTAGTGTCTCGAGCTGCGGCCGGAGCGGTAAGAGGTTTTGCGCTAGCTGTCAATGGCGTGCCGTGTGCTGTACCCAATGGCGCTGTATGGATCGTTAGACCAGCATCCCCTGAATTCTGCTGCTTGTTGAGCATCCTGGTGTAAGGACTCACTCCCTGGCGCCGTATTTCTGCATGTGATAGCATCGATACACACACACACACACACACACACACACACACACACACACACACACACACACACACACACACACACACACACACACACACACACATACATGCACACAAGCACGCACACTTATGCAGTGCTTGAGGTGGAAACACACTTGGCTCAGGCTGGGAGACAAAACAGACAGTGCAGGGGCGTCACAGGGTGGCTGGGAGTGATACGGCCGGGGGTCGGGGGGTGTCCCCCGGAGAAAAAAATAAAGATTTTTCGGCTAACAGGGCACGTTTTAGCACTCTACAGCCGCAAAGGAGGAGGGTTCCCCTAGCACTTATTAGACAACCCCACTCCAGCTCCAAAAACATACTTCTCAATTTCTCATGGATTTTTTGGTATTTTCTGTACATCGTGGGTACTAGGTAGCCAAGCAAGGCAAAAGGAACCCATTGCCCTCGAAAAAATCGCAAAATCCGAAGTACAAGCGTGCTGCGCGCGCGTTCTAGCGCCAGCCGCTGTGCAAAAATGTATGTCATTGTGCTGCAAAAGTCCGCCGCGTCGCGTGCTATGTACACGGCCGGCCTGGACAGTCGCGAAGTAATTATTTTAGTTGTTTTTAGAGAGAGAAGAAGATCCTTTTTTTTGTTCGGTGGGATTGAAAGATCTGCCATGCCAGTGGACCGGTCCGGAGAGCTACGACACTGGAAGCAGAAGAAAGGGCTTGCGGAATAATCTTCTCTGTCTTCGTGGCAACAGGACTTTAGTTTGCGAGAGACCTTCGTCCTCAGTGTCGTCGCGGACGCAATTCTTGTTGCTGCTACCAGAAACCTCGGAAAACGAAACGATCGTAAATCGTTAGGTGAAGCGGGTCGTGTCGGTGAACAGCTGCAGAATATTCTGACGCCGTGGAGCAGCATTCCAAACACTATTCAACTAATTACTTCGGAGAAAGAAGCGCTTCCCTTTTCCGTTGACAAGCGCGGCGTTCGCGGTTGTAATGCATTTTCGCATCAGCTTGCAGTAGATCGTCAGGAGCCAGAGGTACTAGGTACATGTAGGTGTCGTTGTGGAAAGAATATAATTATGTTGTAGCTGACAAGTGACATACATGTTGTGCCTCTTGACCGTGCTGATCGCCATTGTAACATGGTAGATCTTGGAAAATTTTAGTTCTGGACCCAGTGATCGCCGCCAGCTCAGCTCTGTTTCCGTCAAGTTTGCAGTGAATGCGTCCGTGAGGAATCCATCGTCTGGTTGTCTCTACCCGTGACTCCAACCGCCTATCGATATCGTAATGGATAGCCGCCTGGAGTCCTGGGCAATAGCTAGCTGCTAGTGCTAGGCATCAAGTCTGTATGCTCCTTGCAATGAAAGTTGCGATGTTTATTGTAGAAGAATTAGAAGTCCGAAGATCCTTGAATTTTTTTATTGCTTTTTTGGATGAATAGATGATATGCCAAATAAGCGCTCGAAAAGTTGAGAGGGCATGCGCCCAGGCTAAGCTTGTCAAGTGCACGGGATGTGCAAAGTACACGGATTTTAGGCTTGTTGCGCGCTTACGCGATCAGGTGCTGCACGTGCATGAATGGAATGCATGCAGTTCCACTGTTACTGCATTTTAGCATTCCGTCGGAGAAAAATTTCGGATGAAGAAAAGGAACTCTGACACCTTTGTGCATAGTTTGCTTTCAATTTTTCATTTTGATAGCCAGATATGGCAGCAAGAAATAGTACACCAGCCATAGCTTCTCGTTTTGCGAACCCACCTGTCGGCGAAACGATTGCTAGATGGAACTTTTGCTCAGCTGAAGACGTACATGTACGTGAGGGAAAGATACGGGTAGATGGAAAGCGAGATGATTTGTTGCAGAGGTAAGACCGAAAGATTTTATTTTATTCCCAACGCCCCAGAGCTTAGGACGCGGGACAATGATGGCAGTCGGCTCCGAGCAGCGAAAGGGCGATGAAAATCCGTTCCTCCTTCACTGGTCGCTACAGCAGCGAATACCTTGACACCATCTGCATCGGGAACAGAAGAAGCTGCTTCTCCGCTGAATCCATCAAATCATAGATGCTGCTCTACAAACAGACGCCGAATTTCCCACCGAGGCCTGGAGCCATCGCTATGAGGATTTGCTAAGTGGTGTTTCTGCTAGTGCTGTACTCCAGCATCTTCAGAATCGAGAAAGGTACCCTAACGCCGGACACAGAAACCATTCGGGGATGAGTCCTTCTTCTCGCCATTCGTTTACAGTGTTGAGTGTTGCTTCCCAGAGCCAAAGAATTCTGGACCGCAGAGATACTTTGTCAAGGCTAAGTGTTGGGCATCTCAAAAGAAGAAGGAGAGCTAAGTGTGTGCTACAGTGCTAAAAGAAAAGCATGTACTCGAAGTGATGTCTGCATATTGCACTTGTACTGCAGCATTGCATGCTCCTTCCACCACATTGTTGCATTGCTGCTGACCATCAACTATTGTGAGATGAAATGTCAATACCTGCATGGCATATGCAACCTAGCAACAACAGCAATGGGGCACAAGGGCCAAGGAACGTAGTTGCGAAAACCCTTATCAACCACCTGGGCATACTGACACTGGCAACATTGATTTGCCTTTGTCCTGGGAAATCCCGCCTTCCCTATCCCACATCACAGAGAAGGTGCTTCTAACAGAGGTAATAGCAATAGAGCGCCATACCCAACAGCAGATTGGCAGCGGCATATGGCATAGGCTGAGAAGCAAGACCCTGATTGATTCGCGGTTTTACCTCATCCCTCACCCGAGTGAGATCACATCAGCGTTTCTTCCGTCATTGCTCCAGGCAACCAGTTTCTCATGTGCTTCCGCTATTCGTCAGTGCCAGCGCAAATAGAGCTGTTCTTTTTTTGTTGTATTTATCATTTTACTAGGGCCATCCCTGCAGACAATGCGCCTTTTTACAGGGTGCTCGAGGTAAGTGGGAAATGGCGTATTTCAAAGAGGTTACGTAGAAGGTTGTTATAACATAACAGCCTTCTACGCAGCCTCTGCGGCATGACGAAGGAGGCTGCCTAGCAGCACCCCGATGGAAGAAAACTCCAGCTATCACTGCTATCTAGAAAGAATACTTTTTGATATCACTGCTATCAGAGACCAGGTACCTGTATGTTTTGCAAAGAGAAGCCATGTCGTGAAGAAGCATTAGGTAGAGCTAAAGCGAGGGTGTACTATCCCCTCAGCAGGCCTGGTCAAGGCTTCTGTAGCCAGCGTAGGGTGAATACTTTGACCTGAAAACAAAGGAAACTCTGCAAAGAGGGGGCTGGGGCGCTATGGCATGGCAAACAATAATTACTATAAAGTTTTAACGGATGGCGACGGGAATATTTTGTGGCGGTGACAAATGGTGGCTGCTGGGTAGCCAAATGTTATCTTGAGACTCCGCTTGATACGTCGCATGACTGTGTTGTCCAAGGTTACTGATATGATGCCTTGTCTTTGAATCGAGATACCCGCAGAACTCCAAACATGCGACTGTTAGTCATTTCGCTCAATTTTGCTACTTTATTCTTGCAGTCACCCAGATTGCATTGAATACTGTCGAATGCTTCCTCCAGCGTAGGGACAGTATGCCTGGGATATCACTAGGTATGAGTTGTATGTCTTCAGGCTGCTCCCGTGCAGTAGCTCACGACACGAGGTAGAGCGACGCCGGTTAGCATCAGCCGCTGTGGTCTTGGCGGACCAGATTGAAAACTCCAGATACAAAATGTTTTACCAGTCTTGCTCTGGCGATTTTCTCCCCTTGCATGTAGATCTACATAATCTTCTGGCAAGAAATGGTCAGAGCACACCACTGTAGTGTCACTTTCTTTTGCTCTCCTTGCCTTTCCTTTCCTTTTTCGAATAGCAACAGTCCATTTCCTTCACAGTTCAGGATGATGGAAATTTATGGAAAAGACGAATACCATTTGCTGGGGCTGGGGAGTAACGCCGGTCACCAGTACATCCTGGAACACAGCAATGGTCGTGGTTGGTCGGTATCCGAAAACAAGACAGCGAAAATCACTCCAGCCGCTATATTAAAAGCAAGCAAAACTGTTTCTTCTATCCAGATTTACAGCTTTAGTTTCAACGCCGAAGGAAGTGCTAAAACTAGTAACGGTGGAACTGCATGCATTCCATTCATGCACGTGCAGCGCCTGATCGCGTAAGCGCGCAACAAGCCTAAAATCCGTGTACTTTGCACATCCCGTGCACTTGACAAGCTAAGCCTGGGCGCATCAATCGCATGCCCTCTCAACTTTTCGAGCGCTTATTTGGCATATCATCTATTGGGTGGACCATCCTGGACGAAAAGTGGTACGACCATGGTCGTAGTGGTCGTACCGTGTGTGACGGCCCTGCAGTGAGAGCCTTCCAAGCCGCATAGTATACCAGGACTGCTCCCTGTCATGTAATTGTGGATACCGTCACGCGTGGCAGTCAAATCTCGCTTCTATGGTCCTTTTCTATCCGGATCTCTCACCATCCAGAGGAAAATTCCTGGTAACCGATTTACAGCCAGACCTTGCGATCTGCATACCGGTGCCTGTTTTTGCGTGAAAACGGATGTGTGCGGCTTTTCGAGGTCTGACCGTAAACTTCCTACTCGACCCTCTCTGATCAGTTACAGTGACTGAAGTACTAGTCGTCCTGCAGTATGAGTCTACGGTAGAATGCTTGCTGCAAGATGTCCTTTCTAGGGTAACTACAAAACTACCATCATTAGGCAAACAGTTTGACACTGTCCAAACTAACAGCATACCTAGTTGTGCTTGATACTTTTCATCCAGGGCAACAGCCAGCTCCTGGTTGCCTTTCGTTTCTGAATGATCCCGTAAGCCGTCTATGAGAAGATCCAGGAAATGACTGCCGCCGCAACGCTTCACTATCTCCATAAACTTCTCCGCCTGTTCAAGAAAAGCACCAGGGTAGACGTGAGCGTGAGTGCTTAGAAATATGTGCAGCAGAAAAATACTTCGAGTAGCACAAGTACAGGATACACTGTACCGTACATATACACGGTACAGGATACACTGTACATACATTTATACCTCACTCCATATACACTTACAGTCTTAGGCATGCTCTCCCTTAGTGGTGTATATGTATAGAATAAACACCGATGTCGTAGTGTTTATGGGAATATAAACACTGCTATAAAAACCGAGGCGTAGCCGAGGTTTTTATAGACAGTGTTTATATTCCCATAAACACAAGACAGAGGTGTTTATTCTATTTATACCTAGCTTCGTTTTTGGCCTGAAATACTGGTCTGAAATAGCTATTTTAGTATCCCAGTATACTATTATGTGTAGGTAGCATTGCGTGTTCCAGAGCTAAAACCTATCTTTCAACCAACATCTGCATCAGCACCCTGGTGGCTGGGTGGTCAAGATAGGTGCTTGGGAGTCTTAGGGACCATCGCAAAAGTTCGCAGAAGCCCCCGAAACGAAGACCGTGAGTTTCGGGCCTGACCCCCCTCCCTCCCCCCTCAAACGAAACGACAGTCACAATATGGGCTTCATTTTTTCACTTCGATGCTCACACATAATAACTATTATGTATCTATTATTGCACGATTAAAGAGGTCAATATATGAAATATAGAACGAGTAAAAGACCGAGGTCCCCCGAGGTCTTTTACGAGGTCTATATTTCATATATTGACCGATTATGAGGGCAATAATAGATTTATCACGACATAGCATACCTAAAACTGTTTTTGCTTTGCTATAGGAAGAAAGGAATACTATTGTAATAGTATAATAGTATGTACATATGCCGTTTACATTGGACATTACTTCTGTGTAAACCAAAGTTTTCAGTTGTCTCTTGTAGTATGTTCCCCAAGTTCTTTGACTGAGAATCTGACAGTTTGGGTTCAAATCCCAGCATTTGGCTTCAGATTTTTCTTCTTTCAGTTCTGATTTTTTTCTAAGTTGAGGAAAAAGTTCTAAGTTCTCGGGCTAAGTGGTCAATAATAAGTGGTCAATATAAGCGGTCAATATATGCTGATATTTGACCGCTTAGAGATCACAAGTTTCTGTGGGGGTCAATAATAAGAGAGTGATAAAATATACTACACAAGCATTGTTGTATCAGTGTACACGTGTGTAACAATGTACAGCACTTTGTAAATGCAACGATGATAATCACCTTGCAGTGGGTGATCTAAGAACGAGAACAGCTAGAGCTATGCAGTTGTATCCTTTGAGCATTACAATGAACGTTGATTGGTGTATATTGCTTTCACATTCAAGCGATATATCTACGCCGGCTGTGATGGCATGATAATCCTACAGCTCCTATAATTATGTCGTCAATACTTTTTTGAATTGAAGCCCGGTTTGCGATTTTCGCACCGACTCCCTCCCCCCCAAACGTATGCTCTTCGTTTCAGGGGCTTCTGCGAACTTTTGCGATGGTCCCTTACGGTTGCAGGTTCGATTCCTGGAGAAAGTTCTTTCTTCTCTTCAATTTTTTCTTTTTCAATTGGAGAGAAAATTTCTAAGTCCCTTGAAAGTTGAAAAGTTACAACCTCTAAGTGGGTAATATAGCAAAGTATATACCAGTATACCCCAAGTTAAAGTGGTGAATATGGAGATATAGTGGGGGTTAATATGAGCTGGGTATAAGTATAGATTATAGACCGGTTAGGGCGCGCTCACACTGCGACCATGAGCACGCGTCCATGCGTCAGCAAAACGCAGAAACGTGCCAGTCGTGCTCACACTAGGCCTCGTACACGCGTAGACGTGAAGTTGTCACACAAACTTTACGAGTTTGTGCGTTTCCTAATAAAGTTGTGGCCCGTTTTGGATGTAATTTTTCGCATGTTGCATGTTGGATCCATGGAGGAAGTGCCTCGTGGCTCGTATTCTTGAGGTCGACGAAAATAATTCATACAATCATGTAGGTTTGGACTCTTGAGGGGCCAGCTGCCGCTGACGTCCAAGCGCTTTCGCTTTCCTGACCTCGTGGTCAGAGCAAGTGCCAGTGCATGTAGTGGAAATTCCGGTAGTGGTTTCTTTTGTCTGTTGCCGAGATGAGAACTGTATTTTCTGATGATATGTAACTGAAATATCTTGAGGTATGGCATTCCATCATCGCAGAAAAGTAGAGAAAGATGATTTCCCAAACCGAAAAACCAGACCAAGCTACCATCGTATTGAACGAGTACACTGTAGAAACTGGTCACTGACCCGATCAACTGACAACTACAAAAACAAAATCGACATCGTCTAAAAAGGGCAAAGAATGCATATATGGCGGTGCGTGCGTGCAGGACCACAAATATAAAATTTTAAAAATGTGCAAATGTCGAGGATGACATCGACAACCGCCGAGTTTCATGAATCAACACAGCGGAATTTGAGAAATTGAACATACTTCAGGCCAGGTTGTACACAAATACGCTTCACGTCTACGATCATGTTGCCGCCAAGTCGTGGCACCCCCCTCCGGAGGTCGCGGCCACGATTTGAAACGTGGCCGCGACGTTTTGGTCAAGTTCATGCCGTTGCCATGCAACTTGGCCGCATGGCCGCATGGACGCTGGTTTTGGTCGCAGTGTGAGCGCGCCCTTAGGAGGTCTATACAGGATATAAAGACCGAGTAAAAGACCGAGGTCCCCCGAGGTCTTTTACGAGGTCTATATATCCTGTATAGACCAACTATGAGGTCTATAATCTATTTATCGTGCTCTCCACGCAATAGTTTCTCTTCATATACGACATATCTTTGTAATTCTAGTATTATACTATAGCCTATACCGCATTGTACTGCATTGAAAGTCAAGATCATTGTTTAAACTAGGCTCAGCATCGGTAGCACAGTGGCTGGGTGGTAAGGAAGCGTGACTGAGATTCACATGGTTGTGGGTTCAAATCCCATCTTGTGTATTTCTGCTTTCTTCAAAATTTATCGTGTATTTGACTAAGCAGTCAAATACGCGATATATTCGACCGCTTAGGTATCAGGGAAATTAGTGGGGTCAAATACTAAGAAGGCGATAAATCTCTATATACACTCGGTTCCTTGTTATAATATATACATACACTGTACATATACGCTGTACAATACTGTACCGTACATATACACTGCACCATGCATATACTCATAGACACTTCACATACTAGTATACACTATACATAGACACTGTACTCTGTAGAAGAAACAGGAGCTAGAAGAGGGCAATCACAGGTAAGAGGCGATTTACATGAAGGCAGGATTCATCCCATGCGTGATGCTGCCATGGAGCCGGATTCAGTCACATGTACCCATAATTTGGCGTGAACGTATCCCACCGGCTATCCGGGTACGGTCCCGGTGCCATGCGAGGGCTGTGGGGTGGAAATGCATATCGTGACATTCGTGGACTGTTTTGTACTACAGGTACTGTGCGTGCATCCTGCCATGTGAATCGATTTTCGTTTTTCCCGTATCAACGCAAGTTCTCGGGATCACGTGCTTCTCTTCCCGGCGGGATGCACTGTCGCCGTGTAAATCGCCTCTAACAGAGACAATGCACAAGCAAAGTGTATTCAACAATGAAGACTGCCCCCCCCCCCCCCCCCCCACCCCCAATGAAGACACACACAAAAAAGCTCGATCTAATCAGTTCCGTGGAGAAAGAGTAGCTTGGAAGATGGGGCCATGCACGCATTTAGAAATATCAGAAAATCTGGTGCATATGATTGCATACTCTGCAATCGGCTATGCAGAGCGAAATGGTCCTGTACCTTCTCAGAAAAGGAATCGCAATTCCTGACACGCGAATCATCCTCTTCACCAAGGAGTCCCTCCTGCTTGGCAAATGCCAGGAGGGTGCCATCCGTACTCAGACACTTGCGAATGTTTTCTAGGCTCGTCTGGACGACATTCCTGGCCACCTCCAATCTAACATCGTCGCTAAGTTCCATGCAGAACTGCTGCAGCCGAGCTACCGCCGGCAACCTATTGCAGAATACAACAACAGCGAGTAGCATACATTGACACAGGGCAGGAACAAGGCACACAACAGCTAGTAAGTTAGCATACGCTGATACAGGGCAGGGGCACGGCACACATACCTGGCTCAGTGGAACATCCCTACCATGTTTTCACGATGACAGCATGTTACTAGGCGGAGGGCACACTGTATGCGAAATACTGCGCCTTGTAACCATGGTAACATGCTGTCATTAGTTCTGCTATTTCACAGTGAAATAACAGAACTGGTTCGGATGTGGAGCGCTATGGAAATGGGTGTGTCCACCCAAATTCCTTATTTGTTTGCATTTAGTTTAAGAAAATTTGGTGAAGACACAAATATGTCCACAGCCCAAAGATCATGTGCCGGCAGTGGCTATTGGCATCCTCTTTCTTCATGGAGTTTCTGTTGCTGTTGCTTTCACTGCTCTGTCATGTTCCCTCCTAACCAGTAACCCCTACTTAGGGGTCGTCCACAAATATCGATATTTTTTTAGAGAAGATATTCGTTCATTGGGGGGGGGGGGGGGGAGGGGGTTTGGTCCCTGTTCGTCTCGTCCTTTAAAAAAATATCGATCTCTAACTTTGGGCGGGCACTGTGGAAACATGCAGTTGATGACCTACCCAAAGTGAAAGTCAACCCCAAGAATACAGCCATGGCAAGGTTGAGAGACTGTGGCAATGTAAACCTAGGTGTATGGTGAATTCGGAGTTCCTTTTGGTCACGTTTCGCGAGATCACACTTTTTTTAAAAATATCGATACCCTGCATAAACATGTGTATGTTCGTTTTGAGGGGGGAGGGAGGGGGTCCGGGGAGAAATGAACAAAATTAATATCGTCTTGAAAAATATCGATATTTACGGACGGCCCCTTACATGGTTGGCTATCACCCACTCTCTTCACATTGGCCGGTGTTTCCACGGAGTCTTGAGATGTTGTAATAAATAAAATACATAAAAATAAAATGGTGGTGGAGACTGAGTGCAGTAGTAACGCAGGTGTACATGTACATGATCAGCACGATCTACATCTACATGGCACATCACGTACTGTAAAACCGGAAACTTTCGGTGGAGATAATTTTATTTTCGGTAACTTCGGTACAGGTCATTTTACCTAAAATTAAACAGGACCTAAAATTCATGCCACACAGTGTGCAAATGCATTTTTGGATCTGGAAAACTGGTTTACCGAAATTTTCGCGCTATCGAACCGTTGATATTGGGAAATACCAAGCATATCCCACCACCTAAAATCCCGTTTTCACAGTAAACTGTGTAGTGTGTACCAGGCCAGGGAGCCCTACAGTCTACACATTATGTGCAGGGCTCCCTGGTGTGTGCATACCAAGTACAGTGTTGCTCAATGAAATCCAGCCACGTCACTCAAGTACACGCCGGGCGTTGCGCCGCCCTACACCTGCCAACACTGGGCTGCGAAATGATGCAAGGCGCAAACTTGAGTGACGCGACTGGATTTCTTTGAGCAGCATGCCACTGTACATCTGCTAGCACATACAGTCAACTTCGCTAATAACGACTGCGGATATAACTACAATTCGCGAATCACGACATAATTTTCATGCCCAGAGCAAAGTCCCATCCAACTGTGACACATATAATGAGACTTCGGGTATAACGACACTTCGAGTATAACGACACTTCACGGATAAGTATTAAGCTTCAACTTGCTCCTCCTCATGCACTTGCGCATTTAAGCTGGTTCAATAATAGCTCGCGTACTAGATGTTCTCTCCATTTCCCACTTGCCAGGTCATCGATCCTTTTAAAATCCCCTCTGTTCAAGTCCTATTCTCATTGGTCTCGGCTTCCGCAGGAGGTAAAGTCTCGTGACACCTTCGCTGCATTTTGTTCCATTCTGCCCGCGCCTAAGTTGAATTGAATTGAATTCGTTGTTTTCCATTGCTAGCCTAATCTTCATACTGCTCTCTCCAGGTTCCTATAGTACTCCTTTTGTTTTGTTTTCTTTTCTATTTTTCTTCTCCTTCTTTTTCTCAGTTGTCCCCACCATGGCTGGTTAAAATCGCCCGCATCACATGCTTATTGGCACTATGTCATCGTGATTGTGAAATAATAATAATAATAATAATAAGGATAACTTTCTGCTGCCCCGCCGAGTGTCGTTATAAGCGAAGTTGACTGTAATCATCAACTTAAAAAATAAATAAAGAAGTAAAGTTTGCACGTCCGCGTTACAACCGGCTATACAATTGCGCTGGGAAACACAACCAGCTTAGGAAGTTTCGCTCGTGCCAGGCCACCACCATGCCTGTAACACCAATGTGCAATGACCTACCGCCGTACCGGTATGTGCAATGACCATAATGTAGACCATAGTGTAGACCACTGGTAGACGACACGTGCACACTGAAGCAATAAAGGTCCTCAGTCAGCTCGGAATTTTATTTCTCTCTTGGAAAATGATCTAATCGGTTTCTTTCACTATGAAGATCACCGGCACCAGCGTTCACTGAGTGCAGCTCTGGCCGCTACATCTGTACCGCCAGCACGGTGTGTCACTAATCAACCCTGCGCTGCACGTCCGCAGCACGCACAAAACCTGCAAACTGCAGGGCAGGGCAATGCAGCACCATGCCGGCAAGGTCGCTGGGCACCAGGCAGTCGTGAAGGGTTTTCACCATGATCACGATTCCCTGCTTCGCACCGTACTTACTCCAACGCTAGCGCTGGAGCTACAGCTAGTACAGCACGTGTTGGTCACTGAACGCGTTGGACAAACACCTCATTCATCATGCATTCGCTTTCAAGCCTCGACCTCTCGAGTTGGAGCCAGAAAAGCAATTTTCTACACTTTGAAATCTTGGTGGTGAAGCCGAAAAGGGTTTCGAGAAATGCTTCTCTTGCAAGAGAAAATTTTAAATGTGAATCGATACAAGGTGGTATGTCATCCACTGTAATTTTCAGGTGGTCCAACCACTTTCACGCCGCGCTAGAGCACCTAATCAATCCGTTCAGACTTACCAAGTGTTATTATTTCTCTGATATTGGGAGGGTACAAGGCGGATGCAGTCGTCGTCCCATTGCTATGCTGCGCTGGTCCAGCAGATAAAGATATTCTTGCAGCAGTCGAACGTCCTCTGTTTCTCTGGGTCTGGTCACACTACTAGAGTAGTATGCCGGGACTGACTAACACATTTGCAGGATGAGTGACTGAAAATGTGGACAATTTCTCAGATAAGGCCGAGCCTGCCAGGCAACCTGGCACACAGAGCTGACCCCTAAATAACCCGTTTGCCTTTTGGTTGGGAAAGCTACAGCAGCCCATACCATTGGTAGTGACTTGAAGCAAGCACTCGACCAACGCAGCAGATGGCTGCTGGAAGCACGCCCGACGGCCAGGAAAAGTCGCCTGACTGACTCAGTGCAGTGCAGGTACTACGTATACAGATGTGTGTATCTCCGGTTGATGTCGGAAGGCCTCGCTCGACGTAACGCTCGTAGTCGTATCATTGACATGACATGTTGTGCAAGCAAGGTAGGCAGCGCGACGAGCGCTTCTTTTCCTTTTTCTTTGCTGCATAACCATGATAACATGACTGATATAATTTAATTATGAGTCTTTTGCACGTGTGCGTCGCCGGGCGTAAGCGCTCCGGTATGCACACACACAAAAGCCTAGAGGTGTGGGATCCTGGGAGGACCGGACTGGACACAACACTTGGCTGTCACGGACCGTCGATCCGCGATAATTATGTATTGTACTAAAATTGTAGTAGTAGTTTCTACCCACCCTCTTTTCCCCACCGGATGTCACAATCAAAGTTCCCCTGGAAATCCCCTATAAAGTATAATATCCCATAACTTATGTACCATGAGGGCTTGTGCCATGTATGATAATAATTGTTATCATGGTTATGGCATAAGCCTGAGGCCCCATGGTAGCATTATAAGTGTATCATACAGACTAACAGAGGCATTTACCTGCTGGAGACTGGAATGCTCGATCATGCCCGTGACGGGCAGAGGGCAGTACACAAGAGGCATACACAAAGGAAAGCAGTTAAAGCTGAGACGCTCCCTTCCTACTTGAATCCCAATCGAACTCGCGCACTTGCACCGAAACTGGGTGACTGCGCCCTACTAGATGGGGATTTGTATGCAAAATGTCACTAAAAGCGCCATTTCGTTCTTATACATATAAAAGCACGGATGACCGCGATTGGCCCATATGTTGTAGTCTTTTGGACGCTGAGTTGACTGGTTTTGGTCCGAAAAGGCTGCGATGCAGCGTTCCTCCTTTATTCCCAATCGAACAAGTTACATGGTTGAAGAAGCGGTCACGTGCTCCTGGGTGCCCAAATCACCTGGTCTGCTGGTCACCACGCCAGCAGGCGACAACTTTCACACCAAGGTTCAACTCGAGGTCAACTCGAGTGACAGGACTGCACCCAAAAAAGGTCAAACAGGCTAGTAAGTTGTACCCTGCAGGCACGGTGACCAGGTGACTGGTGTACGCTGGAGCACATGACCCGGCTAGTTCAACCATGTTCGATTGGGAATAAAGGAGGAACGCTGCATCGCAGCCTTTTTGGGCCAAAGCCAATCAACTCAGCGTCCAAAAGACTACAACATATGGGCCAATCGCGGTCATCCGTGCTTTTATATGTATAAGAACGAAATGGCGCTTTTAGTGACATTTTGCATACAAATCCCCATCTAGTAGGGCGCAGTCACCCAGTTTCGGTGCAAGTGAGTTCGATTGGGATTCAAGTAGGAAGGGAGCGTCTCAGCTTCCTCGGACCACGACCATTCGACTCAGCACCCCGAAGACTACAACCGGTGAAAAATTTGATTTTTGCCTTAACTTCCCCTTTAAAAAAAAATTGTAACTCACAGTTTCATGGTAACAACCAATCATCAGACAACATCATCTGCTGACTGGTGATTGGTTGTTTTAAAATGCCTTACTCTCCTTTGCGTACCTCTTGTGTAAGTTTATAAGTTATAACACTACATGTATGTTTGAAGTACATTTTCCGCAAAAGTAGCATTATACTCGAATAATATGGAAGTGTTTGCCGTTTGTACAACGGGGCGGCGGTGCACTCGGCATTTTCAGAGGGAAAAGAAACTCTTGTCAATCCCACTCAAGCAAGGCCGCGAAGCTTGACCGAGATGGCTGGGAGAAAGGACGTATTCTCTGCGTGTCTCTCCTAGCATAACAAACAACAGCGTCCTCTTCGGCACTACCGGTAGTCCTTTGCTGTACATCATTGTACATCCCTGCACATCCCTGCACATCTCTGCACATCTCTGCACATCTCTGCACATCTCTGCACATCTCTGCACATCTCTGCACATCTCTGCACATCTCTGTACATCCCTGTACATCTCTGCACATCTCTGCACATCTCTGTACATCCCTGTACATCTCTGCACATCTCTGCACATCCCTGTACATCCCTGTACATCCCTGCACATCTCTGTACATCTCTGTACATCGATCAGCATGAACTTGGGCATGTACCTGGTACTGTGGTAGCTGCATTTGCATGGCATGGGCTACATAATCATGTACATGAAGAAGAATCAGAAAGCATGCACCGAAACAAGGAAATATTCACTGCACTAGCTAGCTGAGGGAATGGAAAAGGAAAAGTCTGACAAAAAGGTGAATTTCACTACCAGGTTCAAACCACTAACCTTCACTTGAGGCCAGCGATGCTCTAACCCGGCACTGAGCTATCCATGGTGTAGCTGTCATCCCAGCAGAGCCGCTGTTCACAAGGAAAGCGCGGAATATTCGGTGGCTACTGGTGTCGGGAGGGAACGGAAAATGCGATGTCATAGCAGCACTGCACACATGTAGATCTACGGGTGCAGAGTGCAGAGTGCATTCATAGTAATTTCATAGCCCATCAAGTAACATTATTAGTTATGGTGTAAGGCGCCAGGCACAGTACGTAGACCCGGGTGCTCGAATCAGAAACGATTTGACAGGTGTGCAATTTCTCATCTGTAAATCTCAACAATGTCAGAATATACTTTTGGAGAGGCGATGGAACAAGGAAGAGAGTCTGGCTTGACCCACCTAGCAGGAATTCAGAACCTGGGTGCGCTACAAAACAAGCTACAGCACGCAGCAAAATAGTCGTATTTCCTTCGGATTTTTTACTTGAAAATTGGGTGCTCGAATCAGAAACAGCAAACTCGTCAGATCGTCTCCGATTCAAGCACACGGGTCTACCATCGTCTACGCTTGGTATGGCAGTTGAGGGCAGGGAGTAGTAACTTACTACTTCGTTTTTGAGAGCAAGATGGTCAGTGGAGCCGCAGATTCAGCAGGTCTTTGGCAGCACCCTACAGGAGACCCATATCCTCGAATCAAGGACCCAACAAAAAGTGGGTCGTGAGTATTTCAAAAACAGTTTACCGGGCAGAGCTGAAATTTGGCATACCGTTAGCGGCCCGTATGTTGATGGTATTTGTGAAATCTAAACGAAATCGGAATAAGTTTAGGTACAATTTCAGGCTGTTTCTGTTTTGGTACCCTGTCTCTCATTCGAGCACCCGGGTCTACTGAGTGGCACCTATATGACTGTGGTTGGTTTGACAACAAGGTTTATCTAATACCATGTACATGTACCTACATGTACACCGACCGTGAGGATAGTACTTTGTTGACAATCTACAAATAATTAGTACAATAATAGAGAAGACCTGCTCCCAGTTTAGCCTTCATCATCTCTTCCTACAGCTCAACATAAAGAGCAGAAGAAGCTGGTTTGCTCGTGTGTTGTTGTGAATCTTTTTGCCAGGATGACACACGAAACAACAGTAGTCAATGGACAGGAGGCGTTGGAAGAGTTAGCGAAAGTCCTCCTGCCTATAGAGCCAAACTTGTTGTAAGGACTATAGAAAACCTTTTTATACACAAGTAAGTTCCCGCAAAAAATGTCACAGTACCTTTCTGCTACTACATATACATTGTAACTTCTGTTACGCTATAATGTCCACTAACATCACCAGTTACTAAACAATCAGCCCATGCGATAACATTGCACGACACTGACCGACGGTACTGACGTTCTACAACTATAGCGTAACTTGTAGTTCCTTGGTCCTTTTTCTTTTCTATAAATTAATCCCCGGCTCTCCATCCGAGTCCATTCTTGCACACAAGACATACTGGTGAGAATAATGCTCATTGGTTTGAGGGAAAGATGCAAACGGGAAAACTGTGTGGAGAAAAAATGGACTGTCATCACCAGGACTCGAACCAGGGACCCTCGCTATGGCCAGCTCTACCACTAAGCTTTGGTGTGGTCGTCATCCATTGAAACAGCATAATGCTATTTGGAATTGCGTATGCCAGTCTATACCTATCACATTTGCCACACAGAGCAATCTATTTCCCATGGTACAGGGAGCAGGATAATACCTAGGATATTTGCCTGAGCGATCATCATCAACGGTCCTGAACGCAGTCATTCATTCACCTTCATTCAGGATAACAGACAAAAGTATGATGTGGTCTTGATGCTAGGTGTGCTGAGTGGGGTATCCTAGTATGCCACGAAGCATGGTGGTTTTGATCGTGTGCTCTTATTATATTCTGAACATCCCAGGTGCCACAAAGCAACGTCAACAGAACCCTCCACTCAGGACGTTCCAGTAGCTGTCGACCATTCGTACCCAACGGCGGCAGCAGCAGTTGGAAAGAAGAAGAAGAGGATAAAACTACCAGGTGAGAATCACTGGAGACTGTTTTAAAGGGGAAGTTAGCTATAATCAAAACTTTGTGTGAGAGGAGATGGGGAAAAGCCAAATTATTGCCTGTTTCCGTACAACAACAAATTTCCTGCCAGGCATGTTTCCAGTTGCGATATCAATAAGGTCTCATATGTCCGATACTGAATTTTTGAAAAAAAACCCACCCGACTTCCTTGTGACACTTCCCCTTTTGCTTAGAACTAGATGTTAGTTACAATCAGTCACATCATGGAGTAGTACAATACCGGTATTTTACTACTCCATGATGTGAATCATGGAGTAGTACAATACCGGTATTGTACTACTCCATGATTCACATCATGCTGTGGATCATGTGGTTGATTATTATTGTTACTGCTCTTTCTTTCTGTGATGAATATGTCAACATACTGCTTTGTCTTGTAATCTGCAGGTGCTCTAAAGTTTGGTTGACAGGCACCGTGCACAGTACGTTGCATACAGAGGTTACTCGGAAGTTCTCAGTTGGTGTAACTGGTCTGTTGCTCTGATGATCTCTTCAAGGGCAAAAGCTGAGCCAAGCTGAGACACGGGAAATCAATCTTGATCTCTTTTGAAGCAGGGAGCCTGTCTAAAAGCTCAGTCTGTGTGAACGGTAGGTTTATTATCCAAATAAAAGCTCTGCCGACCCTTCAAATACCAGTAACCACTGGTGTTATCTACAAAGATCAGCATTTCAAAGAATAATAATGATAACATGTTCGAGGCAAGATATTGTGTTCAAGTGGTTGCAGAGGGCCAGATACATCACCACTGTCCAGCTAACTGTGTACATTGCTCATGTACATACTACTATCCGCAATGGTGTCTACTGGATTGCTTTCTGCTCTCTTCCGACTGGCTCATGATTGCCTACTGGCAGGACTGTTACAGCCAATCAGCCGGACCGGGAAGTTACCGGTATTAGAAATGTTTCAAATATTTTTCAGGAGCCTCCATGCCTCAAGATGAAAAGGTTTCGACCATGATCTGCCCTCGTCCAATGCCACTTACACACATGTTTGCCACATCGAACAGGCTCACCATGCTGTGCATGCATGCAACGAGCCTGACGATTACATTGCCCGGTTACTACTGTGGTCTTCTGAATGAGTGTTATGTGACGTGACTTGAGAAAGTAGCAAGTACAGTGAGATGAGTTTAGGTCTGCGGCCCGCCACTGCACTGGGTGATTGATGTACGAGCCGTCCGGTATTAGATTTACTCGTGTAGACCCGCTAGTATCACGCGCGATTCGGGGGGCTTGGAAATCTCTATGGTAGCAGAGTCCGCGGAGGCAGAGCATCAGGTATCACTTGCTATCACGGCGCCAATAGTGAACTTGATCGACGCCCACCCAAACGAAAGCGAGCGAGACACCCCAGCCATCAGCCCGGACCCAAACTCGCAAAGCGTCTTGAGTATCGTGGAGGGCATGGTCAATCCTGTTCTCGGAACGTTGGCGAGGCACGAGGCATCGCCCGACAAAAGCACCAGGAAAAGTCGGTGGGTGGCGGCAGCAGCAGACAGAGCTTGCCGCAGAGCGTTCATCAGTTCAGCGACGCGACAGCTGCTCGCAGTAGCAGACGAAAAGGGCGTGTCAACGTGGTTAACAGCACAACCGTCCTGGAAAAACAGCACCTTGCTGAAGAAGTCGGATTTCAGAGACGCGCTATGCATGCACTATGGGCTGCCACTGTAACGTGTATGTGATGATTGTGTCTGTGGGAAGTCTATGATACCCACCATGCCCTCACGTGCCCGACCGGTGGTTATCCGTCGGCTCGCCATAACGAGCTTCGGGACCTTCTAGCCTGTGTACTGCAGGAGGTACTGGCCGATGTCGAGATTGAGCCACGTTTGCTCCCACTACAAGGTGGGGACATCTCTGCCGCTTCGGCTAATCGTCAGCCAGAGGCACGCCTGGACATACGGGCCAATGGTGTCTGGTCTCGGCTGCAGGACGCCTTTTTTGATGTAAGGGTCACTGACCTTGGGTCGTCCTTGCTGTCTCGTCCGGAAATCCTTACTTAGCCACATGAGAGAAGAAGAAGGCGTATGGTGCCAGAGTCAACCAAGTGGAGAGAGCATCATTCGCCCCACTGGTGTTTCGACCTCGGGTGTGGCGGGCAAGGAAACCACCATAATATTCCTCAAGTCACTAGCTGCTTTGGTTGCAGACAAGAACAAAGACTTGGTGTATTCGGCCGTGATGGGTGAGTTACACAGCCGGGTTTCGTTTTTGCCTGCTGCGATGGGCAGTCAAGTGCTTTAGGGGCTGCAGGCCCAGTGCAGGGCCTCTTACATTCGCCAGAACTTGGCGCAAGGTCGGGAGCCCATTTGCAGCATTGCCGCCGGCTGTGCGGACACGGGCAGAGGCGTGACTTGACTTCGCCTTTGCATGCTGGTAGGCCATTTAGATAACGGTTTCTTGTCAAGCTTTTGTGTTCAATCTTACATTTCGATTATTTGAGTGTTCTATTTATTTCGAATTTGGGTTGTCTTTTTGCTTTGCTTCTTACTTCATGGTTTCACGCGATTGGTGTTGTGAATATACCCGTTTTCAAGTACCGGTATGTCTGTGACCTAGCATACCGGCCATCACACCTACCCTGGCCCTGAGATCTACCGCGGAGGCGCGCGGGAAACACCTCTGAGCGTAGACTACTACCGGTACTTCAGTAGTAGGTCTACATAGCCTCATAGCAAGAGTGGGTTATGGACTCTTGCTCATAGGTATAGATCTACATAATGCAGCATGGTCCACGAGATGAAGCCGACGCACTACAGTCCATTTCAAAACTATAGACGCGTACCTAGGCAAAAACCGTTATGCCAGCATCTATACCACATAAAATCTGTGATCATTTTGTGCATAAATTTTTCCAAATTGGGCGTCTGTTATCCAATCCTTTAGAAACTATATGAGAGTAATTGTGGAGCGATCCTGAGCAATATTCCGAAAACTATTCTCAAAAAGTTCCAGCCAAATTTGAAATATTTCAAAAACCCTACGCGTCTATAGTTTTGAAATGCACTGTAGTAGATCTACGTGATGCAGCTGCGGGAAGGAAGATGCCAGATAAGACCTGCCGCGATGGTTGGTGTAGAGATGATGGTAATACACGTACAAGCTGACAATATAATAATAATTATTATAATTTTTACCAAGAGTAAAATGGGAGACAACAATTTTAATATGGCAATAAGTAGGACGAGCTGAAGCGACATTTGGATTACTTTATTAAACAATGTAAGCGATGGAGACGATATCGATGTAAAAACAATCTAAAGGGTAAGGAAAATACATGTAAGAAGAAAAAAAGCGATGGAAAAAAAGATGATTCGAACAAGTTTTCGTACAACACTCTTCAGGAATCACCGTTGTACTAAAGAACAGAATGAGAACAAAGGAAATAATGTAGAAATCAAGGTAGGGTAGCAGGCTACAATGACGTGTGCAGAAAACAAGGGTATACAAGTAAGAACTAAGCAGTGTAAATGCCGCTTCAGCTCGTCCTACTTATTGCCATATTAAATACGCTTGATATTACGGTCAAACAGTGGACACTGAAACTTGTGAAGGCTCTGTGGTTGTAGCTCAGAGTTTCATGCACAACCATGCAATCATCAGACATGCTAATGTTACAGTAGTAATGGTGACATTGGTGGATATGCCGGTATTTCGTGTGGGGACTCAGGTCCAGGACTGGGTGTGGATTGTGTAACTATAAAGTACTAACTACAGTGCATTTCAAAACTATAGACGCGTAGGGTTTTTGAAATATTTCAAATTTGGCTGGAACTTTTTGAGAATAGTTTTCGGAATATTGCTCAGGATCGCTCCACAATTACTCTCATATAGTTTCTAAAGGATTGGATAACAGACGCCCAATTTGGAAAAATTTATGCACAAAAATTTAATGATCACAGATTTTATGTGGTATAGATGCTGGCATAACGGTTTTTGCCTAGGTACGCGTCTATAGTTTTGAAATGGACTGTAGTTACTTTCCAATGTCGTACTTGTAGAATGTCATACTCATAGTCATACTGTCATAGGGGTCAAGAACAGGAGCAACCAGACATGATGGCGAATCGATCCAGAACTGCTCAGCGTGTCATAGTCTGGCAGGTTCCAGGACCTAGAGTTCAGGACACGGTTTCGTGACCTTGCCACACGCGCTCTAGGTCTCTTCAGCTTTGTTCGTGTGTGTATGCATGTGTGCATGTGATAGTGTACAGGTCACTACAGTACAGGATGATCTCTTGGTGGTGTGGTGTTCCTAATTCCCTATCGGTCTATTTACATGTATATCAGGACATAGGGTGGAACTGTCTGAATATTTTTTTTTGGCAATGCCGAGCAGTGCTGCATCACTTCATCGCGGTGTCAAGTGTCCGTTTTGGTTCACTGGCAGCAGCCAAACAGCTCATTTCGTCCACCAACAATGTTCAGCAGTGTTCAGCATTGATACATGTGTATATGTAACGACTGAGCGAGCATCCAAGTCCTCCATGCCACCCTCTCGGCACGACACGGAGCCAAGCCAATTTTGAACAGGTAACAAGTTATAAGTCTAGGCTGTGCTTTGGAGAAGCACTGGTATAATTATTTAATGCACTGATATCGACATGAGATGTGCATCAACTTTGTAGGTGACAGTTTACAAGCCATGTTACGGGTCTGGGGTTAGTCCAGGTGACTTCCATCATCGAGCCACAGCTTTAGAATCATGAGAATCAAAATGGGTGTCGCTGTTTCCCGAATATTAGCACTGCAGTAGACATTTTCTCGCATTTCTCAGTACAGTATGCCCCTATTTAGCTATAAAAAGGTCGTGTTTTCCGAAAGAGTTGAATGATGGTGCTGCTGGTGCTAGGGTTCCTACACTTTACTAGTACATGTACCGGTACATGTATCACCAGTGGCACTGGGCTCAGCACAGGATGAAGTACATGTATTATTAGTCTAGTTTGGACGCTGTGCAGATTAGATGCCCCATCAGCTCGGACGGTATGGACTTTCTATGCCTATGGGCTATGGCCCTGGGTAGTATGTGTGTGGAGACTCTCCTCTTGTTGGAGCACCGTGCAACGAAGTCCTTACACTTTACAGTTCTTGGCCTGCTTTCAAGTGTGGAGTGTCCCAGCTCCTTGCCTTGGTCACGCTTGTGTGACTGGCACTTGGAATGATTTGATCCACTTGAAAAGTGATGAAGTGATTTGAAGTACAATTATGTAGCTGACCCCAGTGCAGTGGAGCGTTCAGCATAACATCATTACAGTGAAACCTCGTTAAGAAGAACACTGATAAGACAAACTTTCGCTTTAGAAGAACTAATGTTCATAGCTCTATTGGATAAATCACTGTGTATTCACTGGGTATAAAATATGGATAAGAAGAACTCCCGTTATTACGAACAAATACCATCGGTCCCTTGGTGTTCGTCCTAAAGAGGTTTGACTGTACTTTTATAGTGTCATTATGAGTCTTGTACATGACTGTATCTGTTAATATTTGCAGAAGGATACGTAACGTCGTTGTTTGGAACATGTCCATGTACATGACATGTACCGAAGTCCTTATTATCAGTCATACTGTGACAATAAACCGCCTGTCCCTCAATCATGGCGATTGTAACACCTTGTGTGACTCCCACCATTGGTTGCTTCTAATCTCTCCTGGGCTTCTTTTCAGCAAGTCATCGGTTGCGTAGTATTTAAAAGGTACAAATACGATAAAACATGTATAACGTACATGGATGGTGGCATTCTTCCCTCAGTTTTGCCGCATTCGCACTCTATAATTAATCTAGCTGCTCAAGCTCTCTGCTAGTGTTAGTGCAGTGCGTGCCTGTAGGGAGTTCACACACATCAAGCACCTTAGTTGAGAAGGGGTGCCCTGCTTAGGGGAATATGATTGTTTAGGTTTGTCTCGGGGGGGGGGGGGGGGGGAGGGGAGGGGCTTTCGCCGTCGGATGCATAGCCTCCTTGTTTTTGGAACAGTCAACTCGAGAAGACGCACGTGTATATGACTTTGTGTGTACTTCAGAAATAGCATCAACCATCCGTCCTTCTTCCTTCTGGAACTTCTTGCCTTCCCGATGTCTCCATCACAACGAGGAGTACCTACATGTGTTGTCTGTCATGTGTTGCAAGGTCCTTGATTCGAGTCCTGGCGCCGCGGCGACAGCGACTGTTCTCTTTTCGTCAGAAATGTCCCTGCTCGTCATGAAACTGACGAGTGCATGTTACAGTGTATCTCCTTGAAATAGTGTTATTCGCGAGATGGCAGGCTGTACTGTGTACTGTGGTCCGAATACGATGTGTGACCGCATGTAGAGCCTACGTCTGTTCTCACTCTCCAGGAGCGACACTGACTCACACTGCTATCTGGTGTTCACGAGGTGTTTGTCGCGCTAGAAACGGAGCGTCTCTGTACCGGTAAGTTTGTATCCCTGGTGATGATTTGGCCTGGAGGGCACTAAATAAGCGGTAGTACTCTTCAGACGCAATCTTCCTCAGCCTACGAGCACTCAAGCTCAACTGATGAGGGGTGAATTCCCCGAAACACTGCGTATTGAGAAGCGAGTGATGTTTTCTTGCAGGTTTGCCGAGTGGAAGGATCGATGGACTTCTTGTGCGCTCTGGATGGCAGTCGTGAGTCAGTCAAGTGTTTTAACAGTCAACTCGGCGGAAAGGTGCGAGCTCCGGTGTGGGGAGCTAATAATATTCTTTACTAGCATTTTCACGATGGACCCTGGCCGACAAGGACGATAGTATGACTCAAATCCGTCTACAATCAAAATCTAGCAAGTAAGAAAGCCAACCAATCGTGCTGCAGACATCTTTACTTCAGCAGGGATAGCAGTTACAGATGTACTTGTACACGTAGATCTACCAGGGAGTTGTATATCAAAAACTAGTAACTAAGTCATGGCTCGCGTTGGATCTTTCCGGAACCGTAGGCGTAGGTCGTAAGGATATCAGCACACTCAAGGTTCAAGGCGCAGAGGTACTGTAGCTCCTAAAGTGGTGGGTGTGCAGAATCCCATACAACCAGTAGCTCTATCCATGTAACACTCATGCTAGGCCACGCGTTGCCAATTGACGGTGGGTGGCACCACGGTTGGAAAATCCTCCTGCCTAGCCTGAGCCTCCCGAGCAGGACTTGAACCTGCTACATGTACATGTTACCTCCATGGTCCTTTGAAACTGCGTATTCTCCAAAAAGAAATTCGCCCATGGCAAGGTTCTGGGATCAAAATAGGCCGGGTGGCGGGGTTGTTTCAGTCGGCTCGCTGCTGCCATCGACAGAGGACACGGAACGTCTCTGTGCACGTATTTAAAAGTCAATGCTCTTCGCTGACAGGCAGACTTAGACGCGATCAACACACGATCGACGGCTGAATCTAAGAGAGATCAGTACTGCAGACACCACCATTGACATTGTGATACAACGTACATGTACTTCGAGTTGTAGCCGTGCTGATAGATGGGAATTACGTAGCTTTAGAAGCAGTAGCTACTTGGAATGTTACATTCTAACATAATTGTGGCCAAAAACACCGTCTGATACATGAACATATTTCATTGACAGGCGTCTGCTAACGTCACTTCGTGGTTTCTTCGTGTAGACTACAGTAGCACAGAGCGATCTTTGATGTACTTCGAAGATCATGTGCAATGTATATGACATGTTACGAAGAGTCAACAAGACACACCAGTTCTTTCAGCAAGTAACTTAGTTTTGCTGGTTACGAGCCACCACTTGTGTTAGTCTCTTGAGTCTTGGGAAGTTCATCCCACGGCTGTGTCTGTGCGTATTACTCAGAATACTAGTATAGTAGTAGACTACAAGAAGACACAGTCGATCAAGAACCGATATGACCAAAAAGGGACATGTTCTATGCTCGAAGGCAACATGGTTTTAGAACTGTTATCTAAACGACTGGTAACATGTTCAGCTATGAGGAAAGCGACCCCACCAAGCTCGTCGCTATTACATGTACGAAATAGACGCTAGATACCACATCTGCACATGTAGTGCATGCAGGTGTAGTGGAGTGATGTACATTGTACTCTTGGTGACGCATGCAAAATGTAGCACTAGTAAGTTGTAGTACCTAGCATGCATTGCAGCAACTATCGAATCGATACAACAGGGACACTATTATAAACGTCGTGTTACGCACACAATCTACCAATCTGCGAGGCGCTAGTGTTAGCGCTAGTAATAAACATATTATGTTATTCGGTCCAACTAACCTATCCTGATCGAGGACCGACGCCCAGGAAGAGCGCTCGATTGCCTGCCTAAACGCATTGCCGTTGTGCTTCTTTAGCAGTTCGACTATGGTCCCCAGTAATGCGGTATGGACGCGGACAAGCGGAATGTGCTGGAAAATGCACTGTTCTAGTGTGCATTGCTGGGAGCGTTGTTACAGTTTTTCTTATAAACTAGCATACCGGCAAGTGTGGGTTCACCAATGTCGTTGCCATGGCTGTAACTAGGCAGTAGTAGTACTGCTGACGTGATGGACAGTACAAGTAGTTTGGCAGTGTACATTATAATATTAAATGTGAGCCTCGCTTGAAGAGGGTACATGTACAGTACTGAATGGTCACCACCACCATGGCCACAACCTTGAAGTAACTAAGTTGAAGATGACACACAGGCGTGCACGTCTTACTCTTGGTCACATGTGTACATGTAGTTCACATGTCCAAGCGCACATGACTATCGGTGTTTTGCCTAGAATTCCTCTCCTCCTCTCCCTCCCCTCTCCCCCTTTCCCCTCAACATACACAAACAAACACACACTCACCTCACACATACCCTTCCTTTCTCCTGGTCAAGCTTGTACTTGGTGACACTATTGAAGGATTCAACTAACGGCACGCACCAGCATAAGGATAAACGGTGTGTAGTATTGCTGATCCATGGAGAATCCGTGTACATGAAGCCATCGTGTGACGTTTCTACACCACTGTATTATTGCTATGATGAAGGAATACAAGGAACACTGCCATCAACAAGGACTATGCAGGTACATACATGGACATCTACTATGCCGTTGTGACAAAATCAAAATGACAGCATAAAACTGTTACATATGTGGTTGCTGAACCGACTGAAGGGCGTTTTGTAACACATGATGGTGATTTACGGGCACTGATGCAGCACAATTCATAATTATTATTATAATAGCGTCCTTGCATACCTGTACATGTCTCATCTGTGCTGTCTGTCCGTGGTGGCGTTGACGCATGCCTTGTGTTAGTGGAAGCCAACATGCATCATGACAGTGCCACTGCCAGTCAGTGTGGGGCGTCTGGCTTGCAGTTTTAAGTTGCAAATGCACCCAGGCGTGAACACATGAGTATGCATGCTGTTTCCGTATTATCATTTCTCCTATTGTGCACAGACCGTAGATGGTGTCCATCCACGGCAGTGCAGAGTGTGGGTAACACACAGCCAACGACCGTACACAGTGTCACTGTCTAGCAAATGCCACCCTCTACCTGATATGTGTGTACATGTACAACGATAGCACGTCGTTGCTGCTCCGGCACTGGCGAGGTCGAGGCTGAGATCAGATAATTGCATAGGGCACGTCCAACGCTGTCAACAGTCAACACTTCACTTATGCCTCGCTCCAACCTAGCTAGAAGCCACTACTTATATGCGGGCTTGCACAGCCATCCAGGAGTAGCACTTTGACCTGAAGAGTGTCGGGAAGGACGAGGACACCCCGATCACACACATCGCCCTGTCATGGGAGGAAGACCGAATCAGACTCAGAGTGTGACTTCGCTCGTGACGTTCGCATCCAGTACTCTTTAGAACAGAATCGCTCACAATATTATGACTTTCGTATGACTATGGCTTGCTCATGCTAGCTCAGTCTGAGCAGGAAGAAGACGATAGCTTGCCGGAACCTGGGTCGCAGGTACCTTCGGGCCCGTGCTGCTGCTGCCGTTTGGCCTGGCACGGCCGAGCGTGGCCTTGGCGGCAATGAATTGCTTCCTGTGGTCGCCCAAGCCTGCACCAGCAGCAGTGTACTGGTGGTGCTGGTCAACCCTACTCTACTTCCTGGCTGCTGACGGACAAGGTAAGTTCGTGTCGACAATGCCATGGTGTAGGCAATATGAAAGTCATCATCTTTGTTTCGTAGCATGCAGCACTGTGCGCTAGGAGGGGATTGGTGGTGGTGGGGGGGAGGGGATTGGTGGTGGTGGGGGCAGGGGAGGGGATAGGAAACGCAAGATGTTAAACAACATGAATATCAGAGAGCGTGAGATCAGGCATCAGCCATGCCTCCCTGGCCACCACAGCATGCAGTGTCTTAGGTGAAGCCACTGGCCCTTCTAAACCGTGGACAGGCTAGGATCCATGCGATACTGTGTAAGCTGCCTTGAAGGGCGCTTGTAGCTAACTTCCTAACGAGTAACGTCCCTTCTTTCAAAGGACGTATTCTACTAGGCTTACCGGTATCCAATGTGCGTTTCTTGTGGATTACCAGCTATACAATGTAGTCTGTAGACTGCACATGTCTAATCAAGTAACATGATCTATTTACTAGATAATTATATTTACTATGTAACTGCAAGAATACCGTGGCCGTGTCCTTCAAGGCTGGGCGGTGGGTTCCGCGCCACGGGTGTCACTTTCATTCGAGTGAGGAGAAGTATTAGTTATGCTAAGTAAGCAGATGACAATGCGGTACGAAACCCTACGCCTTCCGCTAGGCATTGAGCTAGGCATTGAGCTACAAAGTTATGCCTTGAGCTAGCCTTGACTTTCGCATTCTGATGATCCCAGGTGAAACTGAGAGTGAAACAGTCACCAGGATTGTTTCGTGGGGTTTACGATTATCTTTGTCGAGGTGCCATTGAACAACTACTTCCTCTAGGCATGCCGATACGGTGTTGGTTTTACTTTTAGGGTTGTGATTCGTGGTGCGGGGGGAGAGGGGGCTAACTGTTATGGGGCGCATGGGCCATACATACAGCACAGTCGATTCGGCGACTGGGTTTCCGCGGCAATATGTACCTTGTGCTGTTCGAACCCTTACATCTGCTGCATGGTCGCATGATGTTGATTACTAGCCCCTTCGTTATGCTGGTGCAGGCTATGCAGAATTGCAGATGTGTTGACCGTTAGCAGTCTTAGCTATGATGAGTATACTCCACAGACCGGAGTGCAAGGGGAAAGATTCGAATATCTTGAGAACGATTGACATCCAAGTGCATCCCCAGCTGATGCAGTGATGGGACACAATCACCGATCCTGGCTCTGGCCTGGGTCTATGCATTGGCCTCTATTCTGAATGCCCCGTCGACACGTCAAAGAACGATCGATGATAACGTCCAGTGTTATTGTGTTTGTTCAAGAGAAGATCGCAGAGTCCGCGCAGCATCAACAATGCTGAGTGGTTTAAACCGGGGCGCATGCAGTCGTGAAAGGGTTCTTCGCTTTAGCTCTAGTCTAGCTGTAATACTGAACAGCAAGCACCCTTCAACTGGACGAAGCCTGAGAGATTGTCCATAAGTCTTAACAGTGTACGTGCCTAGCACTCGGCATGGGCACTGGTCCAACCTGGGCAACCTGCATGATGGAGATTGCTTTCTGCCCTCATCGGAGAGGCTCGCGCTTGTGGAAGTAACTGATGGGTTCTTTCAATCACGCCACTATCACAGTCACACCTGATCGAACACACTCAAGTGGCCGGTGAATGGGTTCGTAAGGAACGCGACATACTACTACTAGTACGGTGAGGCCCTTGACCACATGCACAGGGACACGATGGTCAGGACCATCATCTGATCGTGCTCAGTCTTTCCTATTTCCAGTGTACGTGTAGGCCTAGTATAGGTCCATTATGCTATAAGGGTCTGAAAACAGGGTACAATGGCCAGCCAAGCTGATACAACGCAGACAACTACAAGTCATGGTGTTGTATGCTGCGTGTTGTGTGCCAGTTGAACGATGTGACATTGCCCCGTTTTAGAACGCCAGCTAGGCCGTATTCTAGGGGTCACTACTCGGAATGGGTGGTCAGCGTGGCACATGACTGTGGCTAATCATGCATGAACACACTGCAGTCTGCAGAGTGCAGTGGCTGCACCCACCACCTATTCCGGCAGCCTATTGTTCACAAACAATAGTGCCCTGACATGGCCTAAACCGTAGCAAACGTGACAGCCGCTATTTCTGTTCCGTGTTCGCTTGTTGTCTGGCTCAACTTCCAAAAACAATTCCAAATTTGGTTCAACCTTCGTGTGCCTGGCTCATAACTTCATTTCTTGCGTGAAAGTTGTTTTCTATGTCATGTAACTTGTTATAATTTTACCCAGAGGCTTCTCGCCTGTCGAGGGGGTGTCTATAATACACGTACTATAAAAGACGTGGTAATATAGCAGGCAACGGAGCAGCAAAGACGACGTAGAAATAGTGTGATGTCAGTGGTCAAGACAGATTGATGGATTTCATGTACAGTTACAGTCAGTAGTCATGTACCATGGACCCTGGACCATGGACCCACAGCAAAAGTCCTGGCACGAGAGCATAACAGCACCGCCTAAGCAGTGACTGTGAAGTAGAACAGCTACCGTCGTGTCACAGTGCAGTCCAAATGAACTTGAGATGACCTCCCAGTGGACTGGATCCGGCAGTGACAAAGGAGGGAGACAGAGAGACAAAACGAAAGACAGAGAGGGAGAGAACTCTTTTCTTCTGCTGTCCATGGCCGCCGCACCGGTGGTTGAATGATGTCCATTGTAAAGGAAGCAAGAGGTGGCCACTTCCAAAGTCTAAGATATGCAACAGATATAGAGAAGTCTGAACGAACGCACGCGTGTCCGCCCGCGCGCACACACACACACACACACACACACACACACACACGCGCGCACACACACACACACACATACACACAATCCGCGTTCAATGAGGCAAACAGGAACATGTCTCTCGTCTAGACGGTAGGCAGTGCAAGGTGCAGAGTAGGCAGTGCAAGGTGCAGCTGAGTATCTATCATTACTCTAACAGCCTGCATCGTAAGTTACAAATTGGCAGGGGACTTGGGCATCAACCGCCCTGCGTAAGGAGCTGATACCACTTCAGGGCAAGCCAGCCACCGAAAACCAAGCTGTACACAAGAGGATACACAATTATAAAGTAGAGACTTGTGAAGTTGTGTACGCTAGTACATGATGTATGTTTCCATAACTTCAGCTGTAAACTGGCAGTAGGTGAGTAAGCACTACACAAGTTATCCAGTCATGTGACTTGTGTTACATTGTACTAGATTTGCACACTGTACTGTGTGTGTGTGTGTGTGTGTGTGTGTGTGTGTGTGTGTGTGTGTGTGTGTGTGTGTGTGTGTGTGTGTGTGTGTGTGTGTTGGCAATGCGTGGGTACTAGTATGCAGTACCCCTCATCATCCGCCGCGTCTCCGACCAGCCTAGCAAAGAAGGTTTACCTCTCCCACATATTACAGGGGCTAATCGTCATGCTAGTGGAGATGACGCCACCTCTAGCCACTGGTAATAACGCTAACAGTTATATTCCGCCCTAGCAGTAGCAGTGTTCAGCAGTAGCAGTGTTCAGTACCCTCCATGTGTACTTTAAACCCATCTGACCGCCCTATATGGCCTAGCTAGGCTTAGCCCTTCGAGTCGAAGCCGCTCATGCCCTACAAACATTTACATTGTACTAGTTGTCGGAGAAGACATGTTCTTCCTGTTGTCACGAAACCTTGCCAGTTTGCCACTGGCAGGCTGCGATGAAGGCGACGGCTCGCAGTGTCTCTTCCGCTTTGTGGCCGGCCTTCTGCTGTAGTACTAGCTAGACGACGCGCCTCGGGCATGTGAAACACGTCACACGTGCACCTCACCATTTTTACAAGTAGTAACTGTTACTCCAACAAGGAGAAATGCTTCTTATTGTCCGTAAACTCCAACGCAGCCGCTTGTATGAAACTACTTCACTCCTTAACTCCAATAGTTAGGAGTGAAGTACATGGACACCAAGGAATACAGTTATTCTACAGTAGTAACTGTTCAGTCATGTGACATGTAGTAGCTGATTTCTCTTGCTTATCTCTTGGATGTACAATGTGTACCTGTATGTCAGAGGAATCTCCTCTGATCCGGATACAAGAAGTACAATTACGTAGTCAAGACACATTTTGATACAAGAAGTACACCTGTGCTTCCATGATACTAGTACTAGCACTGCTGCTGCTGCTGCTGCTGCTGCTGCTTTCAGCTCAGTGAGATCTGCTGACCAGTCCGGCTCCCGTTCGCTATTGTGATCACGGTTATCATGGTTATTGCGTTGTGGACAAACCCGTCTGGATGATGATCCCACTATCTGCTGGCTGAAACCTGTAGACTGTAGTGTCATGTAGATCTACAATGCACATCATCCCACATGTACCAGTACAGTCATGATTGTACAGATCTGCCACTTTGACTTACCAGTACTCAGTTCATACAGACTTACATTGCCACGATCAGCGGTATCGAAGGTAGAGCTCAGCCGTGGCAGCTGGAGAAGAACCTACCCATCACCATGATCACTCATTACATCACTGGGACGAAGCGACAGGACACAACGATTACCATGGTTACTACAACGGCTGCTGGTCTGAAGCTGGTTGGACGCTCCCGGAAAACAGCCAGTGACTACAAGACTCCGTGTACTTAGTAGTCGAGTCCCGGTACGTACTGTAAGACATGTTATTATAACGAGTCGCAAATTTAACGATTGTCCAAAATTCATAGGCTAACGAGAAGATATGTTAACGATCTTGCAGTATTCTGCCATATCCACACACAGCATATATGATTATGAAGCAGTACGGCTTCAACGGATCTTATTATAACGAAGAAATGTCATCCGTTAAAACGTTAGATTTGCTTCCTCGTTATATATACATGTCTTACAGTAGTCGTTGATCTACATGTAGATCTACGTGGACATCTACAACTCGTCTGCGAATACCGCAAAGCAGATCATGCACTTGAGTCCATGATAATTTTATACTGCACGGGTCACTGCCACAAGGGCCTACTCCACTGTTCGTAGTGCAGGGCAGTACTTGCACTGCAAGTGAGTAAAATGTAGCCTGTTATTTTTACGTGGCATACCTTGTATCGTAGATCTAAATAATAGCGATTTTATCAATAATTATTTTATAGCCAAGAACACTAGAGGAGTAGAGCATGCAGTAGCATATTGCCATAACAGTCATTGTATTTCACGCAGCGAGGCTGTTTCACTTCCAGCTGGAGCGGTGCAGGGTGGATCTACTGGGTAGCGATGAGATGCCCTGGACTGCTGGAGTGGAGTCTGGTGGTGGTGGTGGTGGTGGTGGTGGGTGGTGGTTGGGATTATGTCACGTAATGTGCTTCGCATTGTTAGCTTGCTTCAGTTCCTGTCCCTCTGATCCGGAAATGGTGCTGCATCCAGTTAGTCCTCGCAACAGCTAGCTTGCAGCACATTCACTCCGACTACGAGCTCGAATGCTCCGCTGGCCGCACGCGCTAGCTGTTCCCGTTACAACGCCCTGCTGACGTGCAATGTAACCCTTTCCCACTGAGGAGATGGGAGAAGATCGTTGGCAAGTGCACTATAGCATTCTAATGTTAAGGTGCGTATTACGTATCCATTTCGTTAACTTTGGCAGTCTGGAGAGAGACACGATACTGAGTGATGCCCATTTTGTGGCACTGAGACGGAATACCTACCGGTAGTAGTACATGACATTGTACTGATATAAGATACGGTGTAGGCAAGAAAATAAGGACTTGCAGGTTTGAAAACTACTAGTACACCATGCATCGTGCAAAGTAAAAATGCCTGCCTATATGTAACTGGCCATGATGATTGTCTATACTATGGAAGTAATGAGAGAGAGAGAGAGAGAGAGAGAGAGAGAGAGAGAGAGAGAGAGTTTGTGCCAGGAACAATAATGGAGGGGGGGGGGGGCACAGGCAACAAACAGTAAACCCATGATGATGGCATCGGTTTCGTTCCCAATATTGTCTCGTCACACAATGACAATTGCAAATCGAATACGTTGTGCCGCTGAGTCGGCGAACATCTGGTGACTGCCGACCATTGGTTTCTGCCGCGCAGCTTTGGAACACCCTGCCACAGGAGCTTACGTCCACTCGTCGGCTAGATTCATTAAAAAAACAGATTGTCCTTCTATGCCGGTTTATCTAGCTGAACATGACCTCCTTCTGGCATTGGTCCTTCTGATTTCTCTCTGATTTTGAATTCTGTTAGAATTTGGCTTCAAGCCTTGTAACTATTGGTATATATATTTCTAAATGACTTCCTTCCCATTTTCTCAAGTACAGCTCGTGCTTTTTCGAGACACACTTCATCTTTTATTCTATCGCCATCATAATATTGGGCATCAATGCCCGTTTGGTTTGCGATGTAAGCTAAAACTTCAAACAAACACAAAATGCAACGTACGGGCGCAGTGCGCACGCGGAACGATCGATTTGTGGTTGCATACGATAGCGCTAGCACGATAGCTACGCAAAGATGGGGGCGCAACACGGTGCTAAGCTCGGACGTAGTCATGCAGAAGGATAAAAACATGGTGTGGTGAAGATCAACTTCTGAAGAAAAAATAATTGGCAGAGGTGAAAGTTACAGGTTCAACATGCACACACCGCTATACAGGTTCAACATGCACACACCGCTATACAGGTTCAACATGACACCGCTACAAGGAAAGCTATGCTTTAAAATGTGTTTTTACAGATCTTCCTTCAGTTACAAATTCCCGCACTGACTGGCTAAGGAGGTTATCTCAGATAGTTCTGGCTCAGTGAATATGTGGAGAAAACGAGATTCCGATATTCACAAGTACATATATCCTGTCTTGTTTTCTCTTCGCCGACAGTGGAAGCATCCCATCCGGCTAGACAGGCAACCATCCCGCCATCCAAAGATGAGACTGCCATCATTCCATGCCCTAAGGGCTGCTCATGCCGTAATGACTGGAAGAAATCGATAGAATGCAAGAGCATTGGGTGGACAGAGCTTCCCAAGTTCCCACCAAATGTACAACACCTGTAAGTATATGTGTATGTAAGTAGGTAGGCTTTCAAATTAATTCTAGCCATTCATTATTCTCAACCTTCTCTGACGAGACCTTAGAGTGGTCGAAATAGCGCTGTATGGAGGAAATGTTATATGTCAGTATCCACAACTTGGTGTCATGTCGCGGGTGTGATGAGATCGGCCAGAGAGCACATGTGGTGGAAGGCCAGAGAGCGCATCATCAGTGTGGTGGAGGTAGAATTGTGTATGTATATGTACTCAATCTGCGGACAGAACTGTTTCGTCCTTTGTGGACTCATCAGCGCAGCACAGAGGAAATGAGGCCGAACCTGAAAGTAATGAAATTTTTTCCCCAAAAAAATCTCGGTTCTCGTGAGACTCCAAAGCCAGATTTAAACCAGGCCCGAACGTACCTTGCCCGGCTGAGTACTCAAACTGACAAGCCAGTGAGCTCTGCATAGTGCAAACAGCTATTAAAGGCACTACCCCACACAAGAGTGCGAAACTGCTACAAGAGCAGAAGCGAAACTGCTACTCCTATATAGATTTTCAGTGGCCACTGGTAAATCTGCTGTGTTCGAGTCTCATACCTGTCTTGACTGTCACTCAGCCTAGATGTTGCATGTAGTATTCACTGTAAGTTAGCAGTACATGTATATTCTGAGCTTTTTCATGCTCACACCGAGTAGCCACTTTCCGCTCATGCACGTGCTCTAAACGAATTCAAATAAAATAAACAAACAAACAAACAATGCGATAACGTTGCAGGACAATGACCGACACCGACTTTCAGCTTGTTCTTGTCTTGGTTGCGCGCACCTTCCCTCGTTCTTAGTTTATTGCTATAACTTGTAGCTTAGAACCTTCCAAGTTCGAAGGCGCTTGTTGTGTGCATCCAAGACGTGCTGGAGCTGATTGGCAGTTAGTCGTAGAACGTCAGTACCGTCGGTCATTGTCGGTCAGTGTCGTGCAATGTTATCGCATGAGCTGATTGTCCAGTAACTGGTGGTGTCAGTGGACAGTATAGAGTAACTTGTAGTTCCTTGGTCCTTTTCTTTGCTATGAATTTTCAACATGAGAGTTAGAAGTGGAGTTGACTGTAAATCCATTAATGTTCATTTTCATGTGTGCGCAGAATCATCACAGGTAACAGCATTCGAAGATTAAGTCGAGAATCTGGCCTATACAATCTGCCCCGCTTGAGAGACTTGTAAGTTGATTTCCGGCAGTAGCTGATCTGAGGCAAGAGCCTTTTTCCGGCAATCCTTTGAGGCAACTAGTGCCAGGTGCTGTGAAGCGCTGGACACGGTATATGTGTGCCATCGCTCCACCGCAGCAGCGCACTGGTACATGCAGGACACTATGCAGCTTGCATGCATGTGACCAGCCTATTTCACCAAAACACAGCAGCTGTACAGTGGATAGGTCGTAGCACCCATCGGGGCTACACAACATACATTGGTACTTGGCAGTATGCCGGTGCCCCTTGACCCGGATTTAGAAGTGAGAAATTCAATGCATAATCCATGGTCAGTGCAACACACGCTTACAGCGGGACAGTAGAGTCGCGCGCTGAAGAACGTGGAACCCAAGAACGTCCAGCCTGAAATTCTATGAACGCAACAGCCTAAAGCTAGGAACGGCGGTGTTGGTTTTCTGGCAGTTTGTGGAATACTGTAGTGTCTTGTATAAAAGCCTGTCTTGTATAGAAAGAAGCCTGTTTAGATCAAGGCTGTCAAGTGCAGTACGATGTACAACAACTTGGAGGATCAGACTCGATGTGCTAAATTGTGCATATTTTCATCCTGGATTGGCACATATTGTGTACAGCAGTGCAAGCGTCGGTTCAACATCGTATTTCGTTGTATGCTAGTACGCCGAAATCGCTTCACAGGTAGAAAATCGACAGGGGGGGGGGGGGGGGGGGGGGGGGGGCGGATCAACGGTACTTTACGGTACATGCAATCACTTCTCAACAAATGGTTCTGCCAACACATCGACCGGTACGTACTCTTAGATGAACGGTTCGGATGAGCTTTGTCCCGGTAACATGTTTCTCACTTGATGCTTTCTAAATTCAAAAGGATCTTGTTGTTTGCTACAGTACCTTCGACAATAACGGACTCAAGCGCGTTGAGGAGGGCACGTTTCCGCCTTGGGTGCGTATGGTCTCCCTGGATGGCAATCTGTTGACTAAAATATCAGCTACAGCGTTCCGCGAGACGAACATCAAGACACTGTAAGGTTATCTATGGAAAAGGAAGCATTTCTTTGAGCAGTGTACGTGCACTGTGTCTGTTTCCGGGGTTAAAGGCTGTGCCGCTGTATAGGCATCAATATGATTGCACTGTCTAAGCTAAACCCTCATTTGGTGGAAAATTTCCAATTTCTATGTGTGTACTGAAGTACTGGACTGAATGTTTGGGGCGTAAGACACAGAGCGTGGATCGAGAATAGACTGAATCCCCCATAAATAACCAACTGTTTGTATGCTTGTCCTTTTAAACACTCGTTTTGGTCTTCCCTGGCAGAGTTTTCATAGCTGGGCCCAATATATTTTGCAAATGGATTTGCACAATGCCTGCATAATGTTTTAACTAACAGAGACTATGCACTCTGTAGCGGAGTGCAACATGCGTGCTAAACTGGTTTGCTTGGGTTATCGGGAAGAAGATGAGCAAGATAGTTGAAAATACCTGAGTGATCACGTGCCTATCCTAATGGTAAAGCACTATTTCCGTGTGTGTGTGTGTGTGTGTGTGTGTGTGTGTGTGTGTGTGTGTGTGTGTGTGCATGATTGTGTTTGTGGTTGTGTGTGTGCACGCCTGTGCATGTGTGTACTGCCTCAATCTTTTTTCACAGACACATTGCGCATAACAAAATTCGCCTGGTCCGACATGATGCATTTCCACTTGGTCTTGAATTTCTGTAAGTCACCCTGCTGTGCCCTTTGTCTTCCGGTCACCATAGTCTCCCATCCACCACATATTTCCTCCTCCTCCTTCTTCTTCTTCTAGCTCCTTCTAACATTATCTTAATGATAGCTTGCATGCCGTCCTACTGGTAGGACCACCGGTAGGACCCAAGAAAATGGCGCAAAATGCAAGGCTATGTCCAGTGCATTACACATGTGCAATTTTATCAATTGTCAACATGGCCGCACATACTCCTGTCGGAGCGCTAGTAACTCTGTGCAAAGTGAATTCTGACCATGACACACCAATCGCTGTGAGGTCCTAATGTTCTTATTAGCCTGCCAAGGCAGTGGAATGCATAATTCCATACTCTGTTTCCATGGTTACTATGAGCTGTTACCATGGAATTTCGTAGTATGCCTTGTGCGATCGCATTATAAAACCTGTGGACTCCTTCAGTAGCCCCTTAGCAACAGGTTAGGGTCAGGTTTTAGGTCAATGTTAGAACAGAGGCCATGCAGCATGTCTGTGTATGATGGTCATACCGGTAGGACCGAGGTCTATGCAAGCTATCACTAATCCTTCTCCGTCTCCTCCGACTCCAGCTTCATTTTTTAATTATGTTGCCCACTGTAGGTAGGCAGAAGTAGAGTGCAGCGGAACAGTTCTGGGACATTCTCGTTTCCTAAATGCTTTCTATATGAGCCTATTGTACTGGCTGACAACTTACTTGCTTGTCCTGTCGTGTTCTTATCACAATTCTTCTATCATTCAGTAACATCAGTGGCAATCGGCTCGACAGAGTTAAAAAAGGATTTCTTGACTACCTGCCCAATCTTGTCTACCTGTGAGTATTAAAAAAAATTGAAATAGAATCATATGTCTGAGCATTGACCAATCTGGTGAATCCGCCAGTACATGTATTCAACTAACCGGCTCTGTGGGAACGCGGTCAATTTTAAAGTTATCCGGCCTGAGCACAACTCACATAGTCACAGCAGAGAAATGTAGGATTGATCCACCCAAAAGTTGTCAATTTGTCTTTCTTCTTGGTTTTAAATTGCTTGCTTTCCTTTCGGAGCCCCATGAAAACTCCTCGTTACCAACGCTCAAGTAGAGGAGATTTAGCCCCAAAAAGCCCCAATATGTAGTACTAGCATAAAAACTTTAAAGAGAGTGGTGAGACTCTCAGTCAGCAGATGCTAATACATTTTAACTTTGTGTTTGGGGTTTGGGTTCTGCTTTTCTTCAGCTACCTCTACAATAACAAGATTGACACTATTGAGCACCATGCTTTGCCCAGCTCTCTCAGGACACTGTAAGTCTACGGTTATCAGGCCATTTTTAAAGGGTTTGCTTGCACGGATACATGTGTGCATGTGTGTGCATGCATGAACGTGTGTGTGTGTGGGGGGGGGGGGGGGCGTGTGTGTGGGGGGGGGGGGGGGAGGGGGGGGGTGTATGTGGGTGCATCTGTGCATGCATGAACATGTGTCGGTGTGTGTGTGTGTGGGGGGGGGGGGGGCGAGTGTGCGTGCACATGCCTTCGCTGTAACAAGTTAGTAAATCACCGTTCCTTGGGCACGTGGACACACTGTGAAGGCCACCATGATGTGCATGTGTGTTCAACTGCTGCTACTTTTATACACTGTGTGTCTCTGTACTCCTCGCTAGTCTGCTGCTAACTGTGCACCAATCTGACTCGGTTCAAAATCTGGTTTAGTTGGTGGACTCTTAAGGGGTCGTCGCAAAAGTTTTCTGTCGTCCCTGAAACGAACATCGTTCATTTCGTACTCGGACCCCCTCCCCTCCCTCTGAAACGAACACAGCTTGCTATGCTGGACGACGAAAATCGCATGCATGTACATGTCATATGTACAGTGTCGGTCGACTTGCGATTTTGGCTCGCACCCCTCCCCCCCAAATGAATCATGTTCGTTTCAGGGACGACAAAAAACTTTTGCGACGACCCCTAAGGCATAACTTGTGCCCCAACGTTTTCCATGTTTCTAATTCAAAACTTCCCTTGGCTCACCATCCGAGTCCCTCTATACACATCATGATAATTATATTTCTTGTACTGAATATGATCCTCTTTCTGCAGTGGACTGGGATTCAACAAGTTGCAGCGCCTGGGCAATGAGCTCTCCAACCTACGGATGTTGAAGAACCTGTAAGTATTGCTTTGAAGAACCTTTTTTTCACGCAGCCTCGCTCCCCCCCCCCCCCCCCCCGTCAGCCAGTGGTCTCTGTGTTCACATTCCATTTCTTATTAATGATAGTAACTTATTGAAATGTACTGCAGAAAAATGTGGATACTAGTCAGGGCCGTAGCACCCGGACCAGGCCATGGCCAGACCCGCATATTATCGAAACAGTTGGCCCACTCAATTCGTGCACACCAGTACATGCAGCAGCTGCTCTAGGGTTGAAAACTAGACAGCCCCTGGTTGAAACGATGTTCATTTCTATCAAGTATCCAATTTGGCCAGACCACCTGAGATCACAGTGCTATGCGGCCTGCTAATAAAATAAAATACGGACTGCACTTTTGCGTCCCCGGGTCAGCCGCGTTGAGCCATGGACCGCACTATTCGCTTGTGCTGGTCAGAGAAAGACAAATACGACCAAATGAAAAGATACTGCTGGGTACACTGCTAGTGGGTGAAAGACAAACTGAACTCTCTGGAGAAAGCCGATAGAGGATATCATTTTGCAAAGGAGAATGGTACGAACTACGAAGAGCGGAGGAGGTCTTAAGATGTGTACCGTATGTTATTTTGCCTGTCGCCATGTCACCACAGCTTCTTGAATAACAATGGAATGAAGAGCCTGGGCCACAACGCATTTCACCACCTACGTGAGTTGTGTGAGCTGAGTCTGATGAAAAACCAGCTGACCGAGTTTCACCCGGAGCAGTTCGCTTTGCTGCACAACTTGACAACTCTGTAAGTAACTTGGCACAGCCATGCGGACACTTTTCACCAGAGACAAAGACTAGAGTACTCCTTGCTTCAAACTACTGTACCATCTCAGCATGGAATTCACAGCATGATTGCACATAAAGGTGCACACAATACCACGGTGACTGCCACTACAAGTCCGATTAAAACTGCACAGTCTGAGAGCGGTACTGAGTCACTGCACAGTCTGAGAGCGGTACTGAGTCACTTGGAGTGGATCACGTGCACATTAGGCATCTCTAAAGTTACTTGGGGCTACCTGCAGTGCATCGTAAGATTGGAAAACAAGATGTTTGTACATGTTTGGCGGGTAGCAATATCACCACTGTCCGCATGCAGTACCAGGCCCGGAGCCAGCTCCCAAGGGGTGGTACGGCCCCAGGTCGGCTGAAGGGGCAGATAATTTCCGCATGTCCTATTTCAGTGCCATGGGGAGGATTCATCTCTAGCTAGCTCTGTGCGGCATCACATCTGGTTGTTCCAGCTACACATATCGCTAACAACAGATACAATGAAACGTGCATGTGTACAGTTAGTACAGTAGCCCTCACAGGACATGATGAACAGTTTATGGGTGAGAGACTCTTCACGAGGATAGCCTATTTGTACCTCCACACAATTGATCATACACTGGACATTTGTGAAATTTGGCATTGATAGAAACTGGTCCGGCCATGGCCGCACCAGCCGTACCAGTGGCGCCGGCCCTGAGTACACATGCACGTGCACATACGTTGCAGCATCATGTTATTTTAACTCAGATGACTATGGCAAATACGAGCCCTGGAGTGACAGTTTTCTAACGTCAGTTATCTACATCAACAAGGTCACCATGTAGGGTGTGAACAAACGTGATCGTTTGATTCTGAGTAATTCTGTAGATCTGGAATCCGCGTCTGGATCAGGCCAACCAAATGATTATGGCTACATATTATACACCTCTATTAAACACATGTTTATTAGCTTCCAATTAGGGTTTCTATTGCCCCTAAAACGGTTGGGACTCTGTTGATCAATTGAATGCGTTTCAACTTAATATGATCTAGTATAAATGGAGGGTCACTTGCAAAGCTTCACTGAATGTTGAACTGAGCCGGTGTCACGGCTTTTTGGTATTCTTCTATTGCAGAAATATCTTCAAGAATAAAATACGCAGACTGCCCAAGTCAGCCCTTCCACTCAACTACAAATTAACACGCCTGTAAGTACAGTAAACAGTAGCATAACACTTATTGGTGTGGAGTTCACTGTGTAAACAGTAGCATAACACTGTTATTGGTGTGGAGTTCGCGCTGTGCTCATGGTGTGAATGAAACAAGCAAGGGTTCCATTAAAACTCTAAAAGGCAAGATTGAGCGAACACGGTCCTACCCCAGCTATCTGAACCTCGATTATCCACATGCTTTTGATAATAGCTGCTGCACCTTATCAGGCGTATCCTTGTGACTGTACAAGTAGTCTCTCCGGGAATTTTTCCGATGTTGGAAGAAAACTTTCTTGTTTTTTGTTCGTGTGTTTGTTGCTGTTTCGTGTCTTGCTGACTGTGTGAATGTGCACTGTGAGATGCTTGCCCCTGCTCACTCGCAATATGACTGGCATTGACTGCACATTGAAAGAGAGAAACTAGGCCGATGTGGGCATTGCTTCGCGGTCTTTGGATCTGCGATGAGAGTTCTCAGAACGGTATTATCAGAGCATCAGAGCGCACCAGTTCAAAACAGCTTGCCAGACTGATTGCTAGGATAACTGGGTACAACACGCGGCTAACCCTGTTCCCCAATGTTTTGCACATGCGTGTTTGTGTATATGCACATATAGGTACCTGCAGCAAAATCCATACCATTGCGATTGCTCAGTAAGATGGCTGGCAGACCTGATGAGGGACTATACAAGCGTCGACTACACTAGTCACTTTCATGACAACTACATGTCCGGGAAGAAAAAAAAAGAAGACCCCCCTGCGCCTGAGAGTATATTCTGCAGTAGTCCACCTGCGTTCCAGAACTGTCCGCTGGTTACGATTGACTTCGATTGCCCTCTCATGAACTGCAGTGGAAATGCAAGATACGACGGGCCTTGGGAGCCCAGTACGCTGTCACCGATATTCACCGACACGTGTGGACCACAGCACCAGCAAGTTATTGCCGCTGCATCGGGATCATTGCTGCCACCGCCCACGACGGCCACCACCACCATCAGAAGCAGCAGCAGGCAAAGTAGCACAACCCCTACACAATTGCATGACGACACGGCATGGAGCACAAATACTGTCAGCATGCAGGAACGCGGTGCCAGCCGCGGTAGCAGCAGCAGCAGTGCACCAAGTAACAACCCAGTGGGGCGTCAGTCAGCAGCATCACTTCTCCTCTGTGCCTGGCTGCTAGCTGTGCTGCTGGAGAGCAATCTCCTGTAGGCAAATATCTACAGCAGCCGCTCAGTCTCATCCCTACTACTAGTAGATACTTCATTGTCACCATGGTTACCTGGGACCATTACATCATCCATCCATTTTCTATTACTAGAGGCTATGTCATGCAGTGATAAAATCCCCCCACCCCCACCCTGTCATGTGGCCACTATTCTTGAGAAAAAGACAGAAATAAGTTGAGATTCGTTTTGTCTAAGTATTATGAGCACTGCGCTGCTGATGCTCAAGTTCTTGATTGCGTAACCATGGTAACGCTGTGCTCAGCCTGAGCACAGCGTGCTGCAACAATCCAAGTGGCACGGTACAAGCCGCAGCACTGAACAGGAGAGGTGTACTGTGACACGCAGAGACATTCATGCCCGCCTTAGCAGCTACATTTCTTGAACCACCTGCATTCCGAGCTGGTGCCATTGTAGCGTGTTGTCAGGTTGCTATGGCATACTTTATGCCTTCACAGCCCCATATCTTGGATGGTAGCATTCCTTTCTTTACTTGCAACTCCGCCACCCCATACTTGTGGTACTGATACTATTATGTTTTATGTTAGTACTTACCTTTAAAGAATTTCCTTGTCTTGTATATGGAGAGAGTATTTTGTGAATTCTTTGAAAACAAAGCATATAATGCTTATTCTAGACATTCTAGTTTGGCAAGTATATTCCCATTCTTGATGTCATCATATTTTTCTGGAAAAAACTTGATATTACTAGCAGTCTTCGCGTTCTCTGCATCGATCTCACCGGGGCCAGGAGTGAAGCTCAGTGCACGCTACAACGGAGCTAAAACAATGAACTCGTATTAGATATGTAACAATGAACTCCCGTGAACTTCCGGCAAAGGGATATAATTATATGGCTAACACCGCGGGATAGCCAGATCATTCTGTCCCCCATGTGTGCATTCTCCACAATGGGTAGCAAAAGAGAGAAAAATGGAAAGTACAGGCAGGTCCTTGCTCATACTAGCCGCTTTAGACCCATGTTCAACTTATTATTGCGAACCTGGAAAAGAATGAGAGGGTATAGACGGGAAAACTGAAACGATTATTTTAAAATAGTTCAAAAAGAATTGCTTGGAATAGCAACTCTTCGGCTTGAGGGAGTTTGAAATTGCGATGCACATATTAATAAAGATAGTGGCGTATGCTGCCAAAGCTCAATGGAAATGGCTTGCGGCTCAAGAGTACCAGCTTACAAATGGAGTAATGAAGCATGAATAGGAAATTTACCAGTGACCAAGTCCCAGTGCCTGGAGATATATTCCTGGCGGCCGGAGAGCTTGAGACACTGCTTGGCGGCGCTGTTAGCAGCACTGCGGCGTGTTCCAACATGGCAACCTCAAGTGGCAAACGTAAGCATGCGCTACAACTGTCGTATCGGTGAGTCGGGAAGCTTACCAGTTTGCCTTGCTCACCAGTAAATGAGGCAACCAGGCACCCCAGGGAAGTACACTCTTCAAAAGTGACTGCTCTATAAGATGTGTGAAACATGGACTAGGAGCCGCATCCGGTCGTAATGCAACTGTTCCTTGGCACTGGAGCGCTGACAGGATGATTATGTTACTATAGAACTGAGACCAGGTCTCGCCGCTCGAACGGCGTTGAATAGAAATAGCACTCAACGTGTTCTCTCAAGGAAATAAGCCGAGACCAGGATACCGGACCCCAAACCATCAGTCAGAACTCTCGATCAGCAGGGGCACTTTCTCGGCTCTGGCTCGGCTGCTAATTGGACCCGAGATGAATGATCTGTACGCGGTGCTATAGCACCAGCTCTCTCGACGAGCGTCCGTGCTAATCCATCAAACAGCTTTTCAATATCCACGCCCGTCTTGGCACTGACCTTCCAGGATTCCTGCAGCTCGGGCAGTGTAAACAGGCACAGGCAATGTGCATGAGAGTGGGCAGTGTGAACAGGACCAGACATTGTACACGAGAGTGGGCAGTGTGAACAGGTGCAGACATTGTACAGTAGGAGTGGGCAGTGTTTTAGTAAGGCGTTGGTGCTCATGACACACACTTTCCTCGGGGAGAGTACTGGAACAGCAGCACTGTGCCACACAATTGATGATTACACGTTCGATGTGATGAGCAAATAGGTCCTAAACACTTCCATTGGTCGGAACACAACACAGCAGCGCTAAAAAGATCGTTTCGACAAGCCAAGCAACAGTTTTTTTTCATGCATGCTGGCGCAGGAGGGAGACTTTGCCGACGCTGTGGGTGGTCCTGTTCCGACTCAACACGCTCACAATGTCCGGCTACACTGCAGCTAAACTTGATTGGCTTTTAAGTATTTACATATCAGGTATGGTGAGCATAGTGCAAAGAAGAGAAAAGTGCTGCACGATAACGGTGGCTAGATGCTGGTGCAGGTGCAAGTGCTGCGAGGCTGCGTGCCAAAAGTGCTACCTAGGTGCATAGTGCTGGTGACGAAAAAGAAGAAGTGAGAAGTGCCTGGCCCGTTACCAGCTTCTTGTTCTTTCTCTTGTTCTGACGGAGACTGCGTGGACTGAGATTGCGCAGGAGAGACCGAGGCCGATCAAAGCCCAGGCCCAGCCCGATACCTGGTGCTGCTTCCTGCTGGTATTTCGCATCAAGCTGAGCAGAGTAGAGAGAATGCAATGCTATGGGAGAATGCAATGCTGTGGGGCAAGTGAAAAGTTCAAGCAAGCTGGACGAGTGATAGCTGCCAACCATGCAGTCAACTCGTTCAGCAACAAGTGTCGGCAGGGACTTTGCATCACCAACCATGAAAGGTGACACTGAGGATGGAACTACTTGCACAAGTATAAAAGCTCTCCACTTCTAGCCACTGCCTCTACCACCCTGAATAGCCACTGCCTCTACCACCCTGAATAGCCACTGCCTCTACCACCCTGAATAGCCACTGCCTCTACCACCCTGAATAGCCACTGCCTCTACCACCCTGAATAGCCACTGCCTCTACCACCCTGAATAGCCACTGCCTCTACCACCCTGAATAGCCACTGCCTCTACCACCCTGAATAGCCACTGCCTCTACCACCCTGAATAGCCACTGCCTCTACCACCCTGAATAGCCACTGCCTCTACCACCCTGAATAGCCACTGCCTCTACCACCCTGAATAGCCACTGCCTCTACCACCCTGAATAGCCACTGCCTCTACCACCCTGAATAGCCACTGCCTCTACCGGCACCCTGAATAGCCACTGCCTCTACCGGCACCCTGAATAGCCACTGCCTCTACCACCCTGAATAGCCACTGCCTCTACCACCCTGAATAGCCACTGCCTCTACCACCCTGAATAGCCACTGCCTCTACCACCCTGAATAGCACCTGCCTCTACCGGCACCCTGAATAGCCACTGCCTCTACCACCCTGAATAGCCACTGCCTCTACCACCCTGAATAGCCACTGCCTCTACCACCCTGAATAGCCACTGCCTCTACCACCCTGAATAGCCACTGCCTCTACCACCCTGAATAGCCACTGCCTCTACCACCCTGAATAGCCACTGCCTCTACCACCCTGAATAGCCACTGCCTCTACCACCCTGAATAGCCACTGCCTCTACCACCCTGAATAGCCACTGCCTCTACCACCCTGAATAGCCACTGCCTCTACCACCCTGAATAGCCACTGCCTCTACCGGCACCCTGAATAGCCACTGCCTCTACCACCCTGAATAGCCACTGCCTCTACCACCCTGAATAGCCACTGCCTCTACCACCCTGAATAGCCACTGCCTCTACCACCCTGAATAGCCACTGCCTCTACCACCCTGAATAGCCACTGCCTCTACCACCCTGAATAGCCACTGCCTCTACCACCCTGAATAGCCACTGCCTCTACCACCCTGAATAGCCACTGCCTCTACCACCCTGAATAGCCACTGCCTCTACCACCCTGAATAGCCACTGCCTCTACCACCCTGAATAGCCACTGCCTCTACCACCCTGAATAGCCACTGCCTCTACCACCCTGAATAGCCACTGCCTCTACCACCCTGAATAGCCACTGCCTCTACCACCCTGAATAGCCACTGCCTCTACCACCCTGAATAGCCACTGCCTCTACCACCCTGAATAGCCACTGCCTCTACCACCCTGAATAGCCACTGCCTCTACCACCCTGAATAGCCACTGCCTCTACCACCCTGAATAGCCACTGCCTCTACCACCCTGAATAGCCACTGCCTCTACCACCCTGAATAGCCACTGCCTCTACCGGCACCCTGAATAGCCACTGCCTCTACCACCCTGAATAGCCACTGCCTCTACCACCCTGAATAGCCACTGCCTCTACCGGCACCCTGAATAGCCACTGCCTCTACCACCCTGAATAGCCACTGCCTCTACCGGCACCCTGAATAGCCACTGCCTCTACCACCCTGAATAGCCACTGCCTCTACCACCCTGAATAGCCACTGCCTCTACCACCCTGAATAGCCACTGCCTCTACCGGCACCCTGAATAGCCACTGCCTCTACCACCCTGAATAGCCACTGCCTCTACCACCCTGAATAGCCACTGCCTCTACCACCCTGAATAGCCACTGCCTCTACCACCCTGAATAGCCACTGCCTCTACCACCCTGAATAGCCACTGCCTCTACCACCCTGAATAGCCACTGCCTCTACCACCCTGAATAGCCACTGCCTCTACCACCCTGAATAGCCACTGCCTCTACCACCCTGAATAGCCACTGCCTCTACCACCCTGAATAGCCACTGCCTCTACCACCCTGAATAGCCACTGCCTCTACCACCCTGAATAGCCACTGCCTCTACCACCCTGAATAGCCACTGCCTCTACCACCCTGAATAGCCACTGCCTCTACCACCCTGAATAGCCACTGCCTCTACCGGTACCCTGAATAGCCACTGCCTCTACCACCCTGAATAGCCACTGCCTCTACCACCCTGAATAGCCACTGCCTCTACCACCCTGAATAGCCACTGCCTCTACCACCCTGAATAGCCACTGCCTCCACCACCCTGAATAGCCACTGCCTCTACCACCCTGAATAGCCACTGCCTCTACCACCCTGAATACAGTGAATAGCACCTGTACCTACATGAAAACCCATCGTTTACTGAAGAAACGTCACTAGCATGTAATTCCTCCTCTCCACTCCCCTGTATGTACTAGAAGAATAGAAGGCGGGTGTTAAGTTTCCACTCTTACAGTATGACAATAATGGTAAGCAGATGCACTATAATGTCCATTGAGTGGCGAAATTGGAATATGAAGTCACAAAATACGTGTATACTATCCTGCCGCTGATCACACTTCGTTATATATATTATGGCTTTTACAGTACTTTCAATATTCAGCAATCATTTCATTCCTAGTACCGTCTACAGACAAAAGATTAAACTGAAATCCCAAGTTCAATGAAGGACACGAGCACACCCGCCACACAGGCTTACCTTGAATTCGAGCTCACGGTGAAACGCCTCTATTGTTGAATCTTCTAGCGCAATGTCATCCTCGGGTAGATCACATTTGTTGCCCACTAGGAACATGCAGTGTCTCGGTTCGAAGCGCCGCGCATCATCAGCCCACGTGGACAGGTTGTAGAGAGAGTCGACGGCGCCAAGGTCGTACACGTACACACACGCCGCGGCAGAGTGGTAGTAGTTTGCCGTCAGGGTTCTGTACTTCTCACTGCCCGCCGTGTCCCAGATCTGTAGCTGCATCGTACCGGTAGCAGCAGACAAGCAATGTGACAAACACGCACACACAGCCTGATTTTATTTGCAGCCACAAAAGCTATAAAATAGTTAATGGTCTGTCACCGACGGGAGCATGAAGTATGATCCCATGCCAGAACATCCTAAAAAAATATTAAAAACCGCATCACTTGCGCTGTTTTGACAAGTTCTTAGCAGTTGAGGTGGTGGCGATATCACATGTCATCTACCTCACTGTTGTTTGGCTAATGGCGGTGGTCTGGGCCTGATAGTATAGTAGTGTTGAGAAAAGCGGAAATAATATTGCACCGTGCTGCGTTCGGAATGGTGACCAACCACTCCTTTCCGTTCCTGTTTTTGAACGTGGATGTGCATCTGAATACATTTGATGTGCAACCAAAACGAAAGTTCACGGTAACTTTACATGACGCTGGCAGCAGAATTGCCATACCTGGTATACTCTTTTCCTGCCACCATAGTGATACCATTATCGTAATGTACTGCTGATGCTCCCACCCACCCTTCCACTATGCTGCCAGTATCACTTCCCAGCTGATTTTACAGGTGGCGGCACGTCACACTGGATCGTCCACACATCCACAGGGTTGCCTACAGTGGCATGGGATGCATACAGCAGTGCATGCATCGGCCCAACACCGTATCTTGACGTATACAATAACACTGAAGTCCAACTAGGAAGGTGGCCGATAGAACCTGCCCAGACCAGGCACAAGCAGCCATGCAAGCAGTTCTCCAGTAGAGTAGGGAGATTTGAAAAAAGGCAAGAGCATTGTATTTCAACACGGAGGTTTAGCTGGTCGAGGGAGAGGAATCAACAATTCGGTGAAGTGCATGTAGCCTTGCAATGCCAGCAGTGGGCGTGCATCACAGATGAAGAGAGTCTTTCAGCTTTCAGCTCCTTGCAGGGTGCAAACGGTATGCTGTGAGGTCAGGGCGAAATGAACAGCTTGGGTATGCAGTATACTATGTACCAGGTGTGCTTTTGCTTATACAGTAATGTCACCCCAGTCATACAGACGAATCGACGGTGGCATCAAGGAATCCATAAACCAAGCAGCACCACAAGGTCCTGATGCTGACGGATCACGTTCAAGCAATCGAGAAGTCCGCACAACAAGGACAGTCGGTACGATTGATTGCTTTTTACAAATTTGAAGCCCAGCGCAAAACGAAACTTACACAGGGAGCGTTTGACTCCTGGTTTCAGAAGTAGCAGCTGAATTTGATGTCTGCAAAAATTAAACTCTTCTCTCTCTCCCTCTCTCTCTGACTCTCTCCATCTCTCCGTCTTCCTCTCCAAGTGTTGTTTGACCTAAAATAAGAATGGTATTGCGCAAGTCCTGGGGAATTGTATTGGCTGCATTTTGACATACATATCATCTAATGGCCCGTGTAATGGGATCCTTATATGGTCACACAGTGCAAACCTCTAACTAAAGACCACCTGCTACTAAAGACCGCTTTTGCTGGAACCAAGGGGTGGTCGGTAGTCACAGGTTTACTGTACTACACCCAGCGGATTCATTCCATTTCCAAGTGAAGATGTTGATGTAATCCACAAATGGAGAAAATCTGCAGATTGTGATAAGCCACCCTATGATTGTATCAGCCTCCCCCTCCACAAACACACCCACACACACACCCACACACCCACACACACACACACCTCCCCGTCCCTTCCAGGACCGTGGAATGCTTGCTACCTTCACAACCCATGGCATTTACCAATAACAACCTTACTGTGACTGTCACACCGTCCACTTCATACTCTTTGGTAAATTGGTCGACTCCGACAGTGGTGCCCCACTCTTGAAAGCGCTTGGCGCGCAACCTCTGGAATATGGACGTCTTGCCCACATTGACCTCTCCGACTAGAACCACCTTGAACACTCGCTTGCTGCTGCCACCAAGTGTGCCCTCCAGCACCGCGTTGCCGGCGCTGGCGGTAGCCGATGTGTCCATCGTGCAAGGCAACCACGCCACTAGTCGCAAGCACTTGAACAGTACAGGCTCAGAAGGACGAATGCTTGTCAAGTAGACACTTTGAGATGGCTCGGACTGCACCAGATATTACAGGTAGCAGTGTCCTGAGCCGCAATGAAAACTCGCTGTTGGGAGTGTCGGACAAGTCTTAGCGACGCCAGCCACCCTCCGAACGCTTCAATGCACGGCAGCGGCGGAGAAGAAAGCTCTGCTGCCAAGGAAAATTCAACACTTTCGCTAGTTACTAGGCATTTGCCTTCATGCTAGTTGCTAGTAGTGGTTAGAAAGAGGACCGCTGAATAAAACTAATAAAATAACTAAACATCTACCCCGCCGCGCGCCACATGTAGCTACGTAGATCTACAGACAGTCAGTGATCAATGAGTTGAGTTGGTTGGAGGAGCACACACCTGTACACCAGCGGCCACACCGGTATCCACAATCCCGGCAACCACACACACAGTCTGTGACACGTGCACACAGTCTCACTCTAAGCTCAGTCAGTCAGACAGACAAGCTACATAACACTACAGCAGCTAGCAGGCAAACGTCTGTAGTACTCTTGACACGTGCGTCACGAAGCAGGAAATGCACACTCGATCGAGTGTTGCTACTCCGCGATCAATCCTGTCGAACTGTTGTGTTCGGTACGTATAGAGTCTGTAGCCTTAGATCTGCATGGTCGAAGTGAAAGTTCAAGTGAAAGTTCTCAACATCATTCAGTCACAAGTACAGTCATGATCGGTCGCTAATCAGGCAAAACTGTTTCTTGTATCAAGGCCATAACAACAAGCCATGGCCGCTTACCATCAAGACTCAAGAGTAACATTAGTTGCTAGGCTTGGAGTCGGACGTCGTTCCACGCCCATCCCCCCCCCCCCCCCCCCCGCGCGCTGGTAGGAATGTATGCTAGAGCAGAAGCCATAGCAACATGTGCTGGGATTGGGCCATTCAAGGACAGGGAGAAAGTTGAGTTGCACACTCTTGTTTATGTACACTTGGTATAAATCAAAGTTGAGTACGAAGAAATTAAAAAAGTGCCGCAAAGTATTGTGCCAACGCCTATTACTGAAGCAGACACATGCGCGCGCACGCACACACACACACACACACACACACACACACACACACACACGCACACACACACATACACGTGCACCCACATGCACACACACATGCACGCGCACACACACACACACGCATGTGCACACATACACACACATGCATGTGCACACACACACACACGCACACACACACACACACAGCAAAGGATAATGATAGGCTTGATAGCACAAACAATACAAAAAGAGCAAGTGTGTGCGTATCTTTCACTCCTTCACAAAAAAAATGGCTCGTCAGCTTTTCAGAACAAATCTTATGGTGCACACGTTCAGGTTAGAAGCAAGTACAATGTAAGAAAAAAGAATGGCTGCTGCAACAGGAAAAAAGCTGAGGTGCGAGGTTGTCACCAACGTCCTCAGGGACCGATCATATCCTGTCTAAAACCATCCTACTTGAAGTAGCTGTTGAGGACACCACAGCAATGGTTCCCGGACGTTGGTTAAGGGCACAGACCAGTACACATAGTAGCTGTAAGCGTGTACATGTACATAGTACAGCATGGTCCCGAAGAATTCACACAAGGGCTACGCTTGCTGTCCTCCCAGTCCATCATCACAGCAAGCAGCCGGTTTCGAACAAAATCCAAATAGTCCCGTGTTACAAGGAGCTGATTGAGAAGTAGCAGCAGCTGACAAACCACACGACACAGTCCGCTGCTGTCTCGCTTAGGTCACAGTCCAGCCATTGACTGCCTCAACCAGACAGGAGACAGTATCCAGTTCCCATCCTCTTTTGCAAGCCTGTACATCAACAGGGATAATAATATACGAGAGCTGACTGAGTACAGGACGAATGTGTAAGCATACGCTATGGATAAGACTGTAGACTGCAGAAGCATTCCTAATACGCACGGAAACTCCTGCGCAGGCTGCGGCCAAGGTCCGCGTGAACACCGCACATACCCACACACCGCACACACCCACGCACGCACACGGACTATTCCCCCAATCTCCAACTTACCAACTCCTCTCCGATGATGCCATGTGCACGAGAAGCAGGAGTAGATTGCTGCTACCAGATGCCATCACTTCCATTCACGGCGGTGCGAAGCAATGAGTGTCAAACAATCCTGCTTGGTTGATCATTGCACACATCAAGGACTTGTCTGTGGGCAGAGGGAAGAGAGTCTTTCCTCACGCCTCCCAATCTCGAGCAGGAAGCGTCAACATGTGATTTCATCTTTCGGCGGTGAATACTCTTTTGGGTAGCAACCTCCAATCCAGCGGTCAAAGTCAACAGCATGCTTGAAAGACTAACAGGATGCCCAGGGATGGTGTGTTGAACGAGGCATTACCCTATCATCGAGTGTTCACGAAGGGCGAACACCTTCGCCATCCGTCGCGTCCATTTGCTCTGCACACACGAGAAAAGAAAGAAGCAGCAGTGTGGCTGTCGTTTCGGTGTGTGACCGCGTTCCTACAGCCAAGCATACCTACAATGATCGGTTGTGGACAGGCGGTAGTCAAGATGCAAGGAACTACTCGCACAGAAGTCAAAGCAATGCGTTAGAACTCGGAGCTTCACGCCAATCGACCGTCAGCCAACATGAGCTTTCATTGACCGAGGACTGCTTGGCGTGAAACTAAAAGTTGCAACAGGTCGCTCTGATTTCTCTGCTAGAAAGCTCTAGCTGCGGGTGCTGTGCTGTGCAGTGTGTGAGAAGTGGAAGTCGGCCACTGCGGAGTGTGGAGGTGATTGAAAGACATGGAGTACATACCGTGGTGATCACAACACATCGATGTCTTACCCTCCCCCGGAAGAAGATACTTTTGACATCGCCAGCAGGCTTGCAACACCGCCTCTGCACAACATAAAGCAGCGTAGACGAGTTACAGAACATAGCACAATAAAGATCAATCGCCATTTAATACAGTCAAACCTTCTCAGGACCAATACCAGCGGATCGATGGAGTCTGTTTGCACTAGTGGGAGTTCTTCATATCAGAGCACGACGTTATACTACGTTATACACAGTGAGTTGGCCAATCGAGTCGCCAGTGCAACCGTGTTTGATTCACTGTATCAAACCACACCAAGCGTCAACCTAACTATGCTGAAGAAGCAACATCTAAATGCTGATGCAGCAGCTACTTCAACCTGCAAATGCTCTACTTATTCCGTGACTGCATTTTATGCAAACTGAGATGTAGCGAGTTTGGCGGTAACATATTTTCTCGCGCCTTCGGGAGGATAGAACTTGAAAGTCAGTCGAGTGCCAGTCAAGTCAGTAGAAAACACAAGTTCCCAAATAATCGGAAATACTACTAAGGTCTACATGTAGGAATCATTCAAAGCTTCGTAAATTCGAACCTAGTGGGAAGATTATGTTTGCACCTGGAAAATACTGGAGTGGTTGGTAACTACCCAGACCCAGACTCCACAAGTGCAACACATTCTAGAAAAATAATTCACCGGAAAAGAACACCGGGCTTACCATCTGGGGAGAAAGGAGCCAGCGGCTGAACAGGAAGCACACAGAAAATACATGAATTAAAGTCGAAACACCAGAACTGCAAAGTGTGGGAACAGACAGAGCGCAGTTTGTGCAGTGTCCTACTTTGAAAACAATATACACAAGCACACCACTGGCAAATTGCCCTAGCAAAAAATGCATGGGGCATAAAACTGCAATGATGCAAGAAGGACCCCCCCCCCCCCAAAGATGAAGCATTCTGCCGGGTAAATCAACCACGAATACAGGGGCAATGCGTACACATAACGTCTTACCAGTAATTATGTCTAAAATACTCAGATTCTGAAAAAATTGTGAAGGTCTCGAAAGCACTATCTCAGCACATGCTGATAGATGAAGCAGCCACAGAAACTGCCACAGTAAACAATACATACAAAGACTAGCATACAAAGAGAGTTGCACTCACGTTGAAGTAGCATTGCGGCCACCAATACACGCGGTCTTCAGTCCATGCCGGTAAGTTCTGAACACAACCACCGCCGCTACCACCACCACCACCATCACCACCACCTCCACCGCCATCACTGCCATCATTCTCATCATCGCCAGCAGCAGCAGAAGCCCGCCTCAACTCAACGAGACAGTCCTCCAATTGCTGCCAACCGCAGGCACAGCCGGCACATTGCGGGTAGTCTAGAAACTGCATCACGGTTTCCGTCGCCTCTGCACCCAGAAGACACAGAATAGCACTACTAGTACTTGCACTTCTCTCACTGTATCAATCACTAACGACAGTGCAGCTGGTAGGTGAACTCTGGACCGATGTCCACTTTCAGCCTTGCGAACACATATTGATTGCATGATGAAGGTCCGCGGCTGTATGCATGGCCTTCACAGTGCTGCAAGTGCTGATCCACCCAGAATTCACTTGCCACGACTGCACAATATTGGCAAGCTGCCACAACCAAACAGCTGAAGTCACATTGAACCCAGCAGACACCAATATAGCACGTGGGCATCCCTTGACCTGCCAGAATGTACATGAATATCAGACCAGGTTCTAGCCCTTCGGCCAAACAGTCAACCAGTACATAGCGTACATAGTAATGTACTGTCATAGTGCCACACAGCTGCCCCTGTGCTGGCGACTACACTATAGTCAATATGCACAGTCTCACACTCTCACCGGCTGGAGACTCGGCAAACTGAGGGAACTGGAGCAGGAGGTCACTGGTAGGGCACACCTCGATCAACGACAGGAACGCGTGACGGACCTCTTCCTTGCTGCAGCTGCGTTTCTCATAGAGACGTATCAGGTGACTGCATAGAAAGCTGGGCAAGCAAGCGACATAGACATAATCAGAGACACAGGTAATGTCAGAACATTGAACAGAGAAGGAAGCCCCGCGGAGAGATAGAGAGAGAAAATAATTTCAGGAAGACACAGTACACACATTTAGATCGTGTAATCATCACACATTCATCATCACACATCAACCCCAGAGAGTTGTATTTGTAAACCCGGCAGAGGACATGTCAGTGATTTCGGTTCAAAAACAAGGTGATATCCGCAATAAAAACATTCTACAGAGCCAGTCTTGAGAATATTAGACACATGTCTTTCGGTTGATGGTAGAACAATATCAAGGAACTTAAGAAAAAGTAAGCGCGTGAAGGCATATATAAGAAAGAGAATGGGTATTTTTTCAGTATTCCCTGGCGTTCGTAAGTATCCCATTGCCCCACCTCTAAATATTTAGAATACGAGTGATCATGCACGAAGAAAGAGTTCTGATCGTATGATGTCATCATGAGAATGTAATGATTGTTTTTACTGTTTCATGATCATCATGCGGCGGGGATGCCAAGGCATTATATTCAGCTACTCCTAGAGAAGTCATCAAGATTGTATTCAGGCGTCTATTGCATTGGACTTTGCTATGAGTATGAACTCCAACAAATAGCTGTAGCTGTATCAAGAGTTGAATGAAGCAATCGACCACTGCTTACCAGTTTGCATTCGCCGACGTCGGATTCGTCTCCTTGTACATTTCCAGGACGTGACGAACTTCGGAGGAGTCGGGATGCGCCTGCTCGATGAGCTGTGTGGAAAACGACCAAACAGATAACAGGCACTGACGCTACATGTAAGTACTGAAGCTCTTGAGCATAGGACGTGAAGCATGAAACACCACGTATCAGCAAAACATGTCACCAGTGGCCACCGTAGGTTACGGGAAAACGTAGTACACTTGCCGACAACATGTTTCGCTCTATGGTCTACGTACGGTTCAGTATGTAACAGTAAGTTATTGGAAAGGCTTCCTGTCTGAAGCCTTTCCATACTGGTACTCGATGTTCCAGTTTTGTGACACGAGAATGGCACGAGAATTAGTGTACCGCTGAGTGTACCGCTATACACGTGGTCGACACGTAGTCGACACTTTGTTGATACTTTTGGCTTTCTGTCCTTTTCAAGTAAATCGGCTCTTGTTTGGAATTATTTACCAGACGACCTGAAGTCCTGCACTACTATCGCAGATTTCCGCGTCAAATTGGCTATTTGGCTAAAAGACAGCTTAACTCTTAATCATTGTTGTGATTTGCTTTCAAGCAATGTGCATATATATGCGCATAATCAGTAACTTGATGTTGCTGTTTTTGTTTTTTTTTTGTTTTTTTTTGGTTTCCCGTTCTCGGGGCCTTCTATTCGGTACTCTTTGTAGTTGTACTTCTGTACTGTTGAGCTATCCGAATTCAAATAAACATTAAAAAAAAAAAAACTTTTTGACACGTGACCCCGTCAACGGTCTGCTTTGTGCCAATTGGACACTCGGTAAACGCCGATGTCGCGTACGACAAAGACGACTATCCCGTACGCGAAATAGTTGAGAACTGCATGACGTGGACCTGACGGCAAGGACAACTGCGAGGAGGCCCCTTTCGGTACCCCTGACGGGAAGGAGAACTGCAGAAGTCGACGAAGTCGAACGAGGAGGCCCCTTTCCGTACCCCGTACTGCAAAGTGCCATTGATGGATGCCTTTTGCACCTGGAACGACCCCTTAAACGCTGTCGCGGCGACTATCCTGTACGCGAAATAGTTGAGAACTGCTGACGTGGCCCTTTTGCACCTGGAACGGCCCCGTAAACGCTGTCGTGTCGGCGGAGTGAATGTACAGGGTGAAAAGAATTGCTGCAAAGACGTCCGCTCTAGGCCTTTGGAGACATCGTGGGAACTCCTTCCGGTACTATACAAACTGCTGACGTGGCCGTGGACATGTACATGGAGACATGGTGGGACTTCATGTACATGGATACATGGTGGGGATTCCTTCCGGCACCCCCGTACCGCAAAGCCAACGGTGGGGAAGGAGAAGTGCAGACGTGCAGGAAGACGAACGAGGAGGAACCAGGACGAGCGAGCAATGGCAGGACTAGCTGGACCGTAAGTAATAGCTGAATTGTGCATGACAACTTGACATCCATGCGGCACTCGCCACTTGCCACTGCATATTTCTTGTCCACTAACAATGTCTCTCCTCTGCCCCCTGTGTGTCCACGGCCCTGTTGCTGAAAGTACTTCATTACGTTTCAGGTGTAGGTCTACGTAACAGTTATAACTTTTCCAAAAACTTTAATGGTTCACGTCTTCAGATAGAGAGCGTATTGCACCCACTGTCTAATCTCTGTAGTGCATTGAGATTTTGTTGATCGCACATGAAAATGGATACACAGACAAAGCAGGCCAAGTACATGGCGAGATGTCGCCAGAAGAACGTCTTCAGATAGAGAGGGTATTGCACCCACTGTCTAGTCGATTTGTGGATCGCACATGAAATGGATACACAGACAAAGCAGGCCAAAGAACATGAGAGAGTGGACGATGTGCGGATCGACACGGCCTGCGGGTACTTCATTAAAGTTACCCATGACATAACTAGGATAAAAGTTAATCACTGCAAAGACATTGCCAAGTATATGTGAGCACTTTGGACTTGACAGAAGAGTGCACGGGCGACGTTGACAAAACATACGGCGGTGACTGTCACCGTCATGACAGCACATCGCACGCAGCATCGCAGATCGTGTCGAATTGCGCATCGTAATATTGCAAAATTGCTCCTGTGCATGCAAGTGGATTTCATTGCACTTCTCAGTTTGGGAAATGCTCGATTATGACAATTCTGCATGTGAGTGCACTAGCCCTGAACATACATGTAGGTGACCCGTTTGTGGTGTCACATATTTCGCAACTTCTCCGCAACCTTGGCGCAATTGGCCCATGGCATGGGGTCAAAAGGTCAAGTCACCGACTACATGTTGCATTGTTGGACAAATACATACTCGTGCTCGCTCATTTCTTGCCTGCCTTCAGGCTCATTTCTGAGAAACAGTAGATCAACGGTAGTTATGATAATTATGTGCATTCCCTTTTACGTGCACTGTAATGATGTACATGTACATGTAGGATACATGCAACAGGCTACTGGCAATGTGTAAAGTGGTGGTTCACAGCAGGAAGGGTTGTACGAGTTTGCTGTCGCAGCATCGCTGCATTTCTGCTATTTCTGCTCCCTGTTTTGTAGGTTTTGCACAAGAACTCTCCAATTTTGAGTTGCGATATTGGCAACTTTTGAGCTTTTTCTGAAAATATGGATGCGATTTCAGCAACTAGCACTTGTTTTGGCACGGTTGCGAAAAGCATAAGGTGCGAAAAACTATGGCATCTTTGGGAAAGGGCTACTCATAGCCTACCTCACGACCTTCTGCTTTCTTTCTTCATCACTTGTATCTTGCAGGTATATCATCCCGTGACGACCACATTGAAGTCTGAATTTGAAGTGTGAAGATGCTTCAGCAACCACATCGTACTTTTCCATTGCTTTCATTGTGCTTCTACTGTGCATGTGTGTAACTTGTGGGGTAAACATGTGATGACATTGTATGCTGGCGACACGGTCAGATGTTGTCCATGCGTCTAACGTACACCTGCATGTTATGCATTGAAAAGGATTTGCCACTTGCGATCCTGGGACGAGTATCAGGTCAGCTTTGTCCTGTGTGGGCTGTATCAGATTGCTGTTCACTTCTCTATCTGTTGGATGTGTGACTTTCTGCAAGTTTCTGGTGTATGATGGCCACTTCCTTGCTTGTCACTTTGTATGATGTTACATTCTGTATTCGCTGCTTCCATGGAGTGGTCTGCAAACTGCAATCCTTGGGCAAATGTCATGTTTGCTATGTTGTGCTTTGGCCGTCAGCTCAGCAGCAGGCTTGTCTACACGCTGTAGTTGAATTATTTTTGTTTCACAACTGACTTCCTCAAGTACGGTGGCCACTGCTTTGCGTGGCATTATATATGAAGAATTTCCTGTTTGTGTCGTGTGCATGTGCGTGGCCACGTGTATGTGCCGTGTGCATAGGCATGTTTGTGTATCTGTGTGCGGGGTAGCGAGGCGGGGAGGGCTGGTTTGTATCAGTGTGTTATTGCAGTCTCATGGCTACATACAGTACATCGCGCGCGTGGTCATCATGTTTACCTTCGGGGTTGGGGTGAGGAGGGAACGGAAAAAGAACTGAAATTATCCATATAAAACCCGCTCTGTGAGCGGTTCTGAAAAACCTTTACTGGTACTGCCCCGTCGTAAAAGTAAGAAATTAGAACTGGCCCATTGTCCCCCAAATGCGAACTGATTCACCTAAATCGCGAATGACGGGACCCGAACGCACCAGTAGCACGAGGTTCCTACCTGTGGATGCAGATGCCTGATGGGGACGTTGGTCCGGACTATAGTCTATAGGCCATGTACTGTACTAGCGGTAGGTGGTGTTACCCTATGATAATTGCTGTCCTGTGCCCTCCCAACCTCGTGCTACTGGTGCGTTCGGGTCCCGTCATTCGCGATTTAGGTGAATCAGTTCGCATTTGGGGGACAATGGGCCAGTTCTAATTTCTTACTTTTACGACGGGGCAGTACCAGTAAAGGTTTTTCAGAACCGCTCACAGAGCGGGTTTTATATGGATAATGAACTTATGATGTGCTGCAAGTGAGTTTCACGACCTACCAGCACACTGCAATGCCACCATCTCACTGACCTCAACGTACGCCAGCACGAAGGCATCCCAGCTACCGGGCACGTCTTCCAGCGACTGGAAGTGCTTCATGGCCGTGTCGCGGAGCTGCGTCTGTGTCTCGCCCGTGGCACCGCGTACCATCGGAGAGGCTGTTGTTAGCTGGCTGCTACCCAGGCTGTTCATACCCGACGTCAGGTTGAGGTCAAAGCCAAGACTGCTCTGAAAGCCTGAGCAGCAAAGACAGAGCACAGAGGACAGATATCCATGTACCAGTGTCCCTCAACGTGTCAATAAAATGACACTGGTACTAAAACATATTCCTGCACTCAATGTAAGTAGAACTGTGCCACGCACAAAATATTTGGTAGATACAGAAAGGGAAACAACTAAGACAAGTGTACTCTGAACACTGCTAGCAAATGAAAGACTTGCCTGAGTAGGGAAAGCTGCTAGAGTTGAAGTTCTCTTGGCTGCAAGCATTGTCAGCAGGGGTGTCTTCTGCTGCACGATGGTCCTCCAGCCACAGCAGGTAAGCAAGCATACCGCAATAACCACGCAGCATGGGGTTGTCCTTGAACGGCTTCTGATGGATGTTGCTGGGTAGCAACAAATAATGCAAGAACGAGAACACTGTAGCATTGGCTGTGTGTTCACGGAATGCTACCTACAGGTTCTGTGTCGCAATGGCCCTCCGCTGTCCACCCTTTAACACGTGTATTGCGGCGTGGTCAAGCAGATGGTCACAGCGGAAAATGTGGTGCACATGCAGTGCAGCCTTGGGTTGGCGACATGATTATTACTCTAGGGGATATGTACATAGATCATAGAGCCACGGGAAAATGGGGTCGCATAGTGGCTGTAAATAATTGAAGAAAGTTACCCAAGTCCATTGACAGCCAGTCGTTAGAACAACGCGCCAGGCTACTGGCTGATATTGCCGAGGTATTCGGGACTGAGACACAGCAACCTTGTTTTTTAAAGTCTTGACATGAACACATACCTAATTTCCAGGGCATTAGCTGCACAATAAACTTCCCCCGTCCTCCTCCTCCCAGGCCGCAAAGGCAAAACACATTCAAGTTGTGCATATATTCATACTGAAGTGTATATCGGGGGGTGGGTAACTTGATTTTTGGCCGATTATTCAGGGAGAACAGTGCAGCGCTAAACCTGGAAAACACGACATGTCCTGTTCTAGAATGTACAAGTCAAGTTGACATCAACTAGAACTCCATGTCACTAGTAGCCAACTTCCCTATGATAGTGATTTTGTTGGAAGTTAAAAAAAATATTCCTCACCTTGTACAGAAGATATACGCCTCCCTGAGCATATTGTCATGCACCATCAGCAAGATAATCTCCAGGAAGAGCTCCTCACGCTGTTCAACATGAAGATTAAAAACAAGAGAAGAAAGAAGAGAAGAAAAGAGAGAAGCACACATGTACATAGAAGTACACAGGAGGCAGGCCGGGACAAGGATACATATACAGTACTAAGGGAGGCAGGCCGGGACAAGGATAGTAGCTTAGGATACATACATGTATACATATACACAGCACAGCAACATCTACTAGGATAAGATGACTATCATGGATACTGAACTCTCATTAAAAATTAATTACAAGCAAAGATATGAATCAAGTCTAGGCGAATGCACTGAGACACAGCATCACAGATTCACTGAGGTAAGGAAAGCAGCTCTTCCCCACCAACTGGAGTTAGATGGATGGGATTTCGTTGGCTTTCCCTTCACGTTCAAAGAGAGCCAAGCACAATTCCCAGCACGCCTCCAAACGAGTTTTAAAGAAGCCCTAGCAGCGTGCGTGGGTCAGGGGTCAGGTCAGCTAAAGCATATTCTAACTGCTCTAGAACAACAGCAAAAAATCAAATGTCTGCCCTGCATGAGTCTATTCTATTTCCGACCAAACCAACATGGTTGTTACGGGAAAGCTGTCCCCCATCTAACCTGAAAAACGTATGATATACAGCATTCCGATCCACATACACAACAAACTAATGCAGTAAACCACACATACGTGCTCTTTTAGCCGAAGAAACAGGCCCTTTAGGTATGGCAGGAGGTCCTGCCTGGTGTTCGGCCTGCGATCCAAAACCTCCGCGCCACACTGGAGCAAGACAATTCCAAACAAAGACAGCATCAGGGATTACGCTGAGAAATTGACTCGATAGGAAAAACAGCTACTAGTACAGTCATTGTAATACATGTATGATGATGCATAGCACACTGCTGTCATCATCATCATGCCTCGTAAACTATCAAGCAAGGCTTACATTATACTATCGTAACACATGGTCATGCACAGTACCTGCAAAGCCACATGCATTGTGTCACATGCATTGTGTCACATGCATTGTGTTTCATATAACTTTGTGTCCCACACACAAGGCCCAGTGAAAGAAAATCAGTACGTCTACTCAGAGTTTCACGTGGCTTTGCAATCATCTGGAGTGTCACGTTGCTTTGCAATCCTCAGCAGGCCACGCTCAACAGAGTAAACACTGGACTATATTAATTTTACAAAGAAAGTAATAACCCCTGGCAACTCGGTGGGGAAAATGGTGCACGAATTGTCAGCGCAATGATGCAGGGGAAGACACATATGTTACGCTCTGAGTAGAATTCTGCTGATTTTCCTCCACTGGACTTAATGTGCGGTGAAAGCTCTAGCGTGCTGTCAAGGTTGCCTTGTAACTCCATGTCCCATTCAGTTAGTAACGGCTATTATAGATTTATTATACCGTATTATCTCTAATATAAGCACAGTCTCCAATAATAGCACGTCTCCAATAATAGAACACCTTGGGGCGGCATTCAAAAAATAAAGTGCTCAGTCTCCAATATAAGCACACTGTGTAAATTCATTATCTGTACCGGCGAAAAAAACCCCTGAAATGTGTGTACATGAATTTGGCATGGCAACATGCCTCTGAAATGAGGTTGAAATAATAATGGAACAGTCTCCAATAAAGGAACGTCTCCATTAATAGCACGGGGCGGAGGTACATTGAAAAAATAAAGGACCGTGCTTATATTAGAGATAATACGGTAGATCGAATTGCAAAGACTACAAAGTGGTTTCACATTTTTTGTGATGCGACTACCTTTGTGCACAAAGTGAATATGGCATGTGTACAGTGTAACCAACATGACCGAACATCATGTGACCCATTGATGCAGAGGTTGACCAGAGGTTGACCGGAGTTGGAACCAATATGGCTGCCCGCCCATGATATGGTCCTTTGGTGGATGTACAGCAGCTCTGCTGTAGTCTTTACACAGAACTACTATAGCCAACCAAATTCATGGACATAAGCTTGCATGATTTTCCACTTTGCTGTGTACATATTCATAATCGATGACAGAAAGTGTGTATTATTAATTTATGATTTGTATCACCTCTTACACAATCTCTGGACAGCTAAGTCACGGTAAACCTGTACTTTAGCGCCCCTCATATAATTATGGCACTACAGTGCATTTCAAAACTATAGACGCGTAGGGTTTTTGAAATATTTCAAATTTGGCTGGAACTTTTTGAGAATAGTTTTCGGAATATTGCTCAGGATCGCTCCACAATTACTCTCATAAAGTTTCTAAAGGATTGGATAACAGACGCCCAATTTGGAAAAATTTATGCACAAAGTGATCACAGATTTTATGTGGTATAGATGCTGGTTTTTGCCTAGGTACGCGTCTATAGTTTTGAAATGGACTGTAAGCACAACACTGATATTCATTGTACAGTAAATAGTGGATATAACGTGCCCCTTTGATTTTCGATAATTTATCACTATATCCGGTGCATCACTATAGCCGATTTGCATGTATGACTGACACATGACACATGACTGTGCATGAAATGATGCGTACATGCTGGAAAAAGCATGAAAAGCAGCCACGTGTACGTGTGGCTGCTTACAGCATACAGGGAAGAATTTTCTCTCGATCACGTCTGCTGCCTGATGCATCCAGGCAACACTGGATCCGTTTTGGAGGAAGTGAACTATATTGGAAGAACACTTGTTTTGTGATCATCACTCTTGATCAGTATATGCGATATTTTCCTGTGCATTTGATATGGTTTGCTTCCTGAAGCCCATCACAATAAGCGATATATCGGTATAGCCGATAATAGTGTGTATAGTGATATTTTAACTGTATTTTTTTGTGATTTGATTTTGATTTTGGCGAGTTCTATCATTATAGCCGGTATATCGTTACACCCGGTCACTTTATAAACGATACTCACTGTACAGTGTAGTCATTTTAGTGCTGAAATCACCTGAATACTACATTTTTTAGTACAATACATCCGACGACCTGGGGGCGCTAAAGTACAGGTTTACCGTTGCATGTATGCTGTAGTACTAATACAAATACATAGGCAGTAGACACGATTCATTGATATTGCTTGTATCTATTTAGTATTTACCTTCCACACGATTTCTCCCAATCTCTCAGCATCGTGCATCAATGTGGACATTACCAAAGCCGCGTGCTTGAAATCATGATGTGCAAGATCGTCAATCAGGAACTGAGATATCTGGTTCAAGTGCTGGCGAATGCAGGACATGTTTCGACCTCCATCTGACAAAGGAGAACGTTTCCACATATTTCAAAAAATGCTAGAATATACTGCAATTTTACAATGAGAATAAGGATACGAAGAGAGATTCTAGACAGTAACAACTCTATCAGACAAACAAGTACCTTTAGTCTTCTCTGAATACAATCGGGCAAACATATCTGAGATTTCCCAAAGAATTTTTCTCTAGATAAAGACACTCTTCTTGTCAGGATATGAAATGGAATACAGAAAAAACTTCAAGTATTAAACTAAAAATTAATAATAGTTTAGTCAAAAAAAAAACATCTTGCATGGGATATCACCAGCTAGCTCACAGTGTCATTCATGGTCATCAGATGTCACACATGAGTGTGAGAGAGACATGACGTGTGTCGCGCACAGAAGTCACGTGCGCTCGTACTCTGCCATAACGATATCCGCGATATCAGGTCGACTCGCGATATGCGATCCGGAGATAATCATTTTTTCCAATTATTTTTTTGAACATCTACATAATCATTGATTGCTTGATTGATTGACAGTTTCGTATGGACTCTTGGTACTACGAGTAGTAGTTCGGATAAAACTTCAGTTTGTTCCCGTTGATGCTTCCATCCGCTCGTCTTTGCTGTGTCTTCGCATCAAGTGCTTGATTGTGATTCGTAAAGGGATCATGGCGAACACGCTGGATGCGAAAAAGGTAACATGCTAAAAGAAGTACCACAGAAGTCAGGATCGTCGGTTGCAGAGCGATCATCAAAATCATAAATTTCAGGCAACATCAACTTAGGTTGCCCGATGATAGCACAGCGTGAAGCTCTGAGTTGCAACGGACAATCCTGACTTCTGTGTTGGAAGTTCTACCCCCGGGGTGTCTGGCTCTATTTTTGAACAGTTGAAATAAAATATGTTGAAGAATGAGAAAAAACTGAGCTTGCTGATCGTGCAATGTGCACATGGTGTTCAGTGAGCGATTCAGAACACCCCATGTCCTTTAAAGTAGCCAGTGTGTTATGGTGGGCTATTCTTGTTTGGTCTGGAGAAAGATCTGAACAGTTCTAGCACTCTATCTGGTCGTTTATGTATACAGTAATACGAACTAACCTTAGATTTTATACATGTACCGTAAAGTCGTGTATAAAAACCACGGCTTATAATTATGACTTTTTGGGGGAAAGTTTGCAGGCTTATATGAGACAGGCTTCTATACAAGACAGTTATTTCTATGTATGTCAACACTTAAACCAGGCAAATGTGCCGACAGTGTATCGTGAAAATCAGGCTTCTATATGAGACAGGCTTTAATAGGCCTTATGCACGTTGTACAGATGCACGAAATCCCGTAGAATCTCGTATAATCTTGTAGAATCCCGTAGACCCGGTTGGGTGTTGAATGTGCAGGACCCTATTGTGTTTACTGCTATTTTCACTATGAAATGGGCCCTGAAGGCATTTCATATGAAAACTTTTTCTGGCAGAGATCTAGCTAGTCGTTAGTTCAATCACAAAATGAAGAAGCTGGAAAAGCCATTGTTTGCCATGAATTATGAGGCTAAATGGGTCAAACGCGCATGCATAGCACACAATGAACACCCAACCGGGTATGTACACACCTACGGCCCTACAATACAGTAGTACAGAACTTCATACATCTGTACAACGTGCATAAGGACTATACAAGACACTACAGTAATATAAACTGAACACAAACCGAGGTGAAGCCGAGGTTTGTGTTCAGTTTATATTCCACGTATAAACCTAAGAGCAGTCTGTAGTTACTAGTATACCAGCCTCCATTCAACTCCTAAAAAAGGCGTGTATTTATAGTAAAGAAAAGGACCAAGGAACTACAAGGTACGCTATAATGTCCACTAACACCACCAGTTACAGGTCTGCTCTCAATATACTGTACTGTCCCCGGGGAAAATCGCAAAAAAACGTGGCATAATATGGCATAATTTGCGGTGAATTTGCGGTAAATATGCGGTGAATATTATTGATATGCGGCAAGTTTGCAGTTGATATGAGGCAATTTTCAGTGAGTATGTAGTGAAATCAATCAGTTACAAGTCTCTGGTGTAAGCACTCGTCATATTTGAGTACAAAGCCGCCACGATGAGACGTTGCTGACCGAACAGTGCACTGTGTGTACATGTAGTGCAACAAAAAAGTTCAAAAAACGCGGTCTTTTAAAAAATCGCAAAAAACGCGGAAGAAAACGCGGCCGCGGAATCGCGATTTTCCCCGGGGACAGACTGTAAAAGCCATATTTATAACGAGGTGAAATCTGTCGTTAAAATAGAAATCGTTATAGTAACTTATACAGAAATCGATACTATACTGTTGCTATTGAGCATTGAGAATGAGTGAGAATCGTTACCTTTGGTACACGTTAACCAGTCTATTTTAGTAAATCGTTATATATGCGCCTCGCTAGAATAATGGCTTTTACAGTAACAACTCTCACTTATACGTAAACCTCGCTAGTACGTAAAAAAATCAAATCCCGTGCCGAAACAGCATCACTCCCATGCGAATTTTGTTGTACACAGCGTAATAATAATCCGACATAACGTAAACCTCGACATAACGCATGCTACGGCGCGGTCCCCGACATGCGCCCTCTTCATACAACGTAGATTCACGTGCGCGGTACGATCAAGCTGTAGCTAGCCAGTTTAGGCCAGTTTAGTCATACATAACGTAAACCTCGACATAACGCACGCTACGGCGTGGTCCGCGACGTGCGCACTCTCCATACTACGTAGATTCACGTGCGCCGTACGATCAAGCAGTAGCCGTAGCTAGCCAGTTTAGTCCTATTGTGCACATATTCTGCGGCATTGATTGCATCTGATGTCGATGGTGGTACAGTGTGTACATGTTTGCATGGTTGAATCAGTCTTGTAATACCCTTCATTTTGAGGTACATCTTGTATTTTACACACGGTTTTCTACATTACACAACTCTCGATATAACATAATTTTCGCGTGGTCCAGAGATTACGTTATATGGAGAGTAGACCTGTACTTGACAACCAGCTCGTGCGATAACATAGCATAAAACTGACCGACAGGACTGACGCTCTACAACTAACTGCTTTTCTTTACTATAAATTAATCATTGGCTCTCCATCCGAGTCTATAAAGGCGTTTATGTTCAAGTTTATTTTTATATTCAAGTTTATATTGAGAAAAAAACTTTAACTCTCTGTGGGAGATCAATGGAAGCTTATAAAACAAGTGCCATAACAAATGTTCTATAATAGGAGCTTCCCCACTTTTTGACATTAAAGAGATCAAAGAGCAGGGCAAAATGATCATGAAGTCTACTTAGATCTTGAATAACTTCACACTGCCTCTCTCCATTGTTACAAATCTGCCGTACTATGATAGCGAGCTGACGACGGAGACAGTTTTAAATTATGGGTGTACATGTACGTTATATTCCCCTGACCCTTGACTGGTTAGTGCACGGCAGTGACATAGTGATTTGGGAAGACTGGTGGAATTGAACAGATACCATAGGCTGAGTGAGGGCGGCCCTCTCGACCTTAGGGATGTGTATAGAGACATTGATCGATCGAGGGAGAGAGGAGAGAGAGAGAGAGAGAGAGAGAGAGAGAGAGAGAGAGAGAGAGAGAGAGAGAGAGAGAGAGAGAGAGAGAGAGAGAGAGAGAGAGAGAGAGAGAGAGAGAGAGAGAGAGAGGGTGTGCATGTGTGCAACATGGTCCTAACTGGGGTGGTTGTGTCTACCTTTTTGCCCGTCTCTTCCTGGTGCAGTTGGTGGAGGATTTTGGGAAGGTGCTAGCTGAGGATGGCACCATTAATCTGGATGTGTATGTGGAGGCGTATGACTACTTGGGTCAATTGTTCAACCTGCTCGGAACGGTCAGTACGTTTGCCTTAGTACTGTTTAAAACCGCGTTGGCACAGTGCGTTTGATATTGCAGACTGCAGTGTTATTTTGCAGATGCAAGTATGCTTGCTATGAAGAGTGTATTTTGCTTTCCTGGAGATTCCCTAATGACTGAGACATGACCTGTTGGGTGTTTCTAATGACTGAGACGTGACCTATTGGGTGTTTCTACATTGGGCATATGCCTGTGAGATCACATGGTTTTCTTTGTTATGTTTCTGTTAGATTGATTGTTGGGTCTTGGGGTTTCTTCTTCCTTCTGTGCAGGTCTTCTCCTTTGTCCACAGTGATGTCCATGAAAAGATTGGCATTCTCAGACATCACCTCAAGACAACTGGTTAGCCCTGCTGCTACTTATGTTGCTGGTGGTAGCAATGCTGCTGCTACATGTCTTACTGCTGCATGTCTTACTGCTGCATGTCTTACTGCTGCATGTCTTACTGCTGCATGTCTTACTGCTGCATGTCTTGCTGCTGCATGTCTTGCTGCTGCATGTCTTACTGCTGCATGTCTTACTGCTTTTTGTTGTATTGTCATCAGGGAGTAGTACAATACCGGGAGGTGACACGGCCACACATTCAGGCGGGCGAGCTTTGCCTCAGGTCACTTTTCTGTGGAGCGCTGTGTCCCGGGAAACGTCACGAAATATCGTACTTCGCGTACCATTTATCGTAGCATTTCGTAGCATTTTTCAAAAAAATTCATAGAACGACTTGAAGAGAGTGGCAGAATGCTGTCAAGAAGTTTTCGAGCAGTACTTTTTGAAGTTTGTTTTGACGATGTAGGGAACGAATCCATCAGTCTTTGCTGAGTGATGAGGATGAATCCTACGAAGGATATCAAGTAGCAGCTGGCCTTCGCACGGGTACCTTCAGTGTGTCCAGTATTTACGTGGGCGGCTTGTAAGAGTGAAATTTTCTTCCTAATTTAATTTGTATTACATTTAGTTGTATTACATTTAGTTATTCACGTCGTTTCTAGGGGAATAGATAATGTTGACTCAAGTTTTAGTCACAATGAACAACATGTTTCAGGTATGGCTGACCCGTCTCAAGATAGTAGGGCTATTCCGAATCCAGATGCTATAGTCGTCAGAGAGAAACACAAAATAAAATAAATTTTATACTGCAGGGGCAGCTATTCGCAAATGTCACTATGACGCAAGTCTGTGTCAAGCAGGGAGTAGCACAATGGTACAATGGCACTGTGCTACTCCCTGCTACAAAGCCTGAGATGTTACGCGTTAACAGGAACTGGTGTTGATGATAAAGGCAGTGTGGAATTATGTACAATGTTACTGGTGCAAGTGACCATGCCCTGGAAGACCGTGCCGTGTAAGTCGTGTATGCAGGTAATCAGACCAAGCGTAAAAGGATAAAGATAGCCTGCTTACGTACTATTCCTCGTACGTGTGCTTATTATAGATACTTTGTGTGACTACTAGTTGTATGTGTCTGCATATTACTATACGTATTAGTACGTAATTGCTTTTACTACAATTTGTACTTTGTGGGGAACTGCGTGACGATGAACTATAGTATATATCAGGGAGTAGTACAATACCGGTATTGTACTACTTCCTGATATATATGGCCACCAAGAGCATACGCAATCAGAATCGTACAATACCATTACTCCTTGATTATAACCAATGTTACTTTTATGGCACCAATGTTACTTTCATGGCACCGTGGAATCATGTCAAACACAAAAGGATACCGACGAATAGTTGTATGTATGCGCACGTGCGCGTGCGTGTGTGGTGTACAAGTACACGAGGGTGTGTGTAGGTGTGTGGGTGTATATTTGCCAGTGACAAAAGGTTTTGGTGCCACAACATCACCATAGTCATTCTTGTTTTCCAGAAGCTGTCCAAGAAGTTTGTCTGTGCAATGGACTACAAATGTTTTAGTTTTTCCTAGTGACGAGGAGGAATCAGACGAGGTATGCCAAGTAGCCATTGTACCTCAGCCGGATACCTTCAGTGTGTCCAGTATTTTGACATGGGCAGCAGGTAAGAGTGTGTCTTCAACAGAGTATAGTTTGTTGACTTTCAGTCATTCACATTTTCATTTCTCTTTGGGTTACATCTCACCAGATCTGTGCAAGGACTCGGACATGCAACGCTACTGCCAACATGAGGTGGCAGTAGCTCAGCAACTCTGGTCACTGGACAAGCACCCTGCAAACGTGGAGCTGTTCATAGTTCACTTTCGGCAGGCAATAATAAATTGTGAGCAGCAGCAGACGTTGTTTTTCAAGAACAAGGCCTTAGGAAAATTAAGGAGAGGAGAGTGCACGAATGTCTCAAATGTGTGGACTGATTTACTTCGCAATTCGTCAACCATTTTCCAAGAGCTAGACACCAGTTCTGCAAGTACAGGTAATGTCATCATCATACTGGTCATTTTCTGTTCCTATTGCGCTGTAGAGATTTATTGTACCAAATTGTACTTTGAAGTGTTTTTTTTTTCATAGACAGTGCGTGTTTGTGTGTGTGTGTGTGTGTGCGTGGATTGGTGTTTTGTACAGGTGTCAGAGTGTCCGGTGCACTATTTGCCCTTCTTCTTGATTTCACTATGAATAGGAAGCCTGCGTCAGCAGCCACAGCTCCGAGCAACCCTATGCACATGGAGGTTGCTCGCCGCACCATGGATCAAGCGGCTAACTCGGTTGTGAAGTACCACGGGGGGTGGTGCATAGTTGCAGTGCTTTGCTATTGCTCAACACGCTAGGACTGCATAAGTACACACCAACATCCCAAAAACACAATGCATTGAAACCACTTGAAACCACTCCTGCTATATAATTTGTTTACTTTTTGGGTGAGGAGCAATTGGCGTTGGGCAGGCAGACTTCGCAGCCGCACCCAAGTCGTCGCTCTTCCTCTTCTGTCCACGGGTTCTGGGGGTTAAAAAAGCAACAAAGCAAGCAGGCCTGGCCTCATTCAGTGCTGAAAACAAGTGATCTTGAACATTATGTTCAAGTCTATACAAATAAATAAGTTTCAAAATTTTCGGAATGAGTTTTCCAAAGAGTTACATAAGCTAACACGTTGAGATGAAGTAGAATGGTAGACAAATAGGTATAGTTTCGAAATATCCCAACTTGGTGAGGTGTCCGAGTGGGTCCAAATGAGAAATTCAGGTTCGTGTTACACCATGTCAAGATGAGAAAATTCCATCACGTTACTTACCAAGGATAGCGTCCTCCATATTCGTCACTTCCATCCATTTTGGGAAGTGGAGACTTGGCAGCAGTGTGGACGATGTACCAGAGTAGCTCCCAAAAAAGGCTCGAGCTGAAAAGAACAAGTGGCAGCTTGTCACGAAGGGATACGTCTGGTCTTCTCGTCACTATTTGAAGGTTTCTCAGCGCTGTCAAAAGAGCAAAAATTTGAATTTTCGCGCGGTTTGTATTTTTTTTGTGAGGCAAAGCTCGTAATCCCGGATGTGTGCCCGTGTCACCTCCCGGTATTGTACTACTCCCTGATTGTCATCTTGCGAATCCAGCCAGAGTCTGGCATCCTCTCTAAAACCATGCTAAATGCAGACGTCATGATCGACTTCAATTCTTGATTACTTCAGGTGGTAGGTTGCTGGTTCCACATGCTTTTCTGCATGTTTTGTGTGTGCTATGTGTGTGTGTGTGTGTGTGTGTGTGTGTGTGTGTGTGTGTGTGTGTGTGTGTGTGTGTGTGTGTGCGTGTGTGTGTGTGTGCGCGCGCGCGCGTGCACGTGCGTGTTCATGCATGCACTTTGCCTGGTTACAGGTGATGTTTATTCAACGGTGCAGGCGATGATGAAGGTGAGAAGTTGATCGGTTGCTGTTCATTTCCTTTCTCTTGGCAGTTTGCTACTGCATGACATTTTCATAGGTAGCTTGGCTACAAACCTGCAAATATCTTGTAATGTAATGATGTTACATGTACTTGTAGTAGTTCGTGTTTGGAGAGTTCAAGACACTATAATTTATCGCATGAGGTCAGTAATCATTAACTACTTTTCAGTTTTCACCTCCCTTAATCTAATGAATGCAATTGTACTTCGGAAGGATTCAACATTAAATAGACAACGTTCAGCGAAACCGAACCTTACAACCTTGTAGAGCTGTCATAAAAACGTCCTTGATTTTTTGGTTGCGTGTGGAAGGTTGCTTTGCACTGCACCCGCGGCTGGAAATTCGAGGACGTCGTTTTTTTGACATTTTCACCAACGTTCGCTTTTGCTGCACCCGGCTCAGATTTGCTTATTTTGATGTTGTGGGCCGTTTGTCACGGCGTAGGCTAATGAAACATGAAATGGTGGAAGCATTTGACATGCATGTGCATACATGTAGTACTTAAGTACTTGTACTTGTTTCCGATATGACATACTACATCCGATCATGGCGTGCTGGAAACACTGTTCTACGGGCAGAACTTTTCCGCTTTTGTTTGTGATCTCTCAATATCGCCGATGTCGCTGCAACGAAGCTTCACTATACGTGTAGTGTATTGTACGGGCACGCGTGTAGTTGCAGTGTACTATACGGACACGCTTGTAGTGCACTGTACTGTGGGGCTTGAACGTGCCACTATACTAAGAAGTGGCCTGCGGATGCGCACGTTTAAAACCTGCCATGAATACATGGCATTTTGAGCAGCGTAGGGTCTGATCTTGTCTCTTTGCTTGTGTTTTGATGAATCAGTATGAGATGGATAACAATCTCACGGCGGCGAAGACATCTCCGCTTAGCGGTTCTCGGACATTGCTTCGCCTGCATCGAGCCTTAGGTATCGTATGTGATGTGTGTGTGTGTGTGTGTGTGTGATACGTTGCTATGAACAAATGCTTTAAATATGCCACTTTGTCCGGTTTTGATTCACTACTGGCAATCATGGTGTGCTTTGAATTTTTCTGGTTCAATTTTTGCATCACTTTACTTTCTTGCCAATCCCATCCATCTTTATACATTTTTTTAAATGTAGTTGCGAATTTCCACTGGCTTTGTAGGTTGAACTAGATGCTCTTGTTGCTGGAAACAGTTTACATGTATCTGAATAGTACTAGCCCATTTGTTCAGTATGCAGCCCCTTGTTATATTGATAATATAATATTATTGTCTTATTGAACTCTGTTTGTACAGATTCTTTGTAAGTAGTGTCGTCCTGTGCAGTGCTTCATCTGTGTATCCAATTGACCTGCTTCAAGTATGTGTGTTGTTGTATTGTTGTTGTTGCTGCTGCTGCTGCTGCTGCTGCTGCTGCTGTTGTTGTTGTTGTTGTTGTTGTTGTTGTTGTTGTTGTTGTGTGTGTGTGGGTGGGTGTATGCGCGTGTGCTCGTGTGTGTCTGCATGTGTCCAGCGTTTATCATTCAATTTCTGGGCAAGGTTGACTCACTGAACCCTGGCGATGGGACGTCTGGCATTGCCCGTGAAGCCTATGGGTATGTCTTTGGCCTTTTCGTGCTTAGTGAAATGAGATAGATCCTATGAACATTGTGATTTGATTGTTTTAGGACATTTGGTTCACTTTGGCCTGAGAATAGAGTGGCTGGTTCTCCTGTCCATTGCTCCGGTGCCAGTGAAGGATTGAGCTTGTGTGACCCCGATTGTCTCAGGTGTTGAGGGGGTGCCGCCTGAACGGAACAGGGCCTGCATATAGAAACAAGCTCATGTCACTTTCTGTCCTGGCATTAATTTATACTGCGAAAACATTGTCACAATGAGACTACGTTATATTTTACTCTGAGGCGAACGTCCGTGACCCTCCAATGACCAGAGCACCATTCCAGGCAAGTGAATTTTGAGGTGCTGGTTCGAACAATTATTATTTCGAGCAGACCCAACGTCAATACCCCGATCTACTGGCCACCGACTAGCTTAAAGCTGGTAATACCAGCACAGATAGAAGACACAAAGAAACACCCATCTTTGCACAAAGGTGGAGGTTGCTCTCCACCACTAATTTCCTGCCATTTTGCATGCAGCTCCTTCTTCTTGTAGAAGGTAAACAGTAGCCCGCCGTTTGCCGAAAGGTCTCCTTTTAGCACTGAAAACTAAGGGAAGTGCACACAAGGCTTTACATTTCTCTGCTCCATTGACTCTGGTTTCAAAACAAACTTCGACATATCAACTTACTTCCACAAAGCATATATCATCTTGTTTTCGAGTGAACGACCTATGCTGACGATTGCTATGGGTCGACAAAATGTTACCGCCAAACCGTTCCGAAAAGGTGCCATCCCCTCTGCCGCTTGTACTCATGTGCGATGGCAATCTCGAGTTAGGCAACGTCTTGTGCAACCCCAGTGCTGCAACTCCATTGTGAGTTAGCCACTGTGTTCTAGACTGTACCAGTGCTTGCAGTGGTTATGTTGATGACTATGTCATGCTCAGGCCCCCAGTGAATTGTGATAACGATATACTCATACCTCGTTTATCCGGGTGGTCCGGGACCGGGCACTGCCCGTAACTTTGAAATGTCCGTAACTCCGAATCACATACCTTCTGATAGGGAAAGGCCATAGATATGGCATATGATGTCACTATTTCCACAAAAAAAGTGCCAACAGAGTAGTAATATCTCCACAAACTCGCCCGGAGTGTGCCTGAAGTGCCCGTAACTTCGGGGTCTGGATAACCGGGGTATGAGTGCAATTCGTTTGGTCCCCGTTGTGGATTCAAGGTGGCAAAGCACGTTGAGCGCAAGTCTCATCACCTGGTCAGCCATGCTACGCCTTTGACTTTGTGCCTTGATACTATGGGCAGAGCTTCCCTATGGCATATTTTCCGGAGTGTAAGCCACATTTTAAACACCGGTGATTCGCCCTGAAAACGTTGGTGTGGCTTATAATACGGTGGTCAAATTAGCAGTGATAAATAAGGTCTGTATTTCGTGGCAAAAAAATCTGGATGCGGTTTATACTCCAGTGCGGCTTGTACTCCGGAAATACGGTGCATTGCAGGCATGGCTGGTTGTTTGGACATGTTGCCAAAGCAAAGACGCATGACGTTGTGTGATGTGTGTCTTTATCCATACCTGTTTTGACAGTGCTACATGTTGTGTGCTCTGTGTGTTTCTCCGTAACCCGTTTTGACAGTGCTACATGTTGTGTGCTCTGTGTGTTTCTCCGTAACCCGTTTTGACAGTGCTACATGTTGTGTGCTCTGTGTGTTTCTCCGTAACCCGTTTTGACAGTGCTACATGTTGTGTGCTCTGTGTGTTTCTCTGTAACCCGTTTTGACAGTGCTACATGTTGTGTGCTCTGTGTGTTTCTCCGTAACCCGTTTTGACAGTGCTACATGTTGTGTGCTCTGTGTGTTTCTCCGTAACCCGTTTTCACAGTGCCACGCTGGCTAATCACCATACGTTTCTTGTGCGCCAAATGGCCAGCGCCGCTATGCTGACCTTGCCGTACCGTGATCCTCTCATTGTCAAGCTGTTTGGTGATGCCAGCGCCCTGCAGGATCTACAGTAAGTGTTGATGCCGCAGCATGATGTTTATTGGTGTGTGTGTAATGCCGCGTGTATGCTATGTAAGCAAGACCAGGGGGAAAGCACCGCTTTGGAATAGCACTCACAGCTCTTGTCCACTATGTGTCTTCTGGTAATGGAGAGGTTCTGCATTCCGAATTTCGGAATAATTTTCGTAAACTGGGTACGAGAGTCGAAGAGCGAGTCGAACTTTCGGAAAGTTCGACTCGAAAGTCATACAGTTGTCGAAACTTATTTTCGGCAAGTAAACTACCAGTTCAAGTGCACGTGCCGATAAGTCGCCTTTTTGTTCTCTGATTTTTGGGAGTTCTGAATATGTCTTCCTCTTCAACATCCGACCTGGAAAGCATTCCTTGCTCTATCCTCCCTCGCTCTATTACTAGTAGCCCTTCTGGCAGTTCTCCAGGGTCTGGGGCGAAGCAAATTCGCTTTGACCTCACAATGGATCTGCTCATGCTGAGGCAAGTTTGTGCCACAGAGAATACTTTTGTCCGTGGTTCCCCAGCTTTCGACGAGGTGGCGGCAGCCATGCAGAGCCTTGGTGACTCTTGTTTCAATGGCTTGACGAAGAAAGGCGTCCGTGACCGTGAAGCTAGCTACGAAATATTGCGAAGAACGTCTGAAATTTTTCAAATAAAAACCCGAGAGAGCTTGGAAGCTCAGGGCCCTACGCTTTGCTTTTTTACCTAGCTCATCATGCATGTTATTGGAACTGCCCCTCATGATCGGATTTTCTGGCCTTTTGTAGTAATACATTGACCTGCTGAGCCAATGAAGTAAAATTATATTCCATACAATACGATGCAATACAATAATACAATAATGTCCTTGCCTTGATAGTGTGCTTGTGCTTAACTGTTGCTGACGGCCGAATGCATGGTTGCCTGTGGAGCACATTACATAACTTTACAGTCTCCTATAATACGCATCCTGTCCGACGGCAAAAGAGGCTGCGGATTTAGTTTTTCTGCACGTTATCAGCAATGACTACTGATCTTCAGCAACTACTTGGGTCTCCTATAATACGCATCCTGTCTATGCTTGTGTAATGCTAACATAATGCTCGGGATAGCACTCGCTACTGATCTTCAGAAACTTGGGCTGACTCTCACTCACAATAAGACTGTTGTAATGTTCATCGTTCCCAAGCGGTCGCTGGTTTCTCCCACAATTTCATCGTACTGTTGTACGACATGCTGCACGGCATCCTTATACCGTACAAAACCGTATTGATGTATTTGATGGTACAGTACGGGACAGGTACAGGATAGTGCCAGGCATGCCAATGGCACAAACAAACACGGAATTAGCTGTGTGGACCCTGACTAGCGCCAGACGTTACTAAAGTAACGTCTTTTGCATAGCTACGGGAATAAATTTATTATAATTTGAACATGCGGCCTCCAAGCGCTGGCGCCGTTCTGTTGCCTGGCAACAACTAGGAAAAAGTCGAAGAACATATTTCGGGTTGCAAAACGTCGCTGCGGTCGAAAAATTTCCAACCAACGGAAAACACCAGTCGAAAAAATTCCCAAATTCGGAATGCAGAACCTCTCTAATAACTACTAATAATGCGTTCTCGTGGCCATCTCCTGTTCCCACAGAATGTTTGGGTTTGTGCGTTTGTGTGTGTGTGACTAGGGAATTTGTTCGTACCATCACGCCAGTGTACGATGCCGTCGATGCCCTCTACACAAAGAATGATCTACATCGTCTACCGTGAGTGAGCGAACATAGTCTAGAGTAAGCGAGTCTGCACGCTTTTGCACTCACCAAAGGAATTTCTCCCCATTTTTTTTCAAAAGCACTATTTTGAAGCACCCTTATCCTTGAAACAATGCTGGTCTTTGTTGGGTAAGATGCTGACTTGCTATGTTTGGCTCATGTATCTGTTTCATAGTTGACGAACAGCACTATCTTATTTGTAGCCTCTAGCTGGCTTGTGTGACCATTATTTAGTCGACCAGCATACTAGCCCCTTCTTCACATTCTGGCCGCCACAGTGTGTGTGCGTGCTGCCCTCCTACTGACTCGCTCCACTACTCTAGTGCACATCCGAATGCTACTGCACTGATGCACCAAGTGTCCGGCCGGCTAGCGCCGCGTTCTGACAGCTCATACGTATGTTTGGTATGCATCATGTGGCTCGACTTCTTGTCAACCCTTCTCCTCTGTTTTATCGATCTGTCATGTCCCTCAACCTTTTCTGTGCTTCTATGCGAATTTTACTCCCGCGTACTGCTTTATATTCATTTCCCCTCTTTACACAGCCGAGTGCAGATTTCTCTGGCATTTATTTATTTCTCTATCTTCCCAGATATTCTTTAATTCTTATACGAGGGTTGTATTATTCTTCATTATTTCTTATTTTACAACTTAGGTCAAGTCCTCTCTGCGCACAAAGTTTTTTTGTTTTTGCCTGATGATCGCGCAACCGTGAAACGCTGGGATGCAACGAGAGAGCTTGGAAGCTCAGGGCCCTATGCTATGCTTTTTTTGCCTTGATCTGGGACCTGGGATTCGAACCCGCACTATCGCGCGCCCTGCATGCATCCCCCGATACACTTCGCAAACATACTAATTCTTCCAAGTTGTTTCACATTGTGATCTTGCATTTGAGAGCCCTATTTGAATATGCATTGTGGCCAGCCGTCTTTGATGGCACGGTACGGTACGGGATAGGTACGGGACAGGTACGATCGAGGGTAATACGACACCGTCTCCCGTACCTTACCGTACCATCAAACACAGCTGGCCACATAAAGCTGCCCGCAATATTCAAATAGGGCTTTCAAACGCAAGATAATAACGTGAAGCAACTTGGAAGAATGGGTATGAATGCGAAGTGTATGGGGGAATGCATGTAGGGCGATAGTGCGGGTTCGAATCCCAGGATATGCCTGAAAAAAAAATAGGAGAATTGAAAAATTGATAACATCCTATGCTTTTTTGCCGTCAGATACGGATAGCGCCAGGCGTGACACAAACACACAAACACACAAACACCAAATTAAAGCTGTGTGGACCCTGGCTAGCGCCAGACGTTACTGAAGTAACGTCTTCTGCATAGCTACGGGAATAAAATTCTGTTCCACCTCACGTTTCTTATTTTTATAATGGGTGTCTGATGGTCACTTCAAAATCGAAGGTTTCCTTGGTGCAGTCATATCTGGACTAAGCTATAATGGTTAGGTCGGTAGTGCGTTTTATGACAGTCATCTGCATGGCACTAGCTAAGTCTATATTTGTAGCTCCTCTTCTTTCTGCTCACTACACCCGTAGCCGAAGAAATCCGACCCACCTGCGGAGAGCAGCGCCAAGGCGCCTGCGGCCCTCGGATCGGTTTTTGGGAACGTGGATGATGTAATTGAAATGAAAACGTGGCGCTACATAATTTGATTGGTGGGTCGTATTTCTTTGGCTACGGCTGCCGTACATACTACATTGTGCTACTATCATTACATGTACTTGTACTGTACTTGTACTGTTTACAATGGAACCTCACTTTCGGCCACCTCATCAATCCGACCACTTTTCCTCCACAGGCCCGAATGCAGAACGGTCAGTCATTTTCACGAATCAGACCACCTCGAAACCAGAACACGTGTCTCTGCCCAATCCGAAAGGCGACTGGTCCGAGGTTCCATTCTCTGTAGATCTCTGGTCTGCAAGACTCATCAGGAGTCAGGGCCTACATGTACGGGCAAAATAGGGTGTGGGGAAGTCAGTGGAACCCCTGCTTGAGGCTTCGTTCGTTTTTGTCTACTTGGTAGAGTAGCGCAGAATCCATGTTGGAAAATGTGATCTACCCATTTCGATAGAACATGCATTGTTGCAAAGTCGTAGAAACCAAAAACGAACAAACGCCACAAAAAACCCGTCCGCACGGCTGTTAGGGGAAGGTCACTTGGCAAGATGGCGGCGACCTGTAGCAACGCCCCTGGCAACAGAGGTCACACGGAAAGCGTGGGTACGCTCATCGCATTTTTCAAATTTTCATGATCATTTCTGCAGAAAGAAAAGGTTCTGTCACTTCGAATACATGTACTCGAAATAGTACTTTCATGGATTTCGTCTCTTCAGTCTCTTGCTCGTCAAAAAATGTTGTTGGAGGCAGCTGTGCTCTGCGAAGTGCAACGGATACCGCTCAGTAGCAGATAAAGGAGATGTGCTTCGCAGGACTCTTTCGCAAAATGACGACCTGAGCCTCGGATCGGGGGAGAACTTTTTGTCAAGTTTACTCAATCTCCGGACAGCTATAGCTGTTTCGACCTTGTTAGGTCTCATCAGCGGAGTTCACAGTGTGTGGCCGAACAGATCAGCAAGAATTAGTTTCAACCCTGTTACAGTGTTAGGTCTCATCAGCGGAGCTCAGAGTGTGTGGCCGAACAGATCAGCAAGAATTAATTTAGACCTTGTTAGGTCTCATCAGAGGAGCTCAGAGTGTGTGGCCGAACAGATCAGCAAGAATTAATTTCAACCCTGTACAAGGAAGGACATGGCACTCGAGAAGGTGAAGCTTAGGAGTCACATTGCCTAACTTGCGTGCCAGAACCTCCGCTCTGCAGGTGGCCATGAAGGTGTGGATGGCATCACCCAGAACCTGCCTTGTTGCTGTTGTAGAAACCAGCTTGCCGCTGAACAGCTTGCGACATGCTGCATACTCTGTGAAGAGTCTCGAGTAGCGATCTCTCAAGGACTTTGCCTGGGCAAGCTATAAGCAGCTGAACCTCGCCGCTGTCCGCAGGTGTGCGGCTCTGCACGACTGTAAGGGGAACAGAAGTGAGGGCAGCAATGACATCCGTTTTCAACGTGGTTGCCGACAAATGCTCCGGAGTGATATGCTTGCCGCTTTATTTGGTACTGTGGCAGTACTGCTTCCAAGGAAGTTACGCACGGGCCAGCTGCTTTTTTTAAATCTTTTACTGTTAATTTCTCATGCTCTTTTCGAGCCACATCACCTCTCATTCATCAAATTGAGTTCCCTTTCTTTCTCCTTCCATAGGAAGTGCAGATTTGAATCATTTGATGCCACAGTCTGCAAGCCAGCAGCCACTACTTCCTGCTGCTGAATGTGCAGCGTCACACATTGCAGCTGCCTAAGAATGCTTTGTGCTTCTGACTGTAGGTGTAGTTGTTGTGTTGCTGTGTCGTGTACGTTCTTGTAGCGTCACAAACTGCAGCTGACTAAGAATGATTTGTGCTTCTGACTGTAGGTGTAGTTGCTGTCATGGTTGTGTTGCTGTGTCGTGTACGTTCTTGTAGGCATTGATAAGTGCTGTAAAAGCTGCAGAGTCACCGTCATCTGCAGCAAGAAACATACATTTGCTCAGTGCAATATCGATTTGATGTGCGTCAGCACAAAGTGCACCGTAAATCCAGGGATAAATCCCTAGATCTAGGTGGAGCACAGGAATACACACGTCTTGCAGCTCAACAGGAAGAATGGCTTTTCTAATCACGTTGTTGTACCGCCGTGCGTGCTGCAAGTTGGCACCTGCTGCAACGAACTTTGTATTTAAAGCGTTCCGGCAGCAAGTCAGCAATTGCTTTGTATGGCGGTGATGCAATGTCGTACAGTTTCATCAGGGGAATATCCATGCCAATTGTTGCATCGTCTAAATGCAGACTGGATGAGGCTGGAGCTACATGCATATTCATATGCATGAGTTTTTTGGTCATCACACAACACATTAATACTCAGCACAGATTCAATGGCTTTCGCATGATCTCTCACAAGGTGCTGAGTTCCACGGCTAGTACTACACAACTTTTCACCGCCTAACCTGCATACCATGTACCAGCTGTAACTTTTCTTGTTGTTTTTCCATTTCAAATCCACTGAATAAATAACAATTTCCACTAAATGTTGCTAGAGATTTGGACCCAGCGGGGCCAACAAGGAATCAGCGGGGCCCCAGCAGTAACAAAAAACAGCTACACAGATACTCTTCTCCTCGGCAAAACTACCCCTGACGTGACGAAAACTCGTTGAGCACCTCAAGGAGGCAACAAACTTCGGTGACTAGAACGATCGAACGGCAACAACTTCAGAGACAAATTTCCATGAAGAATGGCTTTTCTCAGCGAAGGAAAGCTCAAATTCACTACTTTTTTTCTTTGGCGAAGCACGGTCAGGATGTTGCGCAACTGTAGCCGCGAGGACAGCTCGACGCGGTGATCAGAAGTGGTGCTTTGGAGACCCAACTGAGCAGAGATTGCGTTCAAAATACACCTCCTTGAGTACAAATTTTGAACGTTGAGAACGGGAAAGTCCCGGGAAGCGCCATCTCCTGAACAAAAACCAAGTGGGCCCGTTTTGTACTGTCGTAACAGCCGTGGTCCGTAGGTCTACGGCCGGGCACGCGCGCCGCACGCGTCCCATGCATGACCCATACATGTGTACATTATGACGTCATGCATACACACGTGCTCTTGTACGGTACTGGCGGATGACCACAAACAGCATCGATCATCGCGTGCGTAGATCTACCGCGTGTATCGATACGCGACCCAGAGAAAAGCAGGTCTGTGATACTTTGTAGTACTTATGTCATGATAATAATTGTGCTCAAGACATTTCCAACAGAAGTAGAATTACTAAGCTAGAAGCCTAAGCTAGCCTAGAAGGTAGAACCGTGCTGCCTTTCTGTGGAGCTTGGACTTGAAGACCTTGACCCCTCTTGGAATCTTTGTAGTAATAGTGCATTTCAACTTGGACAGAGGAAGAGTTTCGAACTGTGTATAAATATCCTTCTCGTGGGCTAACTTTATAAGTTTAGATTGATGAAAGATCAGTCGAGTAATCGTGAGGTGGTTGAGGTAGTCAGGTTGTCCGGAAATCTCTATGGTAGGTTGCCCAAGTTAGCACAGGCGTAGTGATGCCGCCATGAACGACCTCCTCCTCTTTGAAAGTCGTGACATCGATGCTTTCCTCGAGGCACTGAGGCAGCAGTTTTCACAGAAGCTATGCTACGTAAGTACTGCAGGCATTGAGCCCTCGAAATTGGTGTGACTGGTGGAAAGGCATTCTTCGTAGTCGATTGACATCTTGAAAGCAGGAGCTTGACAACACAATGACAAACACAATAATTATTGTACAACTTGAACTCTTGAATGTTCACGTGACCATGCTTGTGATTTAAAGGGGAAGTTAAGGCAAAAATTAAAATTTCACCAGTTGTAGTCTTCGGGGTGCTGAGTCGAATGGTCTTGGTCTGAGGAAGCTGAGACGCTCCCTTCCTACTTGAATCCCAATCGAACTCGCGCACTTCCACCGAAACTGGGTGACTGCGCCCTACGAGATGGGGATTTGTATGCAAAATGTCACTAAAAGCGCCATTTCGTTCTTATAAAAGCACGGATGACCGCGATTGGCCCATATGTTGTAGTCTTTGGGACGCTGAGTCGACTGGTTTTGGTCCGAAAAGGCTGCGATGCAGCGTTCCTCCTTTATTCCCAATCGAACATGGTTGAAGAAGCGGTCACGTGGTCCTGGGTGCCCAAATTACCTAGTCACCACGCCAGCAGGTGACAACTTTCACACCAAGGTTCAACTCGGGTTCAACTCGAGTGACAGGACTGCACCCAAAAAAGGTCAAACAGGCTAGTAAGTTGTACCCTGCAGGCACGGTGACCAGGTGACTGGTGTACGCAGGAGCACGTGACCGCTTCTTCAACCATGTTCGATTGGGAATAAAGGAGGAACGCCGCATCGCAGCCTTTTCGGACCAAAACCAGTCGACTCAGCGTCCCAAAGACTACAACATATGGGCCAATCGCGGTCATCCGTGCTTTTATAAGAACGAAATGGCGCTTTTAGTGACATTTTGCATACAAATCCCCATCTCGTAGGGCGCAGTCACCCAGTTTCGGTGGAAGTGCGCGAGTTCGATTGGGATTCAAGTAGGAAGGGAGCGTCTCAGCTTCCTCGGACCAAGACCATTCGACTCAGCACCCCGAAGACTACAACTGGTGAAATTTTAATTTTTGCCTTAACTTCCCCTTTAAGAATTCCAATACGGTAATTATGGTTTACACTTTACAGCAAAAGTCCACACCACAGCCCAAGTCAAAACATGCGGAACAACCTTGGACAAACAGAACAACTGTCACCATTGGGGCCACTCGATTGGCATCGTCGCATATGGTCACGGGTTGTGTTTTGTGGTTTGGAAGTCAAGTGCTGGGACATGTACCGTATTTTCCGGAGTATAAGCCGCACCAAGATTTTTGTCACGAAAATCAGACATCAACATGTACCCTGTATTTCACTGTTCATTTTGACTAGCGTAGTGCAGCCGTCCCTCTCTAATCCGGCACTTGTTTATCCAGCACCCTTGCAAACCAGCACACTTTCTGGCAAAACGGATTTTTTCAGTTCATTTTCTACGCTTTAAACCGGCACTTGAATTCCGCCTCCGGCAGCGATTTTCTGCAACAAATCACTCAAACTGTACATAATTTGATTTTCTAATCCAGCAGTTGTACATCGCATACCGTACCGGTGCCAATATCCTATGCCAGTGCATAGGATATTCCCAAGTGTATGTTATAGACATGGCATGTTACAGACATGCATTCCACAAACTTGTGACAAAGTACTTGGATTGACACAGAAAATCCCTACATTTTGACGTACGACACAAACATGTACGTTACTAGGTGAGCCGGGTTGGAGGGCAGGATTTGATAATCCAGCACCCTTGTTTATCCGGCAGAAAATGCCGTTGCAAAAGGTGCCGGATTAGAGAGGGACGACTGTATAAGCCGCACATCTTTTTTTTTGGGGGGGGGGGGGTAATTACGGATGTCAAGCTTGTTTCATTGCCGACTTGTACCAGAACATTGTACAGTCGACTCCTGATATAACGAACAACTTTTTTTGCGAGAGAATTAGCTAATTATAGCTGAAATGCCCTCTGAAATGCACTCACCCCATACAAGCAACACCTCATGACTGGCATGTGGGCTACGACAGTATAATTGCATCTAGTTTACATGCGGCCCTACAAGATATGGTTCGTTATAAACGAAAACAATTCACTATAAAGGGTCAATTTTGTATGGGTTCAAACAGGGACATGGACACTAGTTCGCTATATCACGAAATTCGCTATAATACGAGTTCGTTTTAAGTGGAATCGACTGTATATACACAGTTTTCTACCGAGCGTGGTTGCAGCCGTCTGTACAATCTCTATCCAGTGCTGCGACTGGAGTTTCACATCACATGGTATGGTTCAAAAGCCTGCACTGGCAACAGTGCAAAGTGACGACCGGAGAGTTGTACTCAAAGCAGGGGTGCGCTGTGGCTATCATGCACACCGTGCAACTGGGGCGTAGAGGTTGGACATGTGATGTGAAGTTCTGCCGTCACGCCAACCCCACTGGAGATGCACTCTCTTGGAGGTTATGTACTCTTGACCAAAGGTGCATCTGTATGAAAAGGTCAACCTGCCCTGGCCTCTCCAAGTCCATGGCCAGAGCGGCCAAAGGATATTCATCAAAGTACACCAGTATGAGAACCGTACACTACAACGAGTACAGTGGTGTTCTAGGTGTCCCTGCCATGGACCTCTGCGTAAATGAATGTTTCCGAAAGATGTAAAAAAATAAAGTAAAGGGGCACATGGATAAGAGTTCCCAGTAACAGTCCACCACTGTAACCAGATGATTTACTGTGAGAAAGTGCAGCAACTGGGCACACAACTGACAGATTACTGAGGCATTCAGCTGCATGACACCTAGCCCCAACACATTCCCAATGTGTAAACCAACCCTGCCTCAGTATCCGAATTCATCCCGGAAAATGCTCATTAGTTTGAGCCTCTGTCTCTGAGGGAATCAAAAGGGGAAACAATCCGCAGAAAAAATTGACGGCACCCGTGGGGACCCGGATCGGTATGTGACCTTCACTGTAGGCCAGTGGTGCTCTGCCACTAAGCGATGGTGTAGTCACTGCACAAGCTGGTGAGAAGCATTCCTCACTATACCCCCTCACACACACACATACACACACACACACACACACACACACACACACAAACAAACTACCGTAGAATCCCGCGCATAAGCCCAGGGAAAGTTGGAACATCACAAAGCTTCATCGTACAAGCCCATGGGCCTAACCGTACCAAGAATCCATAAATTATGGACTCTTGGTCATACTATGTAGGTTTTTGCACATTTCAACACAATCATGGGTTGTTTTTGTTTGCACAGTGGCTTTCAGCAATGTACTTCTCACTTCCTTGGTACTTTTCAATGCGCATGTTTGGTGTCAGCGTATAAGCAAGAGTACACAACCCCCCCCAGAGTGTGCAACTCCACTATGGGTGCTGTCCCGACAGAATTTCAAGTTGACGTCATTTTGATGATGCAATGCGCACTGTACATGGATTATCAGACGAATCCGGAACCTGTGGTTGACCGAAGCCGATCGATCCTGTACAAATTATTGGAAAGAAAAACGTGTGATGCGTTGACACCCGTACACATGTTGTAAATCACTGGTGCAAGGAGCATTGCGTCATAAATAATGACGTCAACTTGAAATTCTTTCGGGACAGCAGGGTACGTGGGAGTTGCACACTCTGGGGGGTTATGTACTCTTGGTATAAGCCCATGCCCACGTAGAAGCCCATGTTCTTGTATAAGCCCACCGAAATGTCCTTATGAAACAGATAAGCCCACGGGCTTTTCCGCGGGATTCTACGGTAGTAAATGAGGGGAGGGGGGGGGGGGCATTGTATCAAATATGTGAGGAAATGAAAAAGGAAGCTGCCTTTCACCTTTTCTTACAGGAGCCTGAGGGGGTTTGCAGAAAAGACTTTTTTTTCAATCTGTCTTACAACTCGTGTACATGTACATGTATGGGTTTTGTTTCAGATCAACGTGGGACCGGTCCTCCTAGCCATCAATCCGCTGAAGGAGACGAACCTCTACAATGACGTCTACTCATCCTTCTTTGATGCATCTCGGCGCCTGACCCAGATTCAGCTGAAATGCAACGATCCGATGCCGCACATCTTTGCCGTGGCACGCCGCGTCTGCTTGGAGATGATCTTGTTCAACTGGAAGTGCAACGTGCTGTTTATGGGCCAGAGCGGCTCGGGAAAGTCCTTCAACTGCACGTCACTGGTGCGTCAGCTTGTGCGGCCGGATGTCAACGAATGGTAGGTCAGGCTGCTTGACTGGATTTGTTCGCACTTGCCCTTGCTTGTGTGCTATGAAGGTGCTATACGTTTATTTGTGGAGCTTACCGGCCGCAAACACTTTCTTAACTTTAATAAGGCAATAAGCAGAATCAGCGAAGCGGACATTGGACGTAGTCATGAACAAAAATAAAAGATGGATAAAAAAGTTGGATAAAAGTAGTGTTGAAACGATCTCACCGGGTACTCGTTAGCTCGCTCGCCAGAAACTCGGCTCGTTTGTGCGGCCAGCTCGTTTGCACTAACGAACACCGTACACCGTAATCCGTACACATGGCAGTACAAGTCGAGCGGGGAGTCGGAAAATTTTTTTACGACTCCCTGGTTGATCGAGAGTCCAGTCCCGTGCAAAGCGAAAATTACTCGCAGTTACAGTGACTGCATGCCGCCTGCACGACTCTGAGTTGTTTCAGTTGTCGTTGCAGCTTTGGTAGACTCCACTGATGTCTTTTTCCGCATCTGCTGACCTGCTGCAGGGCAAACTTCTGTCAACTCTCCATTCGAGTAAAAGTTACGTTTGGAAGTTATATACGATATATACGTGGAAGAGTACGAAATGCAGTATGTGAAAGAAAATACCGTATTATCTCTAATATAAGCACAGTCTCCAATAATAGCACGTCTCCAATAATAGAACACCTTGGGGCGGCATTCAAAAAATAAAGTGCTCAGTCTCCATTATAAGCACACTGTGTAAATTCATTATCTGGGCCGGCGAAAAAACCCTGAAATGTGTGTGTCTGACATGAATTTGGCCATGGCAACATGCCTCTGACATGAGGTTGAAATAATAATGGAACAGTCTCCAATAAAGGACCGTCTCCATTAATAGCACGGGGCGGAGGTACATTGAAAAAATAAAGGACCGTGCTTATATTAGAGATAATACGGTAGGAGAAAAAGAAGGTGAAGTGTGAAACTAATAACAGAGGTGGGGAGGTGAGAAATAATAACAATGTGAGACTCAGAGAGGGTGAAGTGTAATTAGTACGCGCATGGGTATGTGGGTGGGTGTATGTGCGTGTGTGTGAATGCTAAGAGAATAGTCTAAGTTTAGTGGCATTTTCTTTCTGGATGCATAGGTTGGGGTTATGTTTGCGAATGAAAACAGCTTCCAATACTTTAAGTTCACTAAACCTACGAGCACGGTACAAAACTGTGAAACAAGAGATTAGTTTCACACTTCACCTTCTTTTTCTCCTATTTTCTTTCACATACTGCATTTCGTACTCTTCCACGTATATATCGTTGTTCATTCCTAGATTTCAGTATTGAGACGTACTTTCCCTGATGAATGTCTCTAGAAAGCGTGTTCGGAAACTTTTTATCCAACTTTTTTATCCATCTTTTATTTTTGTTCATGACTACGTCCAATGTCCGCTTCACTGATTCTGCTTATTGCCTTATTAAAGTTATTGTCTCCGCGCCGTGTATACTTTCTTTAACACGCTTTGATTTTATTGTAATGCTCCATGATGAAATCCCAAGGGTGAACATTTGGAGATTACTTGTAATTTAATTGCTGGTCTCCGGTGTGTATTGTTCACAGGAAATGTGTGAAGCGGACACCAAGGCGGTGTTTCTCCGACCTTGTGGCCAACGCCATGAGCACGATTCAGTGTTTCACCGAGGCCACGGGGCACTATTCCAACAGCTCAAGCAGGGCCACCAACATCTACAGCTTATACTTGACCAAAACTGGTATGTATGCATTCTTTCTGGGCCTTTTTGACACAGGTTATGGCACTGGCTATGGCGGAATGTTGACCACCCTGACTTGACTTCCTTTTTGTCTGAGTGGGCTGCCTTTATTGCTGTGTTCTTGTTCATTTTTTTGTCTAATCTCAGCCTTAGATTCCCCTGGAGTTATGTAGAAGTAATTTGAGAATTGTGAAGCTGTATGGTCTCACCTCTTTAATTTGTTGTCTCCGCGCCGTTTATTTAACGTCAGCTTATTGGCTATATTTTGGTGAGTCAAATGCAATGCTCGGTCTCACTACTATGAAGGCAGGATCAAATTCTTATCTTTTAGAATTGGGTGACGAAAAGGACAACCAACATCCTTAGTTCGGAAAGTAATATTGCTTTCCTTGCCATATTTTTAGATCCTGTAGCGGTGGTTTGCTGATGGTTCCTCCGAACAAGTTGCAATGCGTTGTCATCTGTACTGTGTGCTGATCGCAGGGGAATGTTCATGCCACCGTTTCACTGGCATGGGCGTGCAGGTGCTGTTCCTGGAGCGCTGGAGAGCCAGTCACCGACGGCCAAACTCTCACATGGAGACGGCCTTCTCTGCGTTGCTGCAGGTGAGTGTTCTCAGATGCACAGGGAGTGGGTGAGAACGTAATCATAGGAGTGGAGTTTTGTACTGGAATTCCATATCCCTGGCTGTTATCTGTCCTGAAATTCCATACTGTAATTCAACAAATATTCAGCGCATATTTATTTTCGGCTATTCTCAGCCTGGTCGTGTTTGGCCAAAAAATTGTTGCGGCCGAAATTTAGTTTTGCAAGGTTGAGAGTGACAGTGTATACAGGCAGCAGCAGTACAAGCCGAGCATTTAGTGCAGCCGAAATGTGTTTTAGCCCTGGGAGGCCGAAATTTGAGTGGGCCGAAAATCCGTAGACTCACGGTATCCTTGGCTGTCATCGGTCTGTACCAGCACCGGCAGGGTGGCTCATCATTCAACTATCCTAGTGTACTGTGTTATGGTGTTGCCCAACAGCACAACTTATTCTGCTATCTAAAAAGCACTCCTCAGGTAGACTGCGACTTTCACCAACCCTTCTACAGCAGCCACACCCATCACTGCTACCCGGTCTTGTCATGCAAGGATTCACATTTGACCAAAAAAATTCAAAAGTTGCCTTATTTCCGAGAAGCTGAAGGACATAGTGTTGGTAATGGGAAGTGAGCTGCCATAGCGAGCCATTTGTGTGTGTGTGTGTGTGTGTGTGTGTGTGTGTGTGTGTGTGTGTGTGTGTGTGTGTGTGTGTGTGTGTGTGCGTGCGTGTGTGTGCACAAGTTGCTATGTCTAACATAGCTGTTCGCTATCATCGCTTCCGCGATGGGCATGTCTGAGTCTGAGTGTGTGTGTGCGTGCGTGCGTGCGTGCATGCGTGTGTGTGTGTGTGTGTGTGTGTGTGTGTGTGTGCATGCGTGCATGTGTATGCGCTCATGTGTGTGTGTGCGTGCGTGTGTACGTGCTTGCGGTCTTGTAATTTGCTTGATCTATCAATATATACGTATCACACAGATTCCAGCAGCAATGAGCGGGGACTCCTTCAACACCGACACGCAGGAGGTCATTGAAGGGGCCTGGCAAAAGTCGGAGTTGGAGTGGCTGAAGCCTCGCCTGACGGTCGGCTTCTCAGAATCTGATCTCAAAGTGAGTGGTGGTGATTTGATGCAAGCTTGCTCAGCTGACGGCATTCTACTCATTCTTTTGATTCTGTTCAAGTTCTCACTGTGATATTCATATATATATATATATATATATATGTGGCCAGCACTTCAATTCCCGTGTGTGTTTGGCGACTTACTGCAAATGACAACGACTAGTAGACTGTGCCAACATGTGCACATCACCTGTGTTTTGTGCCCATGTACTTGTTAGCACTTGTACTGTAAAGCACAGCAGATACAGCATCCCTTGCCTGCATCTGGCAAAGCAGTGTAATGTGCACATGCGAGCGTGCTCTGATTGGCCTCAAGTATTCAGTTCACAGTACATGCAAACATAGCACACCGGGTTCAACTCGTTGGACAGCTGCACAGAGAGCCAGTGGACTGAAGCCTTCCCCGCACCATTATGAATACTTGAAACGCAGCATGAAGCGGCTACAGTGCTTCCAATTGTTTACCATGCGTTCTTGTTTCAGGAGCAGCGGTCACAGCTGGAGGCTACTGTGCATGCTCTGTGCGAGCTTGGCATGTCGCTCAGGCAGATCGCCCTTATCTACCGTACGCTGTCTGTTGTGCTCATGCTGGTCAACCTGGTCACTCCAAAGTCTTTTAACCATCCACAAACCAGGAGAAGCAGCAACAAGTAAGACACTCGTGCGAGTCGTGGTATTTAAACTTTTTGTGATGGGGAAGTGTAATTATGCATTTCTTGTAGTAAGTGGGCTTTGGCGAAATTCTCTTTCCTCTCTCTTTCCTCTCTCTCTCTCTCTCTCTCTCTCTCTCTCTCTCTCTCTCTCTCTCTCTCTCTCTCTCTCTCTCTCTCTCTCTCTCTCTCTCTCTCTCTCTCTCTCTCTCTCTCTCTCTCTCTCTCTCTCTCTCTCTCTCTCTCTCTCTCTTTCTCTCTCTCTCTCTCTCCCTTTCTAGTGACCCTCGTTTTTTTGTTTTCTGTTCGACCCTCTTGGAAGTTATACATTGTACTGTTGCGGCAACGAACTTTTAATAAAGAAAACAAAAACGCAGGCCTTACTAAGCATGTAGGATCCTTCTAGGTACTTGGCACGCATTCAGGTTGTAACGCAAGCCTCACTTTCGTTGGCCACCAGAAAGAGCTTTGTGCCGGATGTTTCATTTGTGCAGCATTGACCGGTATATTTTCCAAGTGGAGTTCAGTCGAGGGAACTTTCAAATGTTCACTGTGCACCACCTTTTTTTGCCATTACAGAAGTCAAGATCATCAGCGCGAAATTGACGTCAACAAACCACTGAAGGAGAGCTATAGCGAGGCCAATTCTGATGTTGTTGATCCGTACAAACAGCTGTGGCTTCACAGCGGCCTGGACTTGGTGGATGAGAAACTGCTTACCCGCTTGTGCCGGTTGTTGCAGGTGAGTTGCAGGTTGTGGACTTGAGTGAGTCAAGCAATTATTAGTCTTTGTCTGGATACATTACTGTCGGGCGCCGAAGAACTGGGGGGTCACGGTTCTAGCCTAGCCCGTTCTTATTTTTAGCAAACACAGCACCTTCGTTCTTATTCGATGGGACAGTCTTACATGTACATTTACGTAGAGTTATACGTCTGAGTGTACATTATAGTGGATATCACTGTTTCCGTTCTTATCTGCAAAAAATCCAGCCTAGACCGTTCTTAAAAATTGGTGAAATTCTAGCCTGGCCGTTGTTCGGCGCCTGACAGTACTGTAGTCTCTCTCGTGGGGATGTGTTTGTCTTCACTACGACCAATATTCACGGCATGCTTTACTGGGTGCTTGCTTCTACACGGCTGTTTGCAACCTATCGCAAACCTAGGTCTCCACTACCTTGGCGCTACATGCACTGGCCCTACACCCATGGCTGCCTCCAATCTCGTGATTCTGTCTTGAACTCCGATTTAGACACCTCTTGACTACACACTACACTAGTGCCAATGCAGCCTCTATTTGCACACCTGCCCCGGCACCATAAAGCCCTGCTGCTGTTGCTGCTGCTGCTGCTAACATGTAGGCTTCCATTCCTTGCTAGCACCTTCAACGGACAATCGTCTATTAATTGACAGCGCTAATTTTTACACTCCCGGTCCTCACTCCTATTTAACAGTGACTCCATCACATCAACAACACATTTTTTGTCTGAATGACGACCAGTATGGTCGAAACGTGCATCAATTCACTCGTGACCAGTTCTATCTCTCCGTACACTGGTCCAGTGACTCTCCTCTCCTATGTTTGTCTGTCTGTCTGTTTGTCTGCTCTGTCTGCTCTGCCTGCTGTGTATTCCAGGTTGATCCCGAGCAGTTTCGCAAAGCACTTCCCCGTGGGTACAAGGATCGCATTGTCTTCACCACCGGCCATGTTCAGTGGCGCTGTGATTGCATTGCTGCTGAGCTCTACTCCGCTGTGGTCAAGAATATAGGTAAGTGTGGATGATGGACTACTGGTATTGATTGCTGATGGATTCTTTTGTTTCAAAGATTCTCCAAATGCCAATGGGTGCTGGTCGAGTGAGTTCCTTCGAGTACTAGTAACATGTTGATTGTTGAATGAGAGAAGAAAACAAGTAACAGAGTAATGAGGAATAGGAGTGAGCAGTGAGCAGTTAGTGGACAAGATGAGGTACACAAAGAGCAAGGAGAAGTGCATGTACTAAGGAATGGTAGGGCGCGTGGGCCATGCTATGACCGAGCTGACGATGCTGGTGTATGTGCCAGACCACATGACATTGTCCTGATCTCAGTTTCACATAGACCGCAGGTATAATGCATGTCGTAAGCACCAGGGCCATATACCAGGATGGCAATAGAACATTGTCAACCATATGCCACTGTTCCTTTGCCCTTGGTCGTTGCCTGTATGCTGCCAGTTGAGTGTGTGAACAGCGAGCTGCAGCTGGATCACAGTCCGGACGTGGAAGCAGTCAACGGGGACGGGGACTCCGGGGACTCCGTCAAGAGTACCACACTGTCACTGGTGGACATGGCTGGAGTAGAACCATTCGCAAGCTGTCGCTTTGAGCAGCTGTGCCGTGTCCTGGCCGCAGAGTCATGCAACATATACTATTCCAAGAAGTACTTGCTCAACTTTCAGGTAAGGAGGCAAGGATCATGATCAGAACCGGCACTTTGATCACGATACTCGTACACTGCACACTGTTCATTATCCGACAGGGACCATTTTGGTTGCTTTGTTCATGTGCTGTTTGGCCATGATCTGTACTGCCGTACTGCACCTGCTCGTACACACCGAGCCATCCAATCCGTTGTCAGGTTTGCCCATACCTGCTTTGCGGGCAGTGGGAATTGGGCAATGGGCATCATGGTCCAGACTTGTATCAAGTTGTATGTAATAGAGAAATGTCATGGTTTGACTTACGCAGTGACAGCGCTGCTCCGTTGACCACCTCATGTGTGTGCTGTACTTCAAAGTACTTGTGATAGACGAGTCCTGTAGTGGCTCGTTATATGCCGTCGTTCATCTACATGGCCTACTGCCATCACATGATAATGATGTACCGGTAGTCAGTGTGATCCGTGTTGGTGTAGTCAGCGTGATTCTTTACGATGAAGTCTTTGTGGTTTTTGATGATGTAATCAGTGTGATCTGTGATGTAATCATTGTGATCTGTGCTGTTTACTTTGACTGTGTTGGTAGGTTGTTGCTGAGGAGGTTGGTGTCAAGACAACCTGGTCTGGTTCGTCTTTGCCGGAAAATTCGCTCTCATTCTCCTTGTCCAACCCAACAAACGAGGTTAGTCTGAACTGCTATCTGACTTGTGTTGGCTTGCTGGACAGCCGTGACTTGTGTTGGCTTGCTGGACAGCCGTGACTTGTGTTGGCTTGCTGGACAGCCGTGACTTGTGTTGGCTTGCTGGACAGCCGTGACTTGTGTTGGCTTGCTGGACAGCCGTGACTTGTGTTGGCTTGCTGGACAGCCGTGACTTGTGTTGGCTTGCTGGACAGCCGTGACTTGTGTTGGCACCAAGAGTACAGTGAAACCTGTCAAGGCGGCCACTCACTCGGATAAGGTGACCACCTGTCTCAAAGGACCACTGCAGCCAGGACCAAGGGACACATGTACATGAATTTCCACTCAAATGACCCTGGATAAGGAGGCCACCTGGTAACGGAGACCTCGTTTTGAAGGTCCCTCGAGCGGTGATCTTAGACAGGCTTCACTGTACAGAACTCCCCAGAGTGTGCAACTCCACATAGACCTCTGGCATTGCCCACTCATTTACAGGATTACATCATTTTCGTGATGTAATGTCCACCGGGCTGTAGACAAAACTGTATTGCGCATGATCAACCTTGCATCCCGAATTCATGCATGCATGCATGCATGGATTCTGTGCATCGTGAAAGATCATGAACATGTACATGTGATTCGGAAAACGAGTCCTAACACTATGCACATGCGAGCAGATTTTCCTACACTTCCGTCTTTATTCGCCACATATCTACGCGCAATGCGGCTTCATTCGCTGGGGCTCATGTGCAGCACAGAGCAGAACGAAAAAGTGGGGCCTGGCCTGGTAGCAATGAAAAACACATTTCCCAAAGGCGGAAATTATATCAGACATGATCACACCTTGCCATACTCAACATCATCAGCCAGTGAGCTGCCCATAGCGCAAAGGTTGAAGGTACTAGGCCACACGAGAGTTCTTTACTGGTATGAGACTGGGAGCACAACACTCAATCTGTAGGGTTGTCTCTAATGATAAATGTAGCCGCTAGCTCACTGCCCACTTCCATTATAATTCCGTGTGTGCTGTCTGTGTGTGTGTATGTGTGTGTGTGTGTGTGTGTGTGTGTGTGTGTGTGTGTGTGTGTGTGTGTGTGTGCATGTGTGTGTGTGTATATATGCGCGTGTGTGCATGTGTGTGTGTGTGCGTGCGTGCGTGTGCATGTGTGTGTGTGTGTGTGCGTGCGTGCGTGCGTGTGCATGTGTGTGTGTGTGTGTGTGTGTGTGTGTGTGTGTGTGTGTGTGTGTGTGTGTGTGTGTGTGTGTGTGTGTGTGTGTGTGTGTGTGCGTATTCGCATGTTTCCCTGCGTTTCCCTGCAGATCACAAAGCTGTCTGAAGTCCTGGCCAAGCACTCGCGCAGTCTGGCCTACGCCCTGACCAACCACACGCTGTGCAACCATCAGCTAAACGCTCACCTGACCTTGCTGCACGGCCATATCACCATGGACAACGCCAGCACGCCCTCCTCCTTGCCTTCCACTACCTGGGGGGTAGGTTCTTCTAGACCGTGTGTGTGTGTATGTGTGCTTTCAAACATTCCTAAGCTGCATTTGCCCGGCATCCCTGGAACTGCTGAGGAGTTGTAGACTGCATGCGCGATGTCATTGTGATACCATCAATTCAATAAATTACATTTATACATTTTCTGGAGAGAATGCGCGCTTTCACGAAACTTTTGGTGCTATGTACAATGTAGATCTGAAAGAAAGAAAAAACAGTACAATGCCCCTTTTGTCCTACAGGCCTGTGCACACTTTCTATATACTTCCTCATTGTGCACCTGGTGTATTCTGTTGCTGCCTTTGCACAGAGCCGTCCCTCTACCAGGCGAAAGAGCTTCGACGTCTCAAGCAAGCACAGTGCGTTTGGAGACATGAACAACAGTCTCGCCATCAACCACTTCTCTGGCAAGGTTGGTTAGTGGTGTGGTGTGTATGCGAGTGTGTATGCCAGTGTGTATGGCATGATCGACTGATTGATGGTTGCTGTGTTTCCTGTGTTCATGAATACCCCACCTCCCCGAATAAAAAACAAAGCAAGCTGCTTTACTGGTGGCGCTGGATAGTATTGTGTGTGCTGGTGACACTAGTGTTGGTGTGGACGGTCGCCTTGAAACACCGGTGTTAATGCTAGTGGGGAGGATGCTAATGCCAGTGGGCAGGGTGCTAATGCTAGTGGGCAGGGTGCTGATACTGGTGTCGGCATGGCTGCTGGAGATGTTGGCAAAGGTCACATGGGTGCTGGTGGTATGGTGGAGGTGCTGGCACAGGTGCTTGTGCTGTGACACTCAAACTGCATCAGGCCAGTATGTGAATTTAAAACTCAACACACCCACACGCACGCACGCACACACACACACACACACACACACACACACACACACACACACACGCGCGCGCGCACACGCACATGCACACACACGCCGGGATGTAGCCATCATTGACACGGAGCTATGCCATGAATAGACTAAACATGATTGATCCGTCTTATAATTTCCTCTTCTCTGGCCCAGCTGCTGTCTCAAGCTGTACAGCCACTCATACAGTTTTCCCTACTTGCATTGTGACTGTGTGTGGTCCCGCTACTTGCATTGTGACTGTGTGTGTGTGTGTGTGTGTGTGTGTGTGTGTGTGTGTGTGTGTGTGTGTGTGTGTGTGTGTGTGTGTGTGTGTGCATTGTGACTGTGACTGTGTGTGTGTGTGTGTTCAGGGTGACTACAACACACAGGACTGGGCTGAGTCCAACGGTTGTCCGATCACACCCAAGCTGATCAACATCCTGGCATCCAGCACCTGTCCGATGATTCAGTCGACTTTTCAGGTGAGCCGCAACTTACTTACTGCACCCACCGGCGCTGCACGTACAGTTTGTGCAATCCTGCGTCAATGCTCTGAGATAATCCTTGCACGTACAGTTTGTTCAATCCTGCGTCAATGCTCTGAGATAATCCTTGCACGTACAGTTTGTGCAATCCTGCGTCAATGCTCTGAGATAATCCTTGCACGTACAGTTTGTGCAATCCTGCGTCAATGCTCTGAGATAATCCTTGCACGTACAGTTTGTGCAATCCTGCGTCAATGCTCTGAGATAATCCTTGCACGTACAGTTTGTGCAATCCTGCGTCAATGCTCTGAGATAATCCTTGCACGTACAGTTTGTGCAATCCTGCGTCAATGCTCTGAGATAATCCTTGCACGTACAGTTTGTGCAATCCTGCGTCAATGCTCTGAGATAATCCTTGCACGTACAGTTTGTGCAATCCTGCGTCAATGCTCTGAGATAATCCTTGCACGTACAGTTTGTGCAATCCTGCGTCAATGCTCTGAGATAATCCTTGCACGTACAGTTTGTGCAATCCTGCGTCAATGCTCTGAGATAATCCTTGCACGTACAGTTTGTGCAATCCTGCGTCAATGCTCTGAGATAATCCTTGGCTTGGATGTACACAGTCTTGTCTTTCCCCTGAACGCCTTCCTCCAGGGCGGCCATTTTGATCTTACCTGAAGTGCATGCAACACTATTGTGTATTTCATAACTCGTGCATCGTGCTATTTCTGTGCTATTGCGCTGCAGCATTTCAAGCCGGAGAACGCTTTAGATCAACTGCTTGTAAGTGTGCGTTGTGCATTGTGCATGGCTCCAGTTATGCTGATCTTTAGCGGCTGTCCGGCCAGCGTTTGTTCATGCTGATCTTTAGCGGCTGTCCGGCCAGCGTTTGTTCATGGTGGTTCTGGTAAAGTGTTGCTGTCACTGACCAAGGACCTCCATATTTATCTTTACCTTGCAGTGTCCTTTCTTTTCCGATGCTTTAATCCTTTCGTCGGGGTGAATATCTGCCTGCCTCTCATTTCCAGTTCAGCCGGTTGCACTTGCTGTTCTGTTTCTTGCACGCCGCCAGGCTTGGCTCATTATGCTGGCATTCCTATCCAGTGTATATACAGTAAAACCTGGCACTAACGACCACCCCTTGGTGCCCGGAAAAGTGGTCGTTAGTGGCAGGTGGTCTTTAGTTAGAGGTTTGCACCGCGCGACCATATATGGATCCCATTATATGATATGTATGTCAAAATGCAGATGATACAATCCCCCACCACTTGCGCACTGACATTCTTCTTTCAGATCATACAACACTTGGAGAGAGAGAAAATCAAGTTTTTTATACACTGGGAGCGATACGACCTTTTGACACGTACATGTATGTCGACTTACTGGGTTTCCAGAGCAGCGCTGGCCTGGCCAGGCAGTGGACTAGTCACTATCGACTCCAGCCAGCACAGACTGTCAGTGTGACCTGGTGACTGAGCTGTGTGATTGCACTTCGACAGAGAGCCGCTCAGTCTTCCTTCCAGTAGTAACATCGATCAAAGAGCGCTTTGGATGCGCTCTCCAAGACGTTTCCTATCATGTTTGTTCTTGACAGCACTTGAAATTATGACAGGTGTAGTGCAGTCCACACTG